ATTAAAGAAATAAATGCAACCAAAATTATAGTCTAGATCCCAGTACAGTGACTAAAAACAACAACGAATCCGTTTAAGTATACGTAATTTTGCTTGTTTACTTCAGATGCCGCGAAACAATACTTGTTTTAATCATTTATAATAATAATAATAATAAGCCTTTATTGCTGTTAAAAAATTTACAATGCTTATATCTAAATATTATATATATATTTTAATGCTAGGAAACAGCTTGTCTCTCGACATAGGCCTCCTCTAATGTCTTCCACAAGTTCCTGTCCTTTGACTTTCTCAGCCACTCTCCGCCAGCTATTCTTTTGAAATCATCTTCCCATCTTTGATTTTTTCTGCCTTTACTTCTATGGCCATCTCTTGGGTACCATTCCGTTACATTCTTTGTCCACTTTTCTTGTGTCTCTCTTAACATATGTCCTGCCCATCTCCACTTTTGCATTTTATGTACCTTTTCGACGCTTTTTAATTTTGTTATATTTTTTACGTATGTTAGTCTAATTTTATCTTTTCTCTTAATTCCAGTGATACTTCTTTCTATATTGTTCTGACATATGTTTATTTTATTTAATTGTTTTTTTTGTCAATGCCCATGTTTGGCATCCATAGATCAGGCATGGTAGAATGCACGTATTATATACTTTTCGTTTGTCTTTCATAGGCATATCTTTATTTTTCATTATTTCACTGAGGGACCAGTATCTCCTCCAAGTATTGGCTATTCTCCGATCGATCTCTTTTTGCATAGTGTCACTTGGCGATATTAACCGATTTAATCATTTAATCATTTATCGATCTTAATCAACAGTTAACTTAATTAAGATTAAATAAGACTAAGGTCAACACTTGTTAAGGCTTGGCTACGAACTAAAAAGAATGTGAGGTGAACAACCTCAAATAACTAGCCTCCTTAAACTATTTTATCGTGACTACAGACGCTTTGAAAAAGCTATGTCAAGCTATTATATGAAGTGTATGCATAAACTATTGACGCTGCATTGAATGGTTATTTTAAGAGTACGTTTTTTTTTATTGTTTAGATGGGTGGACGAGCTCACAGCCCACCTGGTGTTAAATGGTTACTGGAGCCCATAGACATCTACAACGTAAATACGCCACCCACCTTGAGATATAAGTTCTAAGGTCTGAAGTATAGTTACAATGGCTGCCCCACCCTTCAAATCGAAACGCATTACTGCTTCACGGCAGAAATAGGCAGGGTGGTGGTACTTACCCGCGCGGACTCACAAGAGGTCCTACCGCCAGTAACAGTAACAAAAGTTTCTTGAATACATCTCATTCAATTTGTAAACATTATTGTTTTGACGTCGTTACTTCAACCCGTACATGTTCTGATAGCCAACATGTAATTTCTCATGCTAATACAGAGCTGCCGTGTGCCGCTGCCCTGGACTTTCTGCTAACAAAATATATAAATAATATTTAATTTATAATAACGTAGAATTCTCTAAAATTTTGCAAATACAGCAAAATACAGAGTAGGTAGTTTAATTTTTTTTTTAAATTTGAAATATATGGCACAAATGCCGCAATAATGAAGGAGTAATTTAGATAAAACTTCTCGCTTTAAGTTTAAATACTAAATCTATATTTCTATATTATCTATAATAATATTATAAAGCTGAAGAGTTTGTTTGTTTAATCGCGCTAATCTCAGGAACTACTGGTCCGATTTGAAAAATTATTTCAGAGTTAAATGGCCCCTTTATCGAGGAAGGCCATACGCTATAACATCACGCTAAGACCAATTCAAGCGGAGCACCAATAAAGAAAGTTTCAAAATCGGGGTTATTTTTACCTTTTGAGAGCTTCCGCTGCGTGCGCTGCAGAAACGGTTAAAGTTTCGCTAAAATAATGTATGACAGAATTGTTCCCCTTTAAAAGATCTAAAAAAAATCAGCGACAGCATATGTCTGTATGTTGTTGGTTGGCTCACTATAACGGTTTTTATGCTAACCAAACTTGTTCTAAAATAAAGCATTATTTGTGAACTATGCCACGCGGACGAAGTCGCGGGCAAAAGCTAGTGGTATAATAAGTGTTTTAGATTAGGTAACAAACATGTTTCCAAATTTCTGTCTTTTATTCGTTCACGCCCAAGATAACGAACGAACTGCGATATATTGACATATTAAGCGTTTTATTCTTATGATCTCACGACTACATCGTTAGTCTATTTAGATATTCCCCACAAGTTTTATATTGTAAAATACTACCTAATTAGCAATGTAGCTACCGAATACTGATGCTTAAATATAAATTTCAAAACTTCACGTGCCTTGCAAATAACAATACTAATTGAATGGTAGGTATCATTTAAGTGTTTAGCAGATCTTTTCATTCTTGCCGACACAATGCGCGGCACTGTAAATAGAACAAAAATGATCCTTGTTGAAGGAATCAGCCATCAGTAGAGTTTGCGACATTTAAATGTGCCGGCGGCGCTTTTGCGTTGGGCATTTGCATGAGATCGCGTCGATCCACCATGCTTTTTTTTTGGCGGCAATGCAATGCAATACAGGTAAGTGGTATAACTAGCGCGACGTGGGTAGAATTTTATAAAATGCATACTGCTGTTATTTTAAAAGACTCCTTTCTATTGCCTTAAATCAGTTTAGAAAAATGCTTGCACTTAATCGAACTGACAAAGTATAATAAATAACACGAAGTGTTTCCACGATCGTTGTCAGATAGTAGTTCTATTTCTAAGGGTGGACAGTTATTACCTACTTAACAAATAAAATTGAGGCTTCGAACTCATGTGTCAAGTAAGGGGTGCGTTATTTATATTGTTCACGGGCTTCATTACCGCAGCCTATTTACACACATCATAGCGTGAAGTATTTCTTTACAAAGACATTACAATCCGCTGCCTCGTTGCTATGTAAAATAATTACACACAAGTACCCACTTTTGCTGTTATAATATATTGATAGACTAAATTATGATTAAATTTTGTTATAATACTGAACTCAGTATCATCATCATCATCATCAGTCCACAGTCAACCACTTCTGGACATAGGCCTCTCCCAATCCACACCACTGAGCCTGATCCTCTGCTAACCTCATCCACTTCTTGCCGAGTAAATTAAATAAATAAAGTTAATGCGGAGCTCAGTATGTCCCAAGCTCATTTAACACGAACTTTGTTGTACTTTTTCCCGCCGAGTTCGGTAGCGGCCGATGCAAAGGGCCCACGTTCAATTATTCTCCTCGTATTATTTTTGTTTATAGCCTCTCTCGTCTTCAGCTTGATGTTTATCAACATTCGAAGCATCGCTAATTGGGTCGACATTCAAATACCTACTTTGGTTGATAAAATGTTCGGGCAGGTTTACTGTTTAGATAGTTTACAGAAATGTGACCCCGAGTACGGGGTAGGATAATATTTGTATCAACAATGGGTAGTGGTTAGGACACTACGGACCTGGTTGTTAACGAACTTGAAATAACTAGCAGAAGGAAATTGGCTACATTTTACATACTTATTCGTGAAGAGCTCTCTTTCTCTCTAATCGGTCCCTCGTTGCTGTGGATTAATTCCGTCCGATTCCGTCAACTAGCTGTCTCCATCGATCCCGTACTATAGCTTGGTGGAGTACGTCGCTGATAGGTATTTTCAGTTCCTTCGCTATTTGGTCCGACTATCGTCTGGGACCTCTACGTGAAAAGCTAAATTTCTGTTAATTGCAAAACGTATTTTATATTGTTTTTTTTAAAACTGTAGGACTGAGAGATGACTGATGGCCCGGAGGCCATTACAAGCGAGCAAAGGCTCAGCTAGGAGGGGTGGAATTTGCTAACAGCTTCTCGAGCGCCTCCAAAAGAGACCTAACAACTCAAGAGCAGCTGCTTCGCGATATAATCTACCTACTACCGAATCGGAATCGCGTCCCGCTGAGAAGATCCGGCGAGAAACTCAGCGAGCTAATGCATTGATTAGGTTGCACGTCGAACTCTTTCCGGAGCTCAACAAGTACCTACGGTTACCGGGGTCCGTAAGCCTGTTCCTAATGTTAGAGCTGAAGGCGTCGTATTTTATGTAGTAGGCATTTCTGTTTTTACGAGTCATACACATAATTAAAACTGCTTTTGCTCATACTAGATCAAAATAGCCGGGTAGTCAAATTTCAACATGTTCAATGGTGAGTGGTTACCGTCGCCCATGGACTTCAGCAATGCCAGGGCTAGAGCCGTTTGAAGAAGAACAAGTCATAGCGCCCGGGAAACACCACAGAGGGAAGCTCATTACAAAGCCGTGCGTGAGTTCATAATAAGTTTAACTGTTTCTTTTCTTCTGTATATAAAATTGATAAACAAATTCCGTAATAATGAACACACATAAAAAATACAGTTGAACACACTAAGAACCTCCTATGAAGTTAGAAATTTGATGGTATATTCGAACATCGATGCCTACTCAATAAAAATACTTTAGTCATAAATGAGTACTAATAAACCTGTATAGTTTTCGAAACATAACAAATAATTAAATTAATTAAATAATTAAAATGGTAACTAAGCCGTAAAAGTAGTTTTAATTGGTTTAATGTGGCTAAAAAACGTCAAGCCTGAAAAGACCAAATAAAACCGGAAAAGATACCTACATTCTTTTTTCTTTTTTTGTTATATGGGTGGACGAGCTCACAGCCCGCCTGGTGTTAAGTGGTTACTGGAGCCCATAGACATCTACAACGTAAATGCGCAACCCACCTTAAGATATATAAGATAAAAAAAACAAAAATAAAATAAAAATAAAATAAGGTCTCATTATAATTATAACGGCTGCCCCACCCTTCAAATCGAAACGCATTACTGCTTCACGGCAGAAATAGGCAGGGCAGGCAGGCCATTTCAAGAACACTATGTGAAATTCTTATCGTCATCTGAGAATTTGACAAGCCACTGTTTAATATCTAATGCTTCACACCAAACTGATATCAAGGGAAATAAGACAAATAAAAATGAAAACAATAAAGTTTATTATCCGATAACATTACAATATTTCCTGATTATATCCCTGTAGAACGCGAAGACGAGATCGCTGGCTGATCTGCTTCGCTCCAGCGCCTCTCGGTAGGCGTCTTGGCTGAAGCATCCATCAGTAAAACCTTAAAGATAAACAAAATCTCAGTTCCTAAGGCTAGGATATTTGTAATTCGTATATTTAATAAATTGTCCCATTACTACCAACAATTACGAAGGCAAAACCAGCAGATAAGATAATAGAAATAAATTAAATATGAAAATATTAGTAAGAACTCATTAAGTAATATGGGAGAAAAAGGTTTTTTTTTTTATTGCATATATTGGTGGACGAACTGACAGCCCACCTGGTTTTAAGTAGTTAATGGAGCCCATAGACATCTATAACGTAAATGCCGCCAACCACCTTGAGATATGAGTTCTAAGGTCTCAGTATAGTTACAATGGCTGCCCCACCCTTCAAACCGAAACGCATTACTGCTTCACGGCAGAAATAGGCAGGGTGGTGGTACCTACCTGTGCAGACTCACAATACGTCCTATCACCACATAATGAATATTTTTGTCTTGTTACTTTTTGGAACAAAGTGGACTATGAGCTCAAGCATGTTTGAGCATCATTTGTGAAAAAGATTCATTAAATAAACATCCTTTGAAAATATAAAACAGAAATGAACTCTTTTTTAATATCATGATCAACTCCACTGCTATACTAACACTAATAATATTTTTTCCTTTAGACACCTCAGAATAAAATGGAATATTTTTTTTGATGAACATGCCTTTACAATATTAGTATTCTTACTTACAAACATAATTCAACTATTACAAAAACTTACAAGTAATCAAACTCTTATCTCTGCTGTCAAACACGAACGTCATCGTGGCTGTGGAAGTCTGTAGCTGTGCATGCGTCGGATCTAGAATGACGTTTCCGTGATTGTCCACCGCGCAACTGACTGCAGCGAAAACATTCCGCATCGAAACGCCAGAGTTTAACAACGCTAGGCAAGTACAGTTCAATGTACATGCTAGAAACTGCAATAATATGTAATTGATAATAACTATATCTATACTAATATTATAAATGAGTCGACTATTATCAAAGGCGGCAATCTGACTTTTGGACAATGATTGGTAAATCAGAAAAACGAATTATTGACTTTGTATTCCATTGGCAGTCACAAAACTCTTCGGAACGACATCTTAGATAAATAACAGGTTAACTATTAACCTTTATTTAATGCAGGTTTTGAACCGTATTCTTTGAAGGAGACGATTATATTCAAATAAATCTGTATTGACATATCAATAAAAAATTTTTGTCCAAATGTACAGATTGCCGCCTTTGATAATAGACGACTCAAATATGAGGAGTTTACGACAAACGGAAGATCTTCCACCGAGCGGGTGATATTACTCGGTAGACCGACGGTCCAAATGTGTTGTTGTTCGGAACTTGTTTATATGCGCTTTATCTTGAAAATGTCGTAAGCGAGATTCAGGCATCTGTCAATTATCTTGCGTTGCGTATGATGGCTACCCGCCACAGTTTGTTTGAACGCGCTAATCTCAGGAACTACTGGTCCGATTTGAAAAATTCTTTCAGTGTTAGATAGTTCATTTATGAGGGAAGGCTATAGGTTATATAGCATCACGCTTTTGAGAGCTTCCGCTGCGTGTGCTGCAGAAACGGTTAAAGTTTCGCTAAAATAATGTATGACAATTGTTCCCCTTTACAAGATCTAAAAAAAAGTCCGCGACAGCATATGTCTATAAATGTTAAGGTTGGCTCACTATAACGTTTTTTATGTTAACCAAAGTTGTTCTAAAATAAAGTATTAACCATTCCACGCGGACGAAGTCGCGGGCAAAAGCTAGTACATATATAAATGAATTGCTGTTCGTTAGTCTCGCTAAAACTCGANTTTGATGTGTCCCCCGCCGGACGGATTCCTTTTGTTTGTTTTAAGTTTATTTTATACAAAAGTTTAGGTCTTTTATTTATCGATTGAGGCACTACGAAGTCTGCCGGGTCAGCTAGTTAATAATAAATTCACGATGTAATAATACATTTAATAATAAAAATAATTTGGTCACTATTAAATATGTAGCATATTGAAATCTGGTAACCACTTTACATCGGTTGAGCTCATCCAATGATCTGTGAAATTTACCGAAAGCATTATCTATATCAATTAAAACAATTTTCGTTATTTTCTTTTATAATTTTGGTTTACAAGCCTGAAGAATGTGTAGAAAGCTTGAGAGTGAAGAACTACCCCCATTAAAAAGTAATAGGCAGATTATAGCTGCTCCATACTAGGAGCAGATAGAACATTAAACCCTTTGACTGCCACGCAGGTCACCAGTGCCCTACGCGGCTCACTGTAGTAATAATTTAGATTTCTATTACTAAGGCACCGGAATAACTAGTAGACTCTGGGAAAGACGAATCCGAAGGTACTGAGAATAAATCTATTTCTAAGAGACCTAAAAGTCATAAAAAAATAACAGAAAATAAGGCAAAGTTAAGCAACTAAGGCACTTAGTAACAAAAATCGACATAATTACTTTAGTGGGCCGTGTAGGGCACCGGTGACGTACACGGCAGTCAAAGGGTTAATAATCCCAAGGACTTCCAATACCACCAACCTTCATTTTTGGGAATAATTCCAATTCACCCTCGTTAAATACAAATCAGTACTCACACCACCATAATCTTCTAGTTCTTGTATAGTAACATTTATACCAGTTCTAGGATACAGAGAACCGAGTATTGCTGCTTCACATGTCTGTTTCACTATATTCTCTTTGTATCTGTCATAATATGTAATATGATTTGTGTTTAGTAATGTTTAAACAATATATTAATTTTTTTTTTTTTGTAGGTATATGGGGCCCTCCTGATGGTAAGTGATTACTTTCGCTCACGGACGTCAATGCCAGGGACAGGGCTAAGCTGCTACCTGCCATTAAGTATTCTCAAAGAAACCTCATTTGAAGAAGGAAATGTCATAACGCTTGAGAAACACCATAGGGGGGAGTTTATTCCAAAGCCGAATGGTGGATTTCACCTATTATTATACAAATGACCACTGATGAGCAAATATTGTTATTAAAATAATTTCCAATAGCTATATAGCTCTAATACATTACCTGTTTTCCACACTCGGTTTCCCATTCTTATTACTGAACAAAACCTCAAGAGTTGACTTATCTATTCGTTGACTGGTCATCTTTATGTCTAAAGGTCCATTTACGCTCACCAATGATACAGTATCCCCTGTAAAAATATTTACAAACATTTATTTTATTTCATTTTTATTCACATATATCATGCTTTTATGAAATATTTTCTGTCTAAGAAGTTTTAATTAACATTATGTACTGGTAGTTTTATTTCGATTACACTAGATGTTGTACTTTTTAAGATGATGAACTTTGAATGTTCGTAAAATCTTACTGTTCTACTTATTTTTTGTAAAAATACTAAATTATTATTTAACATGTTGTAGCTAAATTAGGAGTTTGGGTAAAATGACCACAGCTAGATTATAGGGCATAAAACTGTTTTTACCTTGTGATAAAATAGCTGATCCATCAGATTTGCTCAGGAAGTTGAATTCACATTTCATAGGTTTTAATTTAAAATCCTGTACATCCTTTATATCAGTCACCATATTAATTCGTTCAAATGTTTAAATATATCTTGAAGTAGTACAATGAAACTTGATTGTTAATTGGGTTTCTGATTTTCTAAAATTCAAAGATGATCTTTATTTAATTTAATAACAAGAAAAATATAGAAAACATGTGAGAATGACATTGACAGTAGTATTCGTTTGTATTTTACAACCAGAAGGGCAAAGCTATTGGACTATACAGCCTAATCTTTTGTAAATTCTATTTTATGAAGACGATATGAAAATGAAATGAAATTAGGCTGATTAATTTCAAACATTAATTAATTGGAATTAAATTAAAACTAAAATTTATTAAGACTATTTCAGTGGACTGTTTGGAAGATCCCGAGGATCAACGTCCGGTGACTTTGTTTTATTTACCTAAATTTATGCACTTTCCCAGATACTAAAAAGTTCATAAACATCCATTAGTACATGTTTAAACATGAAGAAACATTAAATTAACAAAATAAAACTATTCTCACAACTTTGCTACTCGCGTTCCCGCCAAAAAGTCCAAAATAGAAGTACATAATTATCTATTTAGGTACATTGTCCTTAGTCTGAGTTTTTTTACGTTGAGTTGACACAACGCCCTTATCGGCAAGAGTAGGTTCCAACTCATCATAATCTTTCATCTTTAAAAACTGAATCATTATCCCAATTTAGTACTTTTTTCAGTGTGCTCAATATTTTAAGTTTTTTGAAAAAAATTCTCTATCTTCGAGATCTATATATTAATATGTGAAGCAAAAACTTTGTATCCCTTTTTACGAAAATTGTGCGGAAGGAGGAGTATGAAATTTTCCACACTTATAGAGAATATAGAGAAGAAGTGCACAATGCTAATCTTTTTTTAAAATAATGCATAAAAGATACATTAAATCAATAAAGAAAACATTACACAGACTACATACCATGTATTTGACGCACACACGCATGCATATTATTTATTGTTAAACTTTTGTTCTTTTTGTTGTCAAATTGAGAATAGATTAAATATTGTTTGTCTTTGTTAATATTTTTTAAAGTGTAGTCTTGGCGAAATTTGTAAAGAAGTATAAAATACAATCATAATAGTGTACTAGTTTAAATAAATGACTCAACTTAACATTTAATGAAAAGACGTTGACATGTTCAATGCGGAATATTTTCGGACAGCGAGTATATTTTCTTTTTAACAAGAACAAACACAGGAGAAGTAGCGTTCTGCAGAAAAGCTTTACTAGCACTCTACGAGTTATTAACTTCCACCAGGAAGCCTGATTTTATTGAAGGGAGCTATGTTATGTGTTTACTGGAACAGTCATTACGAAAATCTTGTATTAGCTATTCAAACTCGCCCGATATTTCTTCCCGAGAAGGGTATTTTCATTTTTTTCTTACAACAAGGACTTAGCAGTAGTACAAATCTAAAGTACAAAGAAGAAACCGTTAAACATACTTGTAAATTACCACCAAAAAAGTTACGTTTATTTAATAGGCTTCATAATATATTCTAAAATTTGTGCACAATATTGTAGTTATTTATTGCTACTAGCTAAGGATAGCTCCTAAAAAAGGATTCCATTTCACTTTTCACGTCACAGTAAAATATGACTAAATTGTAGGTTTGGTGGTCGTTGTCTTTGCCAAAATATTCATAAAATATAAAAGAACACAGATTCCATATGGCTGTCAAATTAATGTCATAATAAAGTTCGTAAAGCTAGCCGATCTATGGCTGTAATTAAAGACACATCATTTAATAATAAAATCCTTGTATTCCAATTCCAAAGTTTGGTTTTCTTAATTCCGTTTTTAATAGTGTAATTAACATTACGCAAAATGAAGACGAGATTCAATACATACGATATCATATGCATGATCACAGAACTGCAAAGGTAATTTGATTTAATCATATGATCACAGTTATATTAGTATGTTTAAAAAAATACTGCAATTTCATAATATGTCTAACACTGTTAATGCAAGAAGATAGCTGTTTATCAAACTTATTTTTGACAAGGGCGCTCCTCAATAATTTAGTCAAAATATACCAATTAAATCATTAGGTGACAGTGGAAAACCCTCGCTAATAACTAAGGTTATTAATTCTTTTAAATTAAATTACAAACTAGTAGCTAGGGCTGCTGAGGTATTTGAGGAGGATTTGATAAATATCAATAGTAAAATCTTAATATTATTTTCAGATTGATTGGAATGAGAGTAAACCAGGTTTATGATATAGACAATCGTACGTATGTGATACGTTTGCAGCGATCCGAGGAGAAGAGTGTTTTGTTATTAGAATCTGGTAACAGGTTTCATACAACACAGTTTGAGTGGCCAAAGAATGTCGCTCCGTCAGGGTTCACCATGAAGGTTAGTTTTGTCATTTAATATGGTGACATTTTCCACAGCTATCCAGCTTAATCTTTCCTTTAAAATGTCCGAAAACATTGCTCTAAAGATTGTTCAAAATTGTCCATATAATACCTAAAATGTCCATATTAAGAAATTTGTTGTTTGAAAATGTTTTTGATTACTTGATAACAAAATTAAATAAAAAATTTAAATTTTCAGTTACGTAAACATCTTAAAAATAAGAGACTTGAGAAACTAAGTCAGCTCGGTGTAGATCGTATTGTTGATCTACAGTTTGGATCTGGAGAGGCAGCTTATCATGTCATATTGGAACTGTACGATAGAGGCAACATCATACTAACTGATTCAGAATGGATAATATTAAATGTTTTGAGACCTCATGTTGAAGGAGACAAAATTAGGTAATAAAAAATGCATCATTATTGCAGCTTGTATAAGCAGCCAGTTGATGGGGAGGGTTAAACCTTGGAGTCATCTAACAGGATTTAATTGTAATGTTGTAATTGTATTGTGGTAATAAAAAAAATTTTTTTTTTTTTTTATTGCTTAGATGGGTGGACGAGCTGGTGTTAAGTGGTTACTGGAGCCCATAGACATTTACAACGTAAATGCGCCACCCACCTTGAGATATAAGTTGTAAGGTCTCAGTATAGTTACAACGGCTGCCCCACCCTTCAAGCCAAAACGCATTACTGCTTCACGGCAGAAATAGGCAGGGCGGTGGTACCTACCCGAGCGGACTCACATGAGGTCCTACCACCAGTGACTAACAATAGTCATAAAATAAATATATAATGATATTAAATTTAGTAAGTACTAAAAGATTACCTTCATTGTTCTATAATACATAAATAACTTAAATATGTCACATGTAAAAAATAGCTGGATGTTCCCACTTATCCACCCTGCTCATAAAAAATATGAGTTTCTGCACTATTAAACAAAAGCTTTTTAATTCAAATTCACATTACATAAAATAATTAAAAAATCATATTATTATCATAATACAGATTTGCAGTGAAAGAAAAATATCCACTAGATAGAGCGAAAACAAACTATGCAGCACCACCCATTGAAGATCTGAAGGATATATTGTTGAGAAGCAAACCTGGTGACAACCTCAAGAAAATATTGAATCCCAACTTAGGTATAATTAAAATTTTATTTAAATTTTCTTATGCAAGATACTCCTTTTGCCAATTGAATTGATACTTCAGACTCTTATAGCCCTTACTTTCCATCATAACTTTAAAAATCCTATTTATAGTTTCTTCTTATCTCAAAACTTTATAGTTGGTTAGTAAACTTGTCATCATTTTCTCATAAAAGTTTAACAATAATTTTTACCCACAGAATTTGGTTCAGCAATGATAGATCACGTTCTGCTACAGAACAATCTCTCTGGCAACATGAAGATTTCCACAGAACCAGGAAAAGGCTTCCACATAGAACACGATATAGAAAAGCTCGTGAAAGCTCTGAAACAAGCTGAATTACTAATGGATGTTGCTAAGATTGAAGTTGCCAAGGTATGAGAAATTTTGGCAGAACAAACTGATAAAATAAGAATAAATGTCTTCAGGACATTACAATGGAGATGTGCTGACTCTGGAAACTATAGTGATGATCCCTTTTTTATACAATAAAACTATTAAGGCAGTTCTGCCCCAGTAACATCAGACAATGTAGGTAATCTGAAGTCGTTCCATAATCAGTCACAGTTGTAGCTAATGATAAAGCCTATTATTTTTCATGCCAATCTTACTAATGCATTACTAATTTAAAGGAATACCAGATGCAGTGTAATGACTCAAATTTGGCTTCAAATTGTCATTAGTGTTACAGCCTTGGGAGTATTTTCTTAACACACCATTTTAATGCTATTTTAAGTAATGGCAGTGAAGTTTGCTTCTAAACTGCCAGCTGGCATTCTGCCCGGTGCTTATGCATCTTTGCCTCAGCCCAAAATGTGACAACCATACTCCAAAGTTCTTTAAGAATGCTTGATATCCCCTTCCGAGTTATGTTTCGATATGGCGATCGAACTTTTTGGTGGAGAACTGTTTAGTCTGTTCGACAACATGCTCATATAGATTCCAAACCTGGCTCAAAGTCAAACGTATTCTTGACTGAATTTTTATATCAGGGTTACATAACTCAGAAGAAAGAAGAGCGCCCTAATCCGGAAGGAGAGCCAACGTATTTACTGACGAACATAGAGTTCCACCCGTTAAGATTCGCACAACACGAGAACCTACCGTTTGCCGAGTATGAAACCTTCGATAGGGCTGTCGATGAATTTTTTTCGGCTTCCGAAGGGCAGAAGATTGACATGAAGGTAAAATACAAGTAAATAATTAAATATCCACTTCATTGATAAAAAGTAAAGTTATTATAAAATAGACGATTGAAGTTATCAGAAAGAGGAAATATTTGTTTATTGTGCCGCACGTAATAACAGCTAGTAGTACCCCTTATAGTACTGACTTATGATATTTTATAATAACTGAAAACATGAGTATGGCATACCTACTAGTTAACTACAGGGCTTCAATTTAAAAAAAACAAAATGATTCTGTTTTTTCTTTTTTGTTAATGTTTCTAACATTCACTAGTTACTACCCACGACTTCGTCGGTTCAAGGAAAAGGGTTAAAGTGGTGGAAACGAAATGTTTTTTTTTTCAGATTTCAACAGTGAACAACAATGAGACATCACAAAACAAAAATCAACATAAATTATTTAAATCAAACATCAGACATTATAAAACCATTTTTTTTATTATGCACTTCTCGGTACATATATAAAACAATACATAATTTCCAGACCGTACAATTAGAACGCGAAGCTCTGAAGAAGCTGCAGAACGTGCGCAGGGACCACGAGAGGCGCGTGACGGAGCTGGAGCGCGCGCAGACCCGGGACAAGCGCGCCGCCGAGCTCATCGCCAGCAACGAGCCGCTCGTGGAGCGCGCGCGGGCCGCCATACAGACGGCGCTCGCCAACCAGGTAGGCAGCGGCTTGGCTCTGCACCTGGCATTGCTGAAATCCATGGGCGACGGTAACTACTCAAAAAGGGCAATAAAAATATATATAAAAAAAGCCAGGTCCCTACTCTGCAAACTTTTTTTTATGGTTGAAGCTTTAGGAGTTATTTTGGTAGTGGTCAATGATGGTTCAGGGCGTTATCGGAAGTGAGATAATTAAATAACAAGAACTGGTTAATCGGAGCGTTTATTCGGTATATCGGCTCAACTTAAAAAGTAAAAAGCAACGAAGCTTGCGGGCGCCGCCGCATGTTATGACTACGAACAATTTTGTTTACATAACAAACTGTGTCCCTACAAAGTAATGCTTTGGTGGCCCGGAGCCCTTTCCAGTTTTATCAGGACAAGTGAGAGAGCACGGGCTCAGTCAGGAGGGGTGGGATTTGCTAACAGCTACCCGAGCGCCTCCAAAGGAGACCTAACAACTCAAGGGCAGCTGCTTCGCGAATTAATCTACTACAGGATCGGAATCGTTGGTTCGAGGCCCAAGTCCTCGTGTATTGTAATTTTTACGCAGTTGGAACAGCGCCCCTAGTGGCTAACGCAGGCGTTTGGAACGTTTGTTCCAAGTGCATACAAATTTGAGTTAACTTTTACGCAATCGAGAACGTTAAAAAATACGCACTAAGCATTTATGTGTTTATATATAATTTTTTTTTATTGCTTAGATGGGTGGACGAGCTCACAGCCCACCTGCTGTTAAATGGTTACTGGAGCCCATAAACATCTACAACGTAAATGCGCCACCCACCTTGATATATAAGTTCTAAGGTCTCAGTATAGTTACAATGGCTGTCCGAACGTTCAAACCGAAACGCATTACTGCTTCATGGCAGAAATAGGCGGTACCTACCCGTGCAGACTAAATAGTAAACTAATATCATTTTTTTTATGGTTAAGGTGGTGCAACCGAATTTCAACCGTAATCGGCGACACCGCAAAATTTAGATTCAATTAATGCAATACATGAACTATCTTAAGTTACATTGACATTTTGGAAAAGAAAACTAGTATTGCAATTTGCAAAGAATTTTCATTGTTCTTATTATTGGTATTACTGATACGGATTTAAAAAAACAAAAATTTAAAAAAATGTTCATCTACCCTCAGCTGTCATGGGATGACATTCAACTGCTGGTAAAGACGGCCCAGGAGAACAAGGACCCGGTAGCGTCCTGCATCAAGCATCTCAAGCTCAACACCAACCACATTACGCTGCTGCTCTCCGACCCCTACCTTCACGACGAGAAGCCGGAATCAATGATGATCGACATTGACTTGTCATTGACAGCTTTTGCTAATGCTAGGAGGTGATGTTGCTTTAGAAAGTATTCGTTGGTATCCTCATCTTGATGATGAGAAATTTGTTTATTCTATAATTAATTATTTATTATTATTATTATTTTTATTTTATTCCGAAAGTGTAGTTATTTTTTTATTTAATTCTGGTATACTATGTGAAAAAATTAATGAATGTAATATGGATGCGAAATCTAAAGTAAATGTAATAAAAAAAATACTTATTTCATCATCCGTCTCTAGCATTAAAATTTTCATCAGAACTGTTTGGGGAGTCGGTTTGGCCATCTGCAGTGATGATTTGTTTTCAGTGATGTGTGATCAGTCTCCTTGGCTCGACTGTAGTCCTGCCATTCCAAATATCATTTATTTGCTCGGAAGGGGTCCGCAGGCTCATTTGACTTCAATTTTTCCTATTCATTTTTCCAATGAAATCCACTCAACTAATTCGTTCAACCTAATCCGAATCGTCGTTCTACCCACTTTTGAAATATAAAATATTTTCAGGTACTACGACCAAAAGCGAAACGCGGCCAAAAAGCAGCAAAAGACAATCGAATCCTCGGGAAAAGCTCTTAAAAGCGCCGAAAAGAAGACGAAGCAAACTTTGAAGGAAGCTCACACGATCAGCAACATTATAAAGGCTCGGAAAACTTACTGGTTCGAAAAGTTCTACTGGTTTATATCGTCTGATAATTACGTGGTGAGTTCTATGAGACTGAGCGTACGATCAAACAACTACAATTCAGATGATTTTAATTAAACTAGTGGTCCCCCGGTAGTCGAAATTCGACTATAATTAATCGAAAATATAAGTGTGTACACTATTATGATTCTATTTTCAAAGACTATTAATCATAGACTTCGCGAAAAATACACTTTACACACACAAAAGTTTGACAATAAACAAATAGTATGCATGCGTGTGTATGTCAAAAACATTACACAGGTAATGTTTTTTTTATTGATTTAATGTATTTTTATGCATAATTTAAAAAACTATTATCTTTCTGCACTCCTCTATATTCTCTATAAGTGTGGGAAATTTCATACTCCTCCTCTTTCCTTTTTTCTTCTTTTCCTCCTCTTACATATTGCCTACTACTCGTAACGCACATGAGATTAGACAGTGTGGACTAAATAAAACAAATGAATAAAAAAAAAAACAATTGAACTTTTAGAAGTTTATATTGTACCTAACAAATTGAGTATATGAAATTATTCTGACATATTTTAATGATATATGAAATTATTCTGGCATATCCTTTGAATCACTTGATTCAGATCTCTCTGAACTTGTTTCAGAATCATCTCGAAAGTTTATAATGATATCGTTCGTCATAGGATCAGATCTCATATCAGTAATAACAGCAAGCGCCCCCGCCTCTCCGTCCCCCCGCTCACATACCTAAGGCGCGCCTAACTAGTTCCGCGCGCACGATAAGGTGGCTCACATACCTAAGGTCTTAAGGTCTCGTCCACGTGGAATGAGACTTGATCATTAGGTGTGGTTCCAGGTGATAGCCGGCCGCGACCAGCAGCAGAACGAGCTCCTGGTGAAGAGGTACATGAGGGCCGGTGACGTGTACGTGCACGCCGATCTGTCCGGCGCCTCGTCCGTCATCATCAAGAACCCCAGGGGTGGGACCGTCCCGCCCCGCACCCTATCCGAGGCCGGGCAGGCCGCGGTGGCCTACAGGTACAGTACATCTAGGGATGAGGGGTATATACTGGTACAGGTCTAGAAACCCAGTGTAGATGTCTATGGGCTCCAGTAACCACTTACCACAACCACCCAGGTGGGCTATGAGCACGTTCACACATTTAAGGAATAAAAAGAAAAATATCAATGGGTTTTTACCTTCACTTCCACCGCATTAGCTCATACCTGTAAGTATTTCGATACCGGGTTTATGAACCGGGTATTTAGCGGCACCCATGCCTATAAGGCCGGGTATGGAATGTAACAGGTATACCTCATGCACATCCATTAGATTCCTCAGCGAGCAGTGTGCTTAGTGCAAGTTTCTTAACGTTCTCGATAGCGTAAAAGTTAACTCAAGGTTGTATGCAGTTGGAACAGCGCCCCTAGCGGCAAACGTACGCAAACGATCCCATTCCATACAGATATGAGCTAACTTTTACGCTATCGAGAACGTTAAAAAACTCGCAACTAAGCACACCGCACAACAGCAACGAGGTACTCAATATAAAAAGCAATTTACAAGGCAATTATAATGAGTTCTAATTAAGTAATAACAATTACTCATACATTATTGAAGTGAAACTTCTTTAGGCGCGTTGAGAGTAAAAATTAACTCGCGACAGATTCGTTATGGCTAGAGAGAAAATATGCAATTTAGTATGAACGAGAGTGAGAAAATAGACTGAGGATCTCGCGAACCACTCGACCGTGTAGAGAGGGAAAGGACAAAAAGCTAAGAGTTTCTCTTATACACAGCATTCCCTATTACAAAATAAATTTGATTTAAGAATGAAAAATGATGAAAACCACAATACTACGCACCGCAAAAGAAGTTACACTTCTTTCACGTCCATTAAGTTGCACGCGTAGGTTTGAAGATTTAGAGCTGTAGTGCTGGTCATTAATAGCTATAGCTCTTATCTCTCTCCACGATACTCTTTTGAATCCACTTACAACAGTCTGCTACACAGAGGCGGATTATCCGTAAGGCAAACTAGGCACGGGCCTAGCGGTGTGTAGTTACAAGGGGCGCGCGAGCTCAGAATTATTAAATAATATAACAATAAATAATGTAATAAAGAAAATAACATATCGACGATTAAGAACTAAATGTCCTGGTCTAATAAAGTCTAGGGTTTGATGATACAACGTTATCGTAATTGCAAAAACAACTAGTTAAAATTTATAGTATTATGATGGGCATTTATGGCCGGGTACAGGGGCGCCGATAAAGTGATTGCCTAGGCCCTCTGGACCTTTAATCCGCCACTGCTGCTACATTAGGTTTTGGTCCCCAGCGTGGCTTGGGAGGCCAAGGTGCTGACCCGGTCGTGGTGGGTGCAGGCCTCGCAGGTCAGCAAGACCGCGCCCTCCGGCGAGTTCCTCACCACCGGCTCCTTCATGATCCGGGGGAAGAAGAACTACTTGCTACCGGAGCATCTGCAGTTCGGCTTCAGTTTCATGTTCAGGGTGAGGTTTCGACGTGTCAATAAAATACTATGGAGAAGAGTGAGAGAGAGAGAGAGAGAGAGTGAGAGAAAGAGAAAGAGAAAGTAAGATAGAGAGAGAGAGAGAGAGAGAGAGAGAGAGAGAGAGATGATCCTTGTATAATGCGTCTGATAATTGTTACTAATAACATATATATACAATAATACATAAATGTTGAGTTACTAATAACCCGACACTATTGCATTTGTTGAAATTGCAACATAACCAGTAAGTTGGATGTAATAGTTTAATACGCAGCAACCACCTGATATATCTTAATATCTATAAGGAACTAAGAAGAGAAAAAATAGTTTGGTACATAGTTCTCTTCAGTTTGTGATCCGATTTTTTTTAATTGAGTATATGTTATGCGTATGCTTGTTATAAAAAAAAATTGGAAACAGTCCTTATCCCGGCTCGACAAGAAAATCTTCAATAGTAAAACGACAGAAAAGAAGATTTAATAGTTACACAAAACAATCTAGATTTTAAGTTGTCAGTAAATATGATCGAATTTCGCCTGTTGAGCAAACACCTGTAAGAAAAAACAAATTTGTTATTGTCGATCCTAAAAGACGGCTACCCATGTGGACCATGCAATTACAACACATCAGTTAAATGGAGGGGAAGGGATCCACGCTGTCTGATGACTAGAAGACACTTTTTTACCAGTGTTAGGACCTCTTTATATTTTATTTTATATTATTTAAAATTAAACGACAATTACAAGTCTATGACGAAGTGAATGATGCGATTTCGTGTGTGGTTCATTGGTTCCGTATCAATAACCTATTATTGAATAGTAAGAAAACTAAATGTATTAAATTTACTTTAAAATGTATTAAACCATCTTTAAATGTGAGACAAGTGGATAGTGATGTAATTGTTTCTGAGGAATCATNCTAAGTAACAAAAATATATATAATAATCTGCCGTCATTTCAGGTCGAAGACGGCTGCATAGAGCGGCACCGCGGCGAGCGCCAGCCCCTGGGAGCAGACGAGGAGCCGCCCGCCGCGCCCGGGGACGACGCGGAGGACCAGGAGATAGCCGTGTCTGATGACGGTCAGCTTTTTAACTGCTAACGATTTTCTTTTTCCTTATTTTTTTCTAGAAATTTGTATGTTTTCAAGGCTTATGATTTCTTGGCTTGGAGCAGACGAGCCGTCGGACAAGGAGGACAGTAAAGCAGCGGAAGGTAAGCTGGAAACCATCGCAGAGGAGCCACGCGCGGCCGACCCGCCGGACGTGCGTGCGAACGAGACGGCGATACAGAACGAGCGGGACGGCGACACTGAGAGCGACTCGGGCGACGACCTCCCCGACACGCACATAAAGGTACCCACGCGCCGCCCCTGTGCCTGGTTACCTGCTTATTGTAGGGATTTTTTGGCGGGAACGCGAGGAGTGAAGTTGTGTGATTTGTTTTATTTTGTCTATTTACTGTTTCTTCAGGTTTAATTTTAAGCTATTGCATAGCTTTTATCGCGGGCCTTGAGCGCGGCGACTGAATCATGAAATTCCGTAACGAAAATAACCTGACACCCCCACTACGCCTACTATGTAGCTCGCTGGTGTAGTGTTTGTGAATAAGCGCGCGGCGTGACGTCGCACTGCATGAGCATCATGAAAAGTCTGCCCATCTCTCTCTCACGCGGTCTAGCTTATGAGAGTGAAGGGGACAGTTAAAGTTTGCTTTTGTTTATAAATATAGCGTGCTCTTATTTTTATTATTGTTTTAATATTAAATTATTATTGTCTAATTGCAATTGCATAAGTTGATAAAAAATGCTTTACAATAGCTTTACCGCGGCAGTCCCCGAGTACCACACGTATTTTTTTTTATTTTTCTTTTTTTTTATTGCTTAGATGGGTGGACGAGCTCACAGCCCACCTGGTGTTAAGTTGTTACTGAAGCCCATAGACATCTACAACGTAAATGTGCCACCCACCTTGAGATGTAAGTTCTAAGGTATAGTTACAACGGCTGCCCCACCCTTCAAACCGAAACGCATTACTGCTTCACGGCAGAAATGCGTTTCGGTTGCGTAATATTTAAATGCGTAATAACGGTACTTTATTAACTATTCAGTATCTGCGAAAGTGCACAAATGTTGGAAAATAAAACAAAGCTGCTGGACGTAACTCCTCGGGATCCTACAAAAAGCCCACTGAAAAAGTCGCAGTATGTGACCATAATTTTACTGAGGTTATATTTCATCTCACCTCATTTCATTTCATCTCACTTGATTAATGTCTCAAATTAATTATCTTCATTTCATTTCACTCCATAATATAATTTTTCATAAAAATAAGAAAATAAATTAAAATAAGACTTGACCTAAAAGTCTTAGTTACCAGGTCAAAAAATCCCTTAAAAAAATGTTATTGTAGAAGTTTCATAATTTAAATTTACTGAAGCCGTGAAGCAGTAATGCGTTTCGGTTTGAAAGGTGGGCCAGCCGTTGTAACTATACTTGAGACCTTAGAACTTGTATCTCAAGGTGGGTGGCGCATTTACGTTGTGGATGTCTATGGGCTCCAGTAACCACTTAACACCAGGTGGGCTGTGAGCTCGTCCACCCATCTAACCAATAAAAAAAAAATATGACAAGTCTATACAAAAGTACAGTGCAATAACGTTTGTTGTGCAACGCCATCTAGTAGAGTTTTGGGTTTATTATCTCTCCTGTAGCCATAGTACATCAGAGATTTACGAGATGGCGATAGTAACATTTTTTTTAATATCATACATTTTTTTCTTTCATAAATCAGGTCGATCACGGAACGGGACAAGTCATGCTCTCACGGACGACATCGGAAATATCGGAGACGCGTAAGTTCTGATTTTAAATCGGCACGTTTGAAATATAATATTGCTTAAAATGACATCTTTAAGAATATTCATAATTTGGCACGCTGGTTTTTTTATTTATTTTTTATTGCTTAGATGGGTGGACGATCTCACAGCCCACCTGGTGTTAAGTGGTTACTGAAGCCCATTGACATACACAACGTAAATGCGCCACCCACCTTGAGATATAAGTTCTAGGGTCTCAAGTAAGTTATAACGGCTGCCCCACCCTTCAAACTGAAACGCATTACTGCTTCACGGCAGAAATAGGCAGGGTGGTGGTACCCACTCGCGCGGACTCACAACAGGTCCTACCACCAGTAAGCTCACCGACCACCAAATCACTAAAGCGTTGATTTATAAAGCAACATAATATTTTAGCTGAAGACAAAGTACCCTCTTTTCCGGCCCTCCCCAAAAAGGGCGGGAAGAAACCACAGAAGAAAGAAGTAAAGGTAAAGGAAGAAGAGAAGAAGGAAGATAAGAAAGACGGACCGAAACGAGGACAGAGGGGGAAGCTAAAGAAGATAAAAGAGAAATATAAGGACCAGGACGAAGACGAGAGACTGTACAAAATGGGATTGTTGCAGGTACACTCGCTCGAAGGTACCTCGGGCGCCTTCTGTGTCTCATATAGTACCGGCGGGGTGCGACAGAGGGCGCGCTCGTCGCTAGGCTGCGTGCTAACAGCCAGTGCTTTAAACGATCCATTCCCCTCAGGCGGCGAGCAAAATGAAGGAATCGAAAAAAGCGCAGAAGAAGGCAGAGAAACCCGGCAAGAGTAAGAGCCAGCAGCGCGCCAACAAGATCCCCCTCCCGGCGCCGCTCATACTGGAGGCGGAGTCGGAGGATGAACTCGAGCCGGACCCAGAGGTGAGTCTCCGTCGCACCGCATGGGAACAAACTAGTGGCCGAGCACCAGAGCAAATTAATAGATATTCATTTAATACAGGGGCTCCCAAACGTATTTTGTCTACTGCCCGCTTTGAGAATAAATTATTTTTAGCGCCCCCTGAAAAAATTTCACCTGCTTAAAAACCACTGTAGCGAAAGCTCAGTCGGTGTCTAAGAGTCCTCCTAGATAAAAATTACATCTGGGTCTCTTATCGCCCCCCTTTAGGCCTGCAGCACCCACAAGGGGGCGTTATCGCCCACTTTGGGAAAGAGTGATTTAATACAAATCAAATTATTAATTAATTTTTGAAAACTACAGATGTAGAGAATAAATACTAATAAAATAGCGATTTATTTCTACATTAATATTCCCCAAAATTTTATTTGGAATACCAAATTTTATTCATACTTTTCACATTTTATTATTCGTTAAAGCATTTTGTAGGTACTGACACTGTATTTTTAATTTAATCATTACTTAAATACAAAGACCAAAAAAATATGGCAGTCTCCAACCGAACGTCCTTAAGACACCTTATCTCTTTTATCTTTATTTAATAAGTAAAATCTAAAGGATAATAGGACATACGGTTCATATTGAAATATCCTTTTTTATTCCGTAAATGGGTGGACGAGCTCACAGTCCACCTGGTGTTAAATGGTTACTGGAGCCCATAGACATCTACAACGTAAATACGCCACCAATCTTTCTTTTCTGAGTTCTGTTAACAAATACAGCATTGAAGATGTGAGTGGTGTTGCTTCCAGGGAGAGCAGCAGCCAGGGCCCGACGCCGACTCGGAGATGCTGCAGCAGCTCACCGGGAGTCCCTTCGCAGACGACGAGCTGCTATTCGCAGTGCCCGTGGTGGCGCCCTACTCCGCGCTCAACCACTACAAGTAACCGTCGACCCGACCCTACCCGGCGCTACTTTGTCATACATTGCTCCTCGTACACCAGCAGTACGGTAGGCAGCGGCTCGGCCTCACATGACGGTAACCACCCACCATCAGGTGGGCCGTGTGCTCGTCTGCCTACAAGGGCAAAACAAAAAAAAAACACCTGTCCACAGTCAAAAACGACTATCCTACCTGTAAAATTCAAGACTATCTCACGGCAAATGCAGAGGCGTAGTACCGATCCGAATAACACTAGTTGGATATATATAATCGGACTTTTTGGCGGGACGGCGAGACCCACTTCGAGAAGGCGGCACGACATGAGAACCGTCTTGTGGCCGCTGGAAACTACATACCCGATCCTGTAGACCGAATGGTAAACAGTCGACATCGCCCTAAACACGTCATTACGGATCCTCCCCATCCATTAACGGTGCTTTTAAGCACCTCAAGCAGCGGTCATAGTTCTCGTCGAACCCGTCGCCTGCGACGAAGGGCTCGACGAGCGAATTAACCCACAGACACAGCCCACTGAGTTCCTCGCCGGATCTTCTCAGTGGGTCGCGTTCCCGATCCGGTGATAGATTCAGCAAAGCACTGCTCTTGCTAGGACTAGTGTTAGCACGCCCCCAGGTTTGAGCCCTGAGAGCTCACCCACGTTACGCTGTCATAGCCTCTCAAGGGTACCAGCTTATGGTGACCTTTTAAGCAGTGAAGGTGCAACTTCTTTCAGGTACAAAGTGAAGCTGACGCCCGGTACCAGCAAGCGAGGCAAGGCCGCGAAGACCGCCATCCAGGTGTTCCTCAAGGAGCCGACGGGGACTCCGCGCGAGAGGGACCTGCTGAAGGCCGTGCGCGACGAGGACGTGGCCAGGAACTTCCCCGGGAAGGTCAAACTGTCAGCGCCGCAACTACATCGACACAAGAAGTAAGGAGGAACGCAAGATCATTGCTTCCGGAGCAGAACGATATACGAGAGGAAAACGTTTTTTATATATTAAGTGCAATACGTCTATTGAGTAAGTTTGTATTTCGTCAATCCGCAATCTAAAGCAAAGTCAAGTGGTTCACTGTGAGGGCGTTGACCTTTTTACATTGCGCGCTACCAACTAATAGCTAAATTCGTTTTTTTGATTAATGTCTTTGATTTGCATTCGTCCTAGGATCCGTGTCGACTTGCAATTCTTCTTTGTAGTGGAACTTTTGCAATTATTATACATATACCTAAAGACCACAGAGTCCAACCGAACAGCCATAAAAAAAAAATTGATTACAAAGAAGATGAAACAAAAACGGTTATACATAAAAACTAACAAACATATTGTTGTATACAAAATAAATTGCAGGCGGGCGGCGTACACGAATTTTTTGTTTAAATTTTCATATGGCTGTATCGCATCGAACCAATGTTAATTGTAATTAATTGCGTAAATTTTTCACTACGAACATTACGTTACGATGAGGTCTTCGCCTAAACTTGGTGCACTGCGATGGGCTTAATTTGCATCTAAAACAGTTAAGGATTGAAGCGAATAAACATGGGAAATTATCTAAATGTTTTTTATTTGTGACCGTCGGCGCCGCGCTCTGCGGTGCGGTACCCCAACAGAAACCGTATACGAACGTGTGGTTTTTCTTTAAGGACTTATGACCTGGTAACTAAGGCCTTTAGGTCAAGACGTGCCGATTACGAACACTCAAAATCATATATGTGTAGGGAGAGATGTGGAGCATGACTGAGTGACAGAGATAGCAGATGTCATGTTCGAAGGTAAGAGAGACGACGAATGTTCGACACACAGTTTTATTTTACGCGAGAGGAGAAATGAGGGTAGTTACCGAAACTCGGAAGATGAAAGATGTGTAAATTTTTGTTTTTTATTGCTTAGGTGAATGGACGAGCTCACGGCCCACCTGATGATAAGTGGTTACCGGAGTCCATAGACAACTACAACGTAAATGGCGCCACCATCTTGAGATATGAGTTCTAAAGTCTCAGTAAAGTTACAACGGCTGCCCCACCATTCAAACCGAAACGCATTACTGCTTCACGGCTGAAATAGGCAGGGCGGTGGTGCCTACCCGTGCAGACTCACACGACGTCCTACCACAATTAATTACCAGTACATCTTATTTACTCGCCATAAGAAAGACGGAATCAAAATCAAATTTGTGTGAATCAATCAACTTTTTTATCGGCTCAAATCGAAATCTGAATAGTCATATCCTGCCGATTCAAGAAATCGATTCCATTTGACTTTCGATCAATGAGCTCAGTGCGAGTGTTTTAACGTTCTCGATAGCGTAAAAGTTAACTCAAATTTGTATGGAGTTTGAATGTTTGCCTACGTTTGCCACTAGGGGCGCTGTTCCTATAATTGAAATTATTAAATATGGACTTCTATAAAAAATTAAGTATATTTACAAAAAATAAAAGGTAATTGACTTGTTAATGATTTAATAATAACTTTCTTCAATGACCACTTAATCGGTCTCCGTTATGCTAATCCTCTTCATCTTCTTCTTCTCCGAATTCCTCTCCCTCTCCCTCCAACACAGGCGGGGGCGGAGGAGGTAAGTGCGCAATACGGTACGCCTATAAGTAATCAATAAAATTATGATGTACATTTTTCAAACCATTCTTAAAAAAATATAAATACGAAAGTGAATTAATTTGTTTCGCTCCCACGTCCAAACCGGTCAACCTATTCTCATGTAATTATGCATACAACACGTTGTCGGAGATACAGAAGAAAACACGGTACAGGGGGTCCATCCAGAAACAAAATACTTTTTTCAACACAAATAAAAACTAGCACGTACTACATTGTGCTTAATCTATAGGTAATAATACGTGAAGCAAAAACTTTGTACGCCTTTTTACGAAAATTACGCGGACGGAGGAGTATGAAACTTACTACACTTATAGAGAATATAGAAAGGAGTGCAAAATACTTATATTGCTTTTTAATTATGCATAAAAAATACATTAAGGACATATACCTATATTTAAACACTTTGTTTATTGTCAAACTTCTATTATTAATAAAGTCTGTGGTCAAGTTGAAAGGAGATTAACATTGTTTGTCTTTAATATTTCTTGTCTATAGTGTATAGTCTTGACGAAATCTATGATTATAGATAGTTTTTGAGAATAGAACCATAATAATGTACAAATTTATATGTTCAATTAATTATATTCGAATCTCGACTACTGGGGGATCACTAGTATTGATAAATGTCCAATGAGACCGATTGATTCTTGTCAGTGAAATTAGTGACATAGTGCAAAATCAAGTGACAGTGCAAGATCTCTCCCGCCGCCTGAGTTAAAATTTTATTTAATATAAATATTAAATATATAAAATTAAAAAGCCGTATTATGTTAAAAAATAGATCCTATTATATGCCTCTATATAAATTCATCAAAAATAGAGTGGGGAAATTATAATAAATCGAATAAAAATACTCAAGACTTGGCCTAATGGTCTAGATACCAGGCCATAAACTACAAAAAAAAAGTGCAATGAGTCGGACCTCTTCGTCGGCGAAGGTGGGGTCCGCCATCTCCATGACCTCCGGCCCGATGGGGTACTCGTCTTGCGGCCGCGGCAACTGAGCCGGCCCGTAGTTCGGCGGATCGAACTTCAAGCCCCAACCGATGTACATACATTCAGACTTCCTAAACATATAGTACTAATATGTAAACGCTGTTATATCTAAACATATTTTGAATTATTTTGACTTATTTTCGTAATTTTCTGCAACTCTGAATTTATAAAATATCTCAATTACGGGCTTGCCGTTTATAATAATAATAAAAGCCTTTATTCAGACGCAAAAAGGATATTTACAAATAATAAACTTAACGACTCTGCCGAGTCGATGACATCGACAATTTCGTTTTTTTGCCCAACTTTGGCAAAGGCCTCCTTCATTTCTTTCCACTCGTTTTAAATCTTTCCTAATCCATATTTTTATGTTTCCATAGTATACTTTTCCTGCTATCGACTTTTTATATATTTATTGCTTAGGTGGGTGGACGAGCTCACAGTCCACTTGGTGTTAAGGTTACCGGAGCCCATAGACATCTACAACATAAATGCCGTCACCCACCTTGAGATATAAGTTCTAAAGGTCTCAGTATAGTTACAACGGCTGCCCAACCCTTCAAATCGAAACGCATTACTGCTTCACGGCAGAAATAGGCAATAAGGCCTGTCGTTAACTTGGCCTCAAATGACGTCACTCGTGCGTTCGGCCGAATACTGCAGTTTGCGCCACAAAATAGAATTAAAATCTGTACTATCGAATGGTATTCTTACTGTCCGGATGTGGCGAAGGCGGCGGCTCCGGGCCACAGGTTGCTCCTGAGCGCAGCGACCGCTCGCTCCGGCGTCAGCGACGAACTGCTGCGGACACTCCACGCCGTCATACCTGCCCGTTACAATCCATTCATAAATTAAATCCAACAAAAAAATTAAAAAAAAGAATGAACCCGTTTTATTGGAAGTAATATTCATGTAAGAACTATACCTTATCCAACACGTGTTAACAGACGGCTTCTAGGGTAAACGAATAAACAATCTATATACATATATAAAAATGAATTGCTGTTCGTTAGTTTCACTAAAGCTCGAAAACGGCCGGACCGATTTGGCTAATTTTGGTCTTGATTTATTTGTGGAAGTCCAGAGAAGGTTTAAAAGGTAGATAAATATGAAAATGCTCGGAATTCAATAAAAATAACAATTTAATTTTTCCTTTGATGTGTCCCCCATCAGACGGATCCCTTTTGTTTGTTTTAAGTTTATTTTATACAAAAGTCTTTTATTTATCGATTGAGGCACTACGAAATCTGCCGGGTCAGCTAATCGTTTAATAAAAATCAAAGCGGGCAAATATACTAGTAGATGGCTGCATTTACGTTGTAGCTGTCTGTGGTCTTCGGAAACCACTTAACTTCTGAGCTCGTCCACCAACCTAAGCAATAAAAAAAATACAAATTTATGCAATCACAAATCAAATCAAATCAAATCAAAAAAGTTTTATTCAACATAAATGAAAGTACATACTTGTTGAACGTCAAAAGAACTACCGCCAATTCACAAGAACTAGCCTCCGTCCTGAGAAGAATTGGCAAGAAACTCAGCGGGCATGTCTTTTTTTTTTTTGAAATATTAGATTTTTTTTATTTTTTTTTAAATATAGGTTTTTTTAAATATTCATTTTTACAATAAGTAATTATAACATAACAATTATTACAATATTGAAATGCCCGGAGCTTGTGCAACTTTGTGCAATCTTCTAGATAATCATTGACTTTATAGTAAGCTTTATTGCACAGATGTTCGTTAATAGTTTTCTTAAACCTATGTATATGTAGGTTCTGAACATCTTGTGGGATTTTGTTGTACAGGCGCACACATGCATGGGCGATTAGGTACCGCTATTCTCTTCGCCTGTTTCTACGGCTACTGTTTGAGACAGGAGACCTCAAGACGGGTGACGTCATTCTTATTGAGATGTCCGTGAGCATCTGTAACAACAAGCCCCAGGTGCAAGGTCAGTCTTCCGGTTAACACGCAACTCACCTTCGAGCCTAGAGTCTTCCGACAGCGACGTGAAGAGCGGGGGACCACTCTCAGGCTCTAGCGGGGGAGGACCTTCGTCTTCTTCCTCTTCTTCACCTTCGTCCTACGTCACAGAAAATAAGACACGCCTTTGACACGTTGATTGCCATGTAGGTCACCGGTGCACTGAAGTAATTATGTCGATTTCTCTGTTTGATGTTCTTACTAAGGCGCCGAAGCATCTATTAGGCTCTGGGAAAGACGAATCCGAAAACACTGGAGGAGGTTATTAGGAGAAAGACTGTATGAATCGACCCTGGGTAGGTTCATAAAGTTGCATGTTCCACACGCTGCTTGATGAGGTTCCCAGGGACGGAGTTGATAGATTTGCTTAAATACTAACTTAGTTCTTAAGTTAGTTGTAATACTAACACACTATGAGACTAAGATGTCTTGAAATAAAACTTTTTTTTTCTTTAATTTTTTTTTCCGCTAAGTTACCTCAAAGTCTAAGACATAGTAACAGAAATCGACATAATTACTCGAGTGTGCCACGTAGGGCACCGGTGACCTACACGACAGACAACATGATAAGTATCGCACTAAAATCTTTAAAATAATTCACGACATTAGAAGCAAACTGTCGCATACCCAAAATTTTAAACATTTCTGTATTGTGATTGGTTTTAATGTTTTTTGCATTACATAGGACCATTTCACGAGAAGATTTCTTTAAATAATTTACCCAAAAACTTTAAATATTATATAATACAGGTCGAGACTCCACGAGAAAGAAAAAACGACATAAATGTCTCCGCTGTAGTTTTTGTACGTAAAAAGGGATTTTCTTAACAAGAGACGTATTTCCGGCATTGTGTTTCTTCTTCCTTCATAATTATTGACGCTGCCTTCTCTAACTGCCTTGCTAGTGCCTTGGCATAGGTTATTTTTTACTCATAGCCGTTCTAGAGTACAAAAACTCCTAATAAGTTCCCTCTCTATATGGGACACGGTGTTCGAAGATGTTAAAAGGCCTAACAGTACCTAATTACGTTATAACGACAAAGGGAAGATCTTCTACCTAGCAGGTAATATTGCTCGGTAGACCGACGCGACGGCCCCAATGTTGTTCGGAACTTGTATATATGCAAGCTTATCTTGAAAATATCGTAAGCGAGATTCAGGCATCTGTCAAATATCTTGCGTTCGTATGATGACTACCCGCTACAGTAACATAGGTACCTTCCAGCCATCATTAGTCCAACGCCGATCACACCACATTTTACTTAAACCAAACTGACGAAACTAACCATTCCAGCATTAGGATTCCACCAGAGAGTCCTACCCTGCTTCAGTATATGTCGTCCATGATGCACCCAGTACGTGAGGCTCGAGTCCAGCAGGTCCTTCATCGAGTGGCCGTGGTAAAACGGATTGGGGTTGAAATTTAAATCTCCTAAACATAAGAAAACATTCGTTTCCACTGGTGTTTATAATAGCATATTTATCATTAAGTGTCGGCTTTTACCATGAGAAAGAGCCTCATATTTTGCAGGGACTGTCGCTTATTAGCAAAATGTTAAGGAGCGCTTTAGGGCTTTTACTAGTTTAAGTCATATGTTCGTATAACCTCTAGATGCCATTGGTTTCCATTTTGCTTAGAAAAGAAGGTTAGGCGACTTAAGCGCTTATGATTAATATACAGTAGGTATTAACTGTTACCGACCCCCGCCTTCCTCCAAATCAATATCTTCTTCTTCACCAGAACCAAAAGTGTAGAAGCCCTGAGGAGACACGGACGTGCCGGCTTGGATTCGAGCTAATTGAGCGCGCAGATAATTCCGCTCTGTTCCCTCAAACGGCGGAAACGATTGAACCTTGAGTGGAGACAGTATTATCCACTTATTATCCATCTTAATGTAATGGAACATACGCCCGTTAGAACAGTATTAACCACGGTAACCGCATTGATACCTTACGGCTAGAGAGAAAAGATACAATTTAGGATAAGCGAGAGTGAGAAAATAAACAGAACGTCTCGCAAACCACTCGACCTTGGGGAGAGGGAAAGGACGAAGCGAGCTAGGTCGTTTCTCTTATACACAGTTATTAAAAGAGAAATTTTATTTAACGATGAAAAATGAAGAAAACCACAATACTGCACACCCCAAAAAAGTTTCACTTATTTCACACGCACCAAGTTGCACGCGCACCATTTTTTTTAAGTAGGTAATAGTAGTTTTAAACCACAGCCAATGGTACTTGCACGGCCTAAAAGTAAGGTGCTTTTAGATAACGCAAACACCGGTCACTGTTCTCGTCGAACCCGTCGCTTGCGGCGAAGGGCTCGACGAGTGAATTAACCCATAGACACGGCCCACTGAGTTTCTCGCCGGATCTCCTCAGTGGGTCGCGTTTCCGACACGGTGGTAGATTCTGCGAAACACTGCTCTTGCTAGGGCCAGTGTTAGCAACACTCCCGGTTTGAGCACCGTGAGCTCACCTACACGTCAAGGAGAAGCTGAAATAGCCTCTCAAGGCTATCAGCATAGGTATAAAAAATAAAATTGCCTGAAGGGTTTCTCTGAAACCAAAAATTTTGCCTTTATTTCTGTGGACGGCCTTGCGGATACCGAAATTGAAATGTTCTTGATACAAGTTTGGAATGTCCCTCTCACTAAAAATTCGAACAATATTATTCCATTTAGCTTTTAAACTTAAAACCTGTAACTTCCAGTATTATGTTACAAAGAAAAAGGATGTTTTTCTTAATACCTATATTAGCTTTGAAATACCAAATACATGGACGACACAAAACCCTACTAAATAAAAAACATAGTACAACAGTTGGACCCAATAATTTTTGTATGCATGAAAATATTAAAGTTCAAAGAAATTAATCGTGAAGTATATAATTGACTTGTTCCACTTCTAAAATAGTCGATTTTCTCACCTCAGCATCTAGATTTCCGGTCATACAACGCACAGTGAGGCGGGCCACTCTGATCTGATCAGGAGTTACATCCGGGAGACAGATCCACTGTTCGCCCGGATGATTACATACCCAGAACACCTATAATATATAACGCATAAAGTTATCTGGTTTTAATGAACACCAAAGGTAACTAAGTTTACAAACTAAGGTAACACAACATGGACTCTTAATCGGAGTATGGACTATCGGAACTGAAGCACCTCAAGGAAAATCCTGAGCCTTTACATACCTTGAGGCTTTTTGAGATTGTTTGACTTGAGACCTTTTTTACTAGTGGTAGGACGTCTTGTGAGTCCGCACGAGTAGCCCTGCCTATATTTGCCGTGAAACAGTAATGCGTTTCGGTTTGAAGGATGGGGCAACCCTTGTAACTATAATGAGACCTTAGAACTTATATCTCAAGGCATTTACGTTGTACATGTGTATGGGCTCCAGTAACCACTCAATACCAGGTGGGCTGTGAGCTCGTCCACTCATGTAAGCAATAAAGAAAAGCGACAAATAATTGTGCAGTTTCTTTTCAAGAATCGTTAACCCAATTATAACAACAAACTCTTCAGGACCATACATCTTGCTCTGTCGACTTACGAGAACATTTTAACTTGTTGCTATTTAATGGTTTAGTTTTGTTTGAGACTGTTAAGACTGTTTGAGACTTTCTTTAACACTAAACATACCATAACGGGTCTAATGAACCAATTCGAACTTTTGCATTGAAAATGCACGTGTCGTATTATTGCTTTTGCACATTTGACTTCATGACTTTTTTTTACCAATTAATCTACAGTTATTATACAATTTTTTTGTTTTTTTGGGTACCTAATACCTGTCGTATACCTTTATCTACCCGCTATGGTAGAAAATCGGTATTAGTAAGTGTTGGTATGATTAGTGTTAAAAACTCGATTACCTTCTTATTGACACCCTGTCCAGGCCTCTCGACTGGTATCTCGGGAGGCGGCTGCCAAGTAGACACGGGCTCTGGAGGCAGCTTGGGAGGCACAGGCTCTTTTGGCTTTTCTTCTTTACCTTCACCTTCTCCGACTTGATAAAAACAGACATGTGATGGTTACAAATGAATCCCATCATAAGCTTGTATTTTTATATACCATAATCATATGGATTCTTATTGCGATGCTAGTGAGCTTATGATATTTCAACGCAGTATTTTTATTTTTATTTATTGCTTAGATGGGTGGACGAGCTCACAGCCCACCTGATGTTAAGTGGTTACTGGAGCCCATAGACATCTATAACGTAAATGCGCCATCCACCTCGAGATATAAGTTTTAAGGTCTCAGTATAGTTACGACGGCTGCCCCACCCTTCAAACCGATACGCATTACTGCTTCACGGCTGAAATAGGCAGGGTGGTGGTGGTCGCAAGCGCAATCTTTATAATAATGTAGATACTCCCAAAAGTTAATAAATCTGGTGTTTATTATTTTCATTTTACGTTTTCCGACACGTCGAATACTTACGGCTCGCGTTATATAAAAGTATGTTTTTTTTAATAACTTGATTAACACTCATAAAGGCGATCGAATCCTGTTACGAAATATAACCTCATTTTCGCTAAGCTGAAGACTTTGTTTATTACCTTTTTAGGCAGACGAGCTTTTTAGGCGACGGCCCACCTGATCGCAAGTGCTTACCGTTGCTCATGGACCTCAGCAATGCCAGGAGCACAGCCAAGTCGCTGCCTACCAGCTGACTACCCTGCAAGCCTCGTTTGAGGAAGGACATGTCATGGCGCTTGGGAAACATCCAATATCTTAATTTATGTAATTTTTTTTATTGCCTCTGTAGGCAGAGGAGCATACGGCCCATCTGATGGTGAGTGGTTACCGTCGCCCATGGACTTCAGCAATGCCATGGGCAGAGCCAAGCCACTACCTTTTGTTTATAAATTAAATAGACACCAACGCATCTCTTTCTGTTCTTCGGCAACTTGCATCTGTCCTTCTTCAATCCCCTCGCCTTCACCAGGCATGTCTTTCAGTTCAAACTCCTAATAAACATCAAACCAGCTTTACATCGATACGATTTCGGTCCCATATTAGCAATTATTGATTGAAGATATATTCTATGGCAGCAGCAAGCTACTTACAATCATGTGTTTCATTGACTATACACGCACACGGGCAGGTTCTTTTTTTTTATTGCTTAGATGGGTGGACGAGCTCACAACCCACCTGGTGTTAAGTGGTTACTGGAGCCCATAGACATCTACAACGTAAATGCGCCACCCACCTTGAGAAGTATAGTTACAACGGCTGCCCCACCCTTCAAACCGAAACGCTTCACAGCAGAAATAGGCAGGGTGGTGGTACCTACCCGTGCGGACTCACAAGAGGTCCTACCACCAGTAAGGCGAAGTGAAGTGATTATCTGTGCCACCAGTTTTAAGGTGCCATCATTGTGACTATTTTTGCCGCGAAGCAGTAATGCGTTCCAGTGGAAGGGTGGGGCAGCCGATGATGTACCATAGAACAGCGACTATGTCGTAAGTTGGGTGGTGGAATTTACGTTGCCGACGTCCATGGCTTCGGTAATCACTTAATATCAGGCGGGTCGTGAGTTCGTTCATCCGTCTAAACAATATAACCAAAGAAAAAAGAACCGCCTAAATCTAAAAAGATATAGTTATATTATATATGTAAGTATTATATAGAAACCGGCTACTATATTATATTGAGCCTTAACAAGTAAAACCTGGCGTTTTACCAGGTCCTATAGACTTCACTACGGGAATACCGTCACTTAACTTGAGACTTAAGACCGAAATCACAATCATATTAATAATATTATAATGATAACCGGGAACAAGTCACGCACGGTCATCGGACCCCAAATTAGGATTTCCTGTACTAGGGGAACCACATTCGGGTACACATGCGTATATATACTTTTAAATATACATATACATATATAGGTAACCCTTCTATAACGCGGTAGATACGTTCCTACAAAGTCCCGTGTTGTGCAAAACCGTGTTATAAGAATAGAAGCCAGTACAAAAAAGGAAAGTATTTTTTTCTAAATGAAACATCTCAACTATACCTGTATGTATTGTTTTACCTGATAAACATAAAAAAATCTATATATATAAATGAATTGCTGTTCGTTAGTCTCGCTAAAACTCGAGAACAGCTGGACCGAATTCGCTAATTTTGGTCTCGAATTATTTATGGAAGTCCAGAGAAAGTTTAAAAGTTAGTTAAATAGGAAAATGCTCGGAATTAAATAAAAATAACAATTTTGTTTTTCCTCTAATGTGTCACCCGTCGGATGGATTCCTTTTGTTTGTTTCAAGTTTATTTTATACAAAACTTTAGGTCTTTTATTTGTCAATTGAGGCACTACGAAGTCTGCAGGGTCAGCGAGTAGGCAATAAAATTTCTGTTGTTCTCATATATCGTGTGTTCATAGTTTATAATGTTATTTTCTAAATAATTTTAAACAAAAATCTCGTTATCGTGTTGTACCGTGTTACAGGAGGGTTATCTGTATAGATAATTAACACCCAGTTGTAGAGTGTTGCATAACGTCTGCCCCAGTCTTCAAACCGCTAGGACAACTTTTCTGAAGAAGCAAAGCAAATATAAAAAAAATATCCAAATATTTCGGGCTACAATTTCTTTTACACTATGTTATTTTAAAACGCTTTTGTTAGCTTAATATTGACTAGATACATGTCGGTACATATATTGGATGTATCAACGTAAATCCCACCATATACTCTATACCTAATTGCTGATAAACTAAGGGGCTAGCTGGTAGGTGAACTAACGAGGTAGAGAGCTAGCAATAAAAACGCGCGATACGAGTCAAAGGGTTCGATAATACGAAATTCTTATCCATTAGGCCGCGACGACTGTAAACTTAATGCCAAGCTTTTACCCGGATCCTTCGGTCTAATTCTTCCAAAGTCAATTCAGTTTCAGCGACGTAATAGTTTTCTTTTGTACCATAAATCTTGCCGAAGAATCTGTTTGTTAGAATTAAGCTATTAAAATATTTTATCGGCTTAGTGGTGCCACGAGTTCTTATCCGAGACCAGTTGAACATTACAATTGAGACATTAACTTTATTGAGTGGCTACATTCCCGTTGTGATGTCTATGAGCACCGGTGAACATTTCCAGGGTTACACAGGGTTACATTTTAGATCGTCTGCTCGTTTAAAACGATAAAAACAACTTTATTTTAATTATTGACAGACCCTGTGGTACAGTAATTATTATCGAGTAGCTTGGCTTTCGTGTGACACACAAGTTTGTGTGCTACTAATCTATAATTAACTATATTTTAATGTGTCGAGTTAATTACTGGTGGTCGGACCTCTTGTGAGTCCGCGCGGGTGGGTACCACCACCCTGCCTATTTCTGCCGTGAAGCAGTAATGCGTTTCGGTTTGAAGGGTGGGGCAGCCGTTGTAACTATACTTGAGACCTTAGAACTTATATCTCAAGATGGGTGGCGCATTAACGTCTTAAATGTCTATGGGCTCCAGTAACCACTTAACACCAAAAAAAAAAATCTCTGGTTCCTATAGTAAGTACCTGTTACCTATTTTTGGTCTAAACTTTCTTTATGACTGAAGGATTACTGATGGCCCGGAGGCCTTTCCAGTTTCACCAAGACAGAGGCCTAACCTCCTTCGAGGTTCCCGCGCAATTGCGTGATTTAATCTCGAAAAAGAATAATAAAAGACTATTGTTGCTAACCTGACTGTAGATACGGGCTCTTTAATGGCCAACATGTTTAGAGCTATGTAAACCGCGTAGCATTCGCTATCCGGAAGACCGAATCCACACTAGTTGAGAATAAAACAGAATAAACACTTAAAGTGAAAAATAAAATGCATGACCAACTATTTCCATATTTAAATTTCTTACTATAAACTCGTCTAACCTATAATTGTTTTTCTTTGCTACGTCATGAATAAATTAGTTTATTCCATTACTCAAAAACAGCTGTTATTTATGAGAATACATATTCAATACGATACATCAAAAAGCCGGTACAAAGCCTAGGAGAAAAACGAATACCAGTTTGTGAAACACAGCAAAATGAGCTCTTGGAACGCAGTGTGAATTAATCCAATGCCCAATTCGATTAATCCAATAGCAGGGAGTTCCGGTCCTTAATATTGCAAGGATAAATGTATAAGACTAATAATCTCAATAAAAACTGTTACTTAACTATGTAATAAATGAAATACGGTTGGTCACGTTACCTCCTTGAAATAATAATTGCTGTCAATAAGGTCCGCAATCCTGGGCTTCACGTTGTCTTCTTCCAGGTCCAATTCCTGTTCCTCTTCATCCATATCTTCAGCTTTTTCGGCCTTGCTTTTTACCAGCTTAAAAGTAAGAATGATATTACAAAAGTTGACGATAGACGAGTTTGACACAGAGTAACGACTACTATTAATACTGCTGAATTAGTTCTGCAATATATTTAACAGCCAAAATAACAAATGCTAATGGACGTTAACCTCATCGATTTAAGGCTGAAAGAAATTTATCGTGTAGCCATTTACCTACTGTGTGGTCCTTCAAACGGATCACGATCTCTTAAGATCAGATCTTCTAACAAAATTGAAATGAAACAAAGTCATTACACGCTTTATATTAGCTTTAGCTGAAATGCTTTTTACACACAAATAATTTTTACACACAAATNACAAATGCTAATGGACGTTAACCTCATCGATTTAAGGCTGAAAGAAATTTATCGTGTAGCCATTTACCTACTGTGTGGTCCTTCAAACGGATCACGATCTCTTAAGATCAGATCTTCTAACAAAATTGAAATGAAACAAAGTCATTACACGCTTTATATTAGCTTTAGCTGAAATGCTTTTTACACACAAATAATTTTTACACACAAATAAATTATATATTTTTTTACACTATTTTCAATTTAAATTGATTAAAATTTATTTTCTATTTTTTAGTTGAATTTTATATAAAGCGTGTTTTTAAGTTTTTTTAAACTATTATTTTTTTATTCTTTATATAAATGCAATAAATAAAATTCGCTTCCTAAATCTGCCGCTTTACTATTCCTACCCGAAACATCTCCTCCATTCTTCTGACGACTGCCAGCTGCGGAGGAGACAGATAAACATCGTTTAGCAGATCGAAGTTCGGTCGAAACTTTTCCTGCTTCACCTGCCAAGAGTACTGCTCGAAATGCTCCACCACATCCGGTGGTTTCTGGGACAGGATCTTTTGGACCACGTCAACCAAATGATCGTATCTAGAAGAAGGTTTTGATAACATTAATTGTTTCTTTATTGGTTAGATGGGTGAAAACAATACGTATACTTAGGGTAGATTTTCGTAAATAGGTAAAATCAAAGCTTATAATAACCGTACAATGTGTCTCCAGTCGCTGCACTCTGCTGCTTTAAGAAGTTTTTCGCTAATACCAAATCATTATTAAGATCTGGCATAACATTTTCAGTGGCCGCTATAATATCCGGCTCTAGCATGTAATCGCATAAGTTCTTTTCCATCTTAATTATTTATGGTAAATCCAGAACGAAGATTAATACAAAAAATCATCAATTTCACATTAGTTATTGACAGTAAATCACTGTTATTATAGACAATATATTTGACAAACTCGTTGATTTACAAATTATTGAAGGTCCCAAACTTTTTAGATAAGAGTTGAAGCTTTTACATATTAGGTCTTTGCTTTAGAAGCTATGGGTGACATCTGAAATTCCTCATCAGGGCATCAGCCCTTTTCTTGGATGCCTATACCCTCACAATGTATGGACCATTCTCTAGATGCATAGAAGCTAACGCAATCGCAAAATGCCTGGTACTGTACTCGTATCCAACAAGTGCGCGGCCTCACTGAGTACATTTTAGTGCGATTAAAACGTTCACTACGTAACAGGCCCATATCGGCCCGCCGCTAAACTTTCAGCTGGTGCGGACGAAGAAAACTATGTCCCTCTCGCTGGTGCGGACTGATTAATTCAGGTGTTTGTAAGAGTTCGATACCGACAACTACATATTATAATAAATTGTATAGAATATGTTTTCGCAAAGTTATAGCATTTTAATCTACCCTAGTGCTGGTGGGTCGAAAAAAACTTGCCACGTACTGGTGGAAATATTGTTGGAGGCGCATTACGATCCGCCGCCGCAACATATGAAGGTTTATGATTTCGATCGCGGCCACCAATTAACGACAATGCTTCCAAGCTTCATGAAAAGCACAGCCGTACTCTTCAAAAGAGGTCGTCCTCCCGACACCACTGCTTGTATCTCATCGCGAAATAGGTGCGGAACTCCATTCCTGCCATCATAATCTTTGGCCAGCCCCTGCTGTGGGCCTCGAAGACCAATTACCAGTCAATGACCGAGCTTCGTTTCTACTCGGTCGACCATGATTTAATTACCCCATGATTTTCAAAACTTACATACGTTCCGTCATGAGCTATGCAAGTGTAGTGTTCGCTCAGGCGGCCCACACACACATTTACCCCCTCCAGGTCATCCAATACCGTGTTTGCAGGATAGCGGTCGAAACCCTATGGCACGCGAGCAATGTCGATCTTCACGACGACCCGAATTTATATCCGATAAATAAGTATCATCAAAGAGCGTCAGAACGCTCCTTCAAAAAAGTGACGGTCACGACAACCTTCTTTACGTGGTCGCCGCCGCAACGCCGCGCCGTCCCGCAAAACAAGTCTTATAGGATCCCCGGATCCGCTCTCGGTGCTTTTAGACTCTTCAAGCACCGGTCATAGTCCTCATCGAATTCGTCGATTAAAGAAAGTTCGATGAGCAAACTAGCCCATAGACACAGCCCACTAAGTTTGTCATCGAATCTTTTCATTAAGCGCGATTCTGATTCAGTTGTAGATTCAAAGGGCTTTTTAGCGGGAACGCGAGGAGTTAATTTGTGTGATTTGATTTATTTTGTCTATTTAGTGTTTCTTCAGGTTTAAATGTGTAATAACGGTGGTCTATTAGCTGTTTAGTATCTGTGAAAGTGCGCAAATGTGGGAAAATGAAACAAAGCCGCTGAACGTAACTTCTCAGGATCCTCCAAAAAGTCCACTGAAAAAATCTCAGTAAATAACCACCATTTTACTGGGATTATGTTTCGTCCTATATCATCCCATCTCATTTCATTTGATTTCATCCCAGTTGATAAATGTCTCAAATTAATCATCTTCGTTTCATTTAATTTGACTCCATATTATCACTTTTCATAAAAATATGAGTTATGTATGTAAAATAAGACTTGACCTAAAGGTCTTAGTCACCAGGTCATAAAATCCCTTAAAAAAAGTAGGAATCAAAGGTTAAGGTTATAATATTAAAAGTTCTTGACTTTTAAACTAAGATCTAGTGTATTACTTATATTTAAATATGTAATAAATTAAGAGTTACAAATAAAGCAAAGTGTGTCTTACACAACCGAATGCTACATTTAACTATTCTAACCTAATAACCAAAACATAAACAATCAACAATGTCCGCTAGATTTGATGTGGCCCTACACAAATTTCGACAGCAATGCCCTTATGTGAGCAAAGACCTGCTCCGCTGGTTCCCTGGTCATATGAACAAAGGTCTAAAACAGATGCAACGTAAATTAAAAAGCGTTGACTGTGTCATAGAAGTACACGATGCCAGGATACCTTTTACAGGCAGAAATCCAATCTTCACAAGCACATTGACTGGCGCTAAACCTCACATATTAGTCCTTAACAAGAGGGATTTAGTCATAACATCATTAATACCTCGAATTAAAGATCAACTAAAAGCTGNTATGAACAAAGGTCTAAAACAGATGCAACGTAAATTAAAAAGCGTTGACTGTGTCATAGAAGTACACGATGCCAGGATACCTTTTACAGGCAGAAATCCAATCTTCACAAGCACATTGACTGGCGCTAAACCTCACATATTAGTCCTTAACAAGAGGGATTTAGTCATAACATCATTAATACCTCGAATTAAAGATCAACTAAAAGCTGAACAAAATGTCGACAATGTCGTGTTTACAAACAGCAAAGATCAGTTTTGCCGCGGTCTGAAGACTATTAAACCTTTAATGGTTGATTTAATAAAAAATTCTAATAGGTATAACAGAAGCGAGGAGCTAGAGTATAATGTTATGATAATTGGAGTTCCAAATGTCGGTAAATCCTCTATGATCAACATGTTGAGATCCAGGAATATTAGTGGAAGGCATGTGCTGCCGGTCGGTGCGGTTGCCGGTGTAACCAGGAGTCTTATGATGAAGATGAGAATAAATCATGACCCCTGTATATTTATGTTGGATACTCCAGGTAAATATGGAATTAACACATTGGTTACTAATGTTCGACGCTGATATTGTCAGGCTGCACTGCCTACCAACAGATCATCTATGAAGAATAGATTTAAATTTTAATTTGTTGTAGTATCCATAATACAGGAGAAAATCTCATTTCAGAGTGTTATATGTGTAACATTTTAAGATCTAAAAAAAAACTGACCCTACATAACAGTAGGATATTAAAAAATCAGATTAATGTGTTACTTATTACTTTAGTTAAAATCAGATATAACATGTGAATATTTATTTTTAGGTATCTTAGAGCCATCAGTAACAAATATAGAAATGGGTTTGAAGCTTGCATTATGTGCTGCACTTCAAGATCATCTTGTAGGCGAGGAGATCATCGCAGATTACTTGCTGTACTGGCTTAACAAGCATAGGAAATTTAAATATGTGGACTTCATGGGCTTAGACGAGCCTTGTGATGATATTAATAAGGTATGTGAAAAAGTTCTAAAGGGGCCAAAGCTCATCACATAGATACTTTTTTTTTTTTTTTCTTCTTTTGGCAATAGCGTTTACTTTTTGCCAATGACGTAAATTAAAAGATTGGGAAACCAAGTTAAAATAGGATATGAAACATGAGAAACAATCAGATAAGTCGGAAGAAGTTTGAAACGGACAATAAAAATTTCATAAATATACATATATACACTTACAAATCAAATATTTAAACTTTAATATGGTTCTGAAGGATGAAAGATGACAATATTTTATAAAATATACATGGATACATAATTATACAGGATATACAGGTAGGAAAAGGAACATTAAGAGATATTAGATCATTCAGGAATGAGGAGCGGTCGTATNGGAAAAGGAACATTAAGAGATATTAGATCATTCAGGAATGAGGAGCGGTCGTATAGAGGACATGAAAAGAAAATGTGATCTAGATCACATTTATCTGATTCACATTCACATATGTCAGTAGATACAATGCCTAATCTATTAAGATGAACAGGAGTGCAAACATGACCCAAACGCATTCTTATGATAGAAGAACATACTAACATAGATACTGATGACAATGGTTATTTTAGTTTTTGTGAGACCTCTACCATTAGTGGCAATATTTCGAATTGATTTTTTGTTCACACTAGGTATCACTTTTATATAATGTCCAATAGAAGAGCCAATTTGATGTATTATAATACAAACTATAGATGTTTTGATATCTTTATTTTGATTTATGGAGTAGGATGCCATTATAAAACACACTCAAAGACTCCTGTTTCTTGAGTAATGGCACTAGTGATGTTATCATGTTCAAGGGTCTTTGTAACATTAACATCAGGTGAGCTGTGAGCTCATCCAACCATCTAGTGTAATAATTAAGTAAAAACAAGTGATAATGGTAGGGGAATATAATTATTAGTAGAACATTTTTGTCTTTAAAAATATTATATATAATTCTATAGGCATTTTACTTTCATTTTTGAATCAAATTTAATGTTTAAATTTTTTAATGGATCCTTAAAAGGGCAAAATGTTTATATATTACCATGGTTCTTACACACAGGTACTCCTCTCCGGTGCCATTAAATACAACCGTATCAGAAAAGTTAGAGACTTTGATGGTAAAGTCCGGGATGTACCGGACCTTCTTGAAACCTCCAGACACATTATTAAAGCCTTCAGGACGGGAGAATTGGGAAAAGTTATTCTAGATATTGACCTGCTGGAGAATAGACCTAGCAATAAACAGGAGGTTCTAGCATAACTGTTCTATTAACCTTTATATTCAGCTCAATACAAAGAGAAATGAAATTTTTGGAACTACCATTTAAATGAAGAAATTATTAATCCACATAACGAACTTTCCTTTAAAATGTAGTTCATTCACTCACTTATTATGTCGGATGCTGAGAATTATCAGGTCTGAAGTTTGTCAACATGCTCTCGAGAGTGATGCCATCCATGTTAAAAGATTTGGAAAAATTCAAATACTAAAGACAAATATAGTACTGAAACTAATGTAATAAAAAAAGTAGCCAAAATGATATGATACAAACGATGAAAACCTAAATCAAAGAAACTGTCAGACCTCGAGAAACTGTTAATTCTTTCTGTGTGCAACAAAACGTAAAGTCAATAAATTTATAGAAAATTTGAGGATAAATAACGTCTTAGTTGTCCGTGACTCAAACTAAAATATACATAATTTAAATAAAAAATAAAAAATAATAAAACATTCAATGTCAGATTAAACCACGAAAGTCATCATAGTCCTATTTGTTAAAACACATCAGATGTAATGCCTGATGAGCACGTATTTATACAGAGATATGTAAATATACAGGAAATGGCAAATTATAGTAAGAATCAGCTAAAATCTGTTGTAATATAAAACAGTCGACTAGCAATGTACACATAAGCCATTTTAATTAAGTCACCATTCATAGTTAGTGTCGATGGCAACACGCATCTTCAATTAGTTTTCTAATCTTCTATAAATAGAGAAGTCTCCATAAAGTCTATGGGTTATAATAACCGCTTAACTCCACGCGATCCGTGAGCTCGATCACCCATCTACGCAATAAAAACATATACAACGTATTTTTACGCAACTAAATGATATTGTAGAATGAATATGAGTAAATGAATTATGAATACTAATTAGTAGGTATTTCCTACGTCTTGAGTTTTTGTCGCTTTTTTTTTTGAACTAAAGTTATTATTTTAGTGATGAAAAAATTTTGAATCTTTTTCCGGTGTCCGTGATTAAATTACATAGTTTTAATTGCCTCTGAATATATTAAGTGTTGAATGAAACTTTAAAACTAATCATACCAACGCTTGCTGATACCTATTTGTACCATAGCGGGTAGATAACGGTATACGACAAGTATTACTCAAAATAAACAAAAAAATAGTATAATAACTGTAGATTAATGGGTAAAAAAAATCATGAAGTCAAATGTGCAAAAGCAATAATATGAAACGTGCATTTTCGCTGCAAAAGTTCAAAATGGGTCATTTGACCCATTATAGTATGTTTAGTATTAATATTGTGTAAATATAGATTTAGTTGTAAATAAATAGTTGTCTCAAGCAAAATTTCTTTGAAACGTTATTATTTCTGTTATTTAATAGGTGTCTTCAGGTGCTCAATCTGCGGTGTACGCGCTCAAGTGATCGCTTAATACCATATAAGCTGTGAGCTCGTTTACCCATCCTTATCGATTGGTCAACCTATTTTATAGTTTATTGAAACTCTATTTTAACTATGAAAGCGACGTAATTAGATTCTAAACTTTCCGACATCAAAAAAACTGTGGCCTCTTTTAAATATGCAGTGACGTAAAAAGAAATCACTACTAGTCATTTCAGTCATACAAACTGACTTATGAAACCACAATACACAGAATTGAAGAAAATCAAAGACGTAAAATGTTCAAATCATAAAATTAATGTGTACTAAAAATTAACAAACTAAATAGATACATTAGGTAATATGTGCATTTGATCCCTTGATAGTCCATTATAAAAAATGGATATTTACAGCTGTATCGAAACATTTTTATCGACGTTACAAAACTACAGATGGCTTATAAACTTAGCTGACCACTGCTATCCTATTTCAATGATGTCTGTAATCCACACAGCGAGCTAAAATGGTACTAAGAAGGAGATACAGCAAAGAGTTCGGCCGTAAGGCCACTCCCATACCGAAATACTTCAGCGAGATAACCTTTGACGAGAGTTCAGAATCGGAAACATTTGAAACCGAGACTTCATCTTACACGACGTACTCCGGCGAATCTGAAACTACGACTGTAACAACGGAAGACACCTTGAGCATGATCAGTACTCCTTGGAGCAGTGAAACGTGGGACTCTGCCGTTTTCAACAGTGCAAATTCAGAGAAGACGCTAACACCGAAATCTTCCACGTCCTATGGAGCTACGACACCGTTCTTTAGCGTCAGCAGCAAAAACACTTTGACGTTATTAGAATCAGCTGTTTCGCTCAATGAAAGTCACGTGATGAAGCCGACCATTCGAGCGACCCAGTCGATGTCTTCGGGAACTTTAAGTTCGTGGACCCTTGAAAGTTTCACCAGCACGGGTCTCATAGACTCTGATATTCTAAAAGTCGAGTATCCCTGGAGCCCTTGCACTGATATGAGCGGAACTGATGTATACCCTAGTAGTGTAGACACGTTCGAATCTAGAAAAGGTAGCAGGGCTGCAATGAATACTCTCAGCAAGAGAGAGCTATTTCCCATGAATTATTTGTGTACACCGCACGAAGACACTGTTCTAGATTGGATGTTAGTGAAGAACAAAGGGATTTGTGTGTCGTGACGGGAAAATAAACCTCAAAAAAAACAGTAAAATAACTTTATTTGAAACATTGCATTTTCCATTATCCCTATAGTATATTATAATAAATCTTGCATCTAAGCAAGTGGCAATAAGTGAGCACTTAGGATAACATTTAAATATTTGATCGTATATAGAAAAAATTACAAGGAACAAAAATGTAAAAATATCCTTTTAACCTTACGACATATTGGATATATTAAGCTAATAACCACTATAGGGTCTTTCATTCTTTGGGCACATTGCAGATGCCAATGACTGCCTTGTAGTATTTGGGTTCGGAAAGCGCGTCCACTAGGAATGTGCCGAGGTCGCACTTAGCAATGGTCCTGCCCGGTGTCTTCTCAGGGTTCACTTCAATAATCATTTCTCGGCTTGGGTCGTCTAGAATTAAAAAAATACCATCATCAACTGAATGTACCAGAACTCACAGACGAATTGCCTCAAAGATGGCCAGCTGACCAGTAGTGGTCAACATTTCCATAATTTCTTTTTTCCTGCCTATTCTAGTGGCCTCGAGGGGTCATACCAGATTCACCGAGCGAGTAGGCGAGTTTGCTAACACTAGCCCTAGCAAGAGCAGGTAGTGCTTCGCAGAATCTAAAACCGGATCGGAAACGCGACCCACTGAGAAGATCCGGCGAGAAACTCAGTGGGCTTTTTAAACATTTCCAGGCTTTTCAGCTGGTCTATATACTCTCTAGCACCTCACTTGCCGGTGGGACTTGAAAAGAATGAGTGAGGCTTATGCTGCGATATCACGAAGGGGATTCATGACCTAAGAACGACTTTAGCTACTTTTCACTTCCCTAACCCTATGTATATAATATATAAATATATTGTTATAAACCGTACATATTTTTTTTCCCAAAGTACCATACCTTACGTGTAGCGCTATAATATTCATCACTCTTCATTGGAATTTAATTTTGATATAGAATCCTGAACAGAGCGATATTCACTGTTTGCCAAAGGCATGAATTTTCGAGATGTTTTTATACCAAACAGTGAGTAACAACAAATATTTTTAATTACCTGTGAAGTGTGGCGGAAACGCGGCGATCCAATTTAAGCCGCTGTCTTTCAGAGCCTGGAACATTCTCTTGTGGTCTTCGTTCAAATTGACGAAGATCGGCGGCACCTTTTCTTGTTCATAAAATAAGAATGCCGATAAACAAGCCGACACCGTCTTAACGTTCTTCGCTCTCATCGCGTCTATTATGTTTTTGGTTCCTTCAGATAAATCCGAAGTCGGCGCCAGGTCGTTCCTAGTCCCGAGGGTGATGACGACAGCGTCTGTTCCTTCGACGGCCTCATGTACCGAGTCTGGTTCGAGAACATTTCCTTTGACTATCTCGACCTTGTCTTTAAGATGTTCTGGGAGTTTTGCTGGGTCACGTACGAACGCTCGTACTTCTAGGCCTGCCAATGCAATGAGTTTATTATAGATATTGATTTACTACCAGGGAATAGGCACCATTAGCGGTAGGTAGCGGCTTGGTTCTGACCCTGGCATTGCTGAACTCACCATCAGGTGGGCCGTGAGCTTGTCTGCTTACAAGAGTAATAAAAAAAAAAAGAATAACATGGGTCGAGCCATTTATCTTCCAGACATGATCTTGAGATCATAATTGTATTACGTTCATGACTTACAGTCAACTAACCTTACGCTATCTTATTAATAAATTATACACAGTAAAAGCGCGGTATATGTTCGGTAAAAACGCCGCAAATACAGAAACACATGAATATAGTATGGTCATTTACATAATAATATATGGGATTATAGGTTATACATTCAGTAAGTGACAAAATAAAAACATACTTTAAGCATGGTTGTAATAAGGTCCATTTTACTTTATTAGTACTCTATTTGACAACGCGTTCACAAAGGATATTCGGTTGGATACGTACATATTGGAATCCTTTTACGCCTTCGTTAAACAGTACGCGTACTTAGCGCGCGTCAGAGCGCTAAACTTACGCCGCGCTATGACGCCGAGACACAGAACACTATTACTTCTAGCGAAGTGTGTTGTATTAATATGGTAACATACCGTCAAACAGAGCCCCAGCGCTATAAGTACGCAACGCTCTGTTGCGGCGTTAGGACGCTTTGACGTCAGGCGTTGTAATTTTTTACAAATTTTATTTTTGCGTCCGAGTGAATGTGTATTAAAATACTGGATAATGCCCGAAAAATTTACATATTTATAATACTACATTATGAAGTGAAGTTTCGAAAATAATTATTTACATTAAATTAACATTCCAATTGTAATTTGGTTCAGGTGTAATTTGGCTACAAATCACAAAGTGAACAGCAGTTTACTGGTGGTAGGGCCTCTTGTGCGTCCACACGGGTAGGTACCACCGCCCCGCCTATTTCTGCCGTAAGGCAGTAGTGCGTTTCGGCTTGAAGGGTGGGGCAGCCGTTGTAACTATACTGAGACCTTAGAACTTATATCTCAAGATGTGTGGCGCATTTACGTTGTAGATGTCTATGGGTTCCAGTAACCACTTAACACCAGGTGGGCTGTGAGCACGTCTACACACCTAGGCAATAAAAAAAAAACTTAAATTTATGAATTAATTAAAATAAAAACAAGCTGATACTAGAAAGGCAAAATCGAATGTACTTTTGTTTTATTGGGTCAGACTGGCAGCAAGCTTCTGAGATATAAAAGTAGGCAGAAACTTGGCTACGCACCTGACATTACAGACATTCACGAGCAAAGGTGACCGCTCACCATAATGTGGGCTGTAAGGCTGCCACCATTGCCATTAAAAATATATGATTTGGTATCACCATTGTATCTACTGCCCACCCTTGAAACAGGAATGCATAAATATTTTGTAGCCAAAGTACACTACATTTATTATGTGGATTCATAACACAGCCTACATCTAATACTAAAGTCTGAGACTCTCCTTCAAACAGAGTAATATAAGAACTAACCTGGCTAACCTGAATGGTTACCGGAGCTCATAGACATCTAAAGCGTAAATGCCACCACTCACCTTGAAATATGAGTTCTAAATAGGTGAGCAGATTATTATGTGGCTGTGCTATGTTGTTTATATAATTAAGTGGTATAATTTTAATTTTAAATTAAAGTTATACAAGTAACTTGCTGGACCAGTAGTTCCAAGGTCAACCAGCAATAGGCCATTAATAACAACAGTTTTGTAAAACAATTAACTGTTTTTTTTAATGCAATTTGGAGTAAAACATTCAACCTTGTATATAATAAACGAATTATAGTGTAAGTTACTTAGTAAATGTACTAAGGCCAATGGATATTGATATACAAAATAACTAGGAGCTTCAACTGTTTTTATTCGTTTTTTAAATAGTTAAGTACCTTTTTTAAGTGCCGCCTCAACAGCGTTCAAGCCGATCACGCCAGTCGAACCAAAAATCACGACCTTCTTCATTTCTATGAACAAGAAATATTAGTAGTTAACAACAAGTTGCTGATTTAAAACACTTACCATAAATCTGATAGGTACTTGGTAATAGTATCTTTAGGTATCAAGAAAACTTATCTTGATCTGAACGTAAGATAACAGAGATGATGAAACGAGACGATCCAAACAATAGGTATCAAATTGATAATTTATTTCGTTACTCGTTCCCTTGTTCATATGAAGTAAATTTTAACTTAATTAATTTTTATTTATGACTGCAACGCTCAAAATTATTTGTTACAGTGTTTTATTAATGAATTTCGTTATTATCGCATTTGATTCCCTTTAGAAGTTCTAATGCCGAATATCCGAATGATGTATCTTTATTCTTTAAAAACTTACTAAGTTTAACTGTTTATTGATATTTCTCAACAAGCACCGGCTCAAAACTGAATTGTCACCTTGTGCCAGTAGCCCCCTCCCTCTGTCTTAGTAATAGTTTTATTTTCCAATTGGAAAGGCAAAAGTCATCATACCATACTACCTAATCTTTTATTTATAATATATTTTATATAAAAAATGATATTACGAAATGAAATGTGATGAGACGAGACGAGACGAGATTAGATGAGATTCATTTTAATTTAATTGTGTATATTTTATACTGTTTTTTTTACACTTATTTTATTTTATTTCATTTTTTGATTTTATTCATCCCTACAACTATATTTAATAAGCACTATGGGACTATATCTAATAAAACCAAATCTTTACTCACAATTTTCTAAGCCATCTCTGTTCTATGAAAAATGAAATGAAACGGAATTAAATATATGTGTTTTTCGACTGAAATAGAAAAACACGTGGGATAAGCTATCACCTAAAGTTGGAAGACAATAGCTGAAATTGCCTCTGAGTAAAAAATTGGAAATTTACTGATAGTGAACTTTTTAGAAGAGCCCGAAAAATCCTATCGGGATTATAGTCTTTCATTTTTCTTTTTTTGTGAACTATTTCTGATTTTAAACAGTTAAAAATACCACCACGTTTTAATACACGCTCAAAACTAAAGAAATAAAATAATCCACAGCTTTCCACTTCGCATTCTCTACAAGGATTCCTAATTCCAAGATCAGTAATAATTTCGTTTCTTTGATTTTACTATTCATAGCACAGACATGAATTCTCCCTTCCATGAAAAAATATGACATCTATGGACTAAGTTCCATTGCTTAACCAATGAACAAATCAAAAAGTTCGTGCGGAGCTAGCTATTATAAAAACACTAAAAAATAATTACTTAAATATTATACACCTAATAGTTAAAAATTTGATAATATTCATTAATATTTAAGAATAAGAATAGTAATCTTTGCTTCGCCAGGCTAACCCTCCTTAGCTCACCTATCCACTTGGTGAACCTGGCATAGCCCCTCGAGATTACAAGGATAGGTAGGCAAAAAACTGCCGAAGATTAAGGAAATTTAAATATTAACTGTATGTATTATATACATATGTATTATAATGGAATCCATTGTACCTACCTAATCTATATGGCAGTTACACAGCCGATTGTCAAAATGATCAAGGCTCACTGAATTTGGACCCCCTTTTTTTGATTTTCGGTTTTTTTTATTTTTATTTATTTGTCCGTTTGTTTGTTCGTTAATGTTCGAATTCGATATAAAAAAATTGATAATTGAGAATTTAATTGTTTAAAAAAATTGATAATTGAGAATTTAATTGTTTTTATGATCGAACAATCACCAATAGTCATGGAACAAACGATAATTGATCAAAATTAATTAATCTGAGCGATAAAAATAAAGATATCTAGTAAGGAGGTAGAAGTTAAGGGTGATCATTTGTTTAATTAATTATAAACAAATTAAAGACGAACAATCAATTTTTATATTCGAACATTAACGATCAAACGACGAAAAAAAAAAAAAAAAAAAATTGAAAATAAAAAAAAAGGGGGCCAAATTCAGTAAGCCAATGATCAATAGGTAGGTACAATAAAGTGTATAATCTATGGCATTTCTAAATAAAGTTAATCTGTGCGACTTTTTGGCGGGAACGCGAGTAGTGAAGTTGTGTGATTTGTTTTATTTTGTCTATTTAGTGTTTCTTGTTTCTTCGGGTTTAAATGTGTAATAACGGTGGTTTATTAACTGTTCAATATCTGTGAAAGTGCACAAATGTGGGAAAATGAAACAAAGCCGCTGAACATAACTTCTCGGGATCCTCCAAAAAGTCTACTGAAAAAATCTTAGTAAATGACCACCATTTTACTGAGATAATATTTCATCCCATTTCATTTCATTTAATTTCATCCCAGTTGATCAATGTTTCAAATTAATCATCTTCATTTCATTTCACTCCATAATATCATTTTTCATAAAAATATGAATATAAATTAAAATAGAAGATAAATAGAATAGAATAGATAAATAAATAGAATAAATAGAATAAAATAGAAAATAAAAGATATTTATTTATTTATTTATTTATTTAGACACACCAACAGCAATACACACAAAACATTCAAGCTTAAAATTAACATGTATAAAATTAAGTACTGGTATGTAACCCAGTTACAGGCATGTACAGCAATCTCTTATAACACACTATGACATGTTACAGCAATTTTACAAACAGTGGAAAAATAGGCTAAAATTAAATGTTAACAGTATGACTTAAAGGTCTCAGTTACCAGGTCATAAAATCCCTTAAAAAAAGTTAATCTGTTCTTTGCGATTGCATTCGAACGTGTTTTTTAATAAGCAAGAACTGAATTAAGCGAAAACATCAATTAAATAAGCTGAACAGGGTGTTCTAAAGAATCACACGGGAATTAAGCGTAAAAAAAGATGGCAGACGCGGAAGAATACTTTCCGCGAGGTGGAAAGAAGCCTACCGGTGCACATTTTAAGCAGAGTGGCAACGTGAGTACAGTGGATGTCCACTATTATTTTATAAATGAATTGCTTATTTATTTCTAACCTGATTTAGTTAACCAAAATTACCCTAGACTATCTGTTGACTAACTAACTTATCAACTTGAAACTAAACATAACTACAAAAAAATTCCAAAATCAAAATATCACAAAAAAAAATTGTTAAGATAAAAAAAAATCTTCTAAAAAAAGTATATGAAACTAATAGTTTAATTATGTAATGTAATATGAAACTAATAGTTTAATTAAGTATGTGTACTATATAATACTTTTAACTAATTTAAATAATTGAGATAAATAGCAGTACAAGAATAATTAGAGCTTAGTAATATTTGTTTTGATTTAGTTTTTAGGTGTTGCAGAAAAAGCAGAAAAAAAGAAGAAAAAACCTAAGAAAAAGTCTGAGGGTGATGACGGATATCTGTCTGACGAAGCCCAAGATTATTTGAAAACACACAAGTTAAATAATAATTTAATTTTCCTAAGTGCTAAGGTAGGAAAAAAACAACCTACCATTCATCTGTACAGTGAAATAATGTTAAAACTCTTCACGTGTCATTGAGAATAAACTACAACTACTTTACTGGTATTAGGCTGCATATTAAGCCCATATAGGTAGATACTGCCATTCTGCTCATTTTACCATGAAGAAGAACACAATTTGATTTTAATGGTGGTATAACTTATTTAATAAATTGGTTGATACTTCAACCTCACATCTCAAGTTGTATGATGAAATTCATGCTGTGTATCTAAGGGCTCCTCTTCCACACCAGGCTATGAGCTTGTTTATCCACCAATGCAAAAATAGTGAAAACTGAGAATAAAATAAAATTTACTTTACATAAATATGAATCCAAATAATTATTGTGACCCTGTCTTCTACATACATAATGCACCTTTTTATTTTTTGAACATAACACATATAAAACACTTGAGTTCAGTAAGAAGTTATGAAACTTTGTTTTTAAGATGTTGTCTCCGGAATCACAATGTCTACAACCTCTATTTGTTTTCTGGAATGTTTTCTACATACCCTTATACATTTTGCATGAAAATTTGTATTTCTTTGATGAAATTTTTGTTTTGCAGAGTTTAAGGCCTGGAATAAATTTACTTGGCAGGGTGATTCATGTATCCGATGTCAAAATAAAAGTATCGATGCCTTGCAAACTATTGGGCAATGTCATGGCATGTCACATCAGCGAGTCTTATAATAAGCTACTCGAAGCTTATGTTGAAGATAAGGTAATTTTTATTATTATATTTAAGGGTGAGCATTGCCTCTACATATGAAAATGAATGTGAACATGTGATTTGGGAGTAACATATTACTGACTGAATTACACATTATACTTACCTTAATGAATCACTTCCTAGCATACAGTCTTTTAGGACACTTAAATAAAAGCGGTTCTAAATAAAAAAATAAAATGTTTATTTTATGTAAAAATGTCCAATCTTCTTATGACGGGGATTGTGGCCTCTTGGATTTTTTAACAGCGCATGCGCATGACGGAACCATAGGTTTCGCCCAGTCTCATGATCAAGCTGTAATTTGAAACCAGACTATTCTTGTCATATTTTGGTGCTTAAGATATCAGTTAAGAATTAGGCAGATTAATGAGTTATTAAACTGACACTGCAAACAGAACATATCACCGTCCTCTCTGAACCCATCGCTTGTAAGGAAGGGCTCCACGAATAATTTAACCCATGGCTTGCGTTTCCGATTCGGTGGTAGATTCTGCAAAGCACTGCTCTAGCTAGGGTCAGTGTTAGCAACACTCCGGTTTGAGCCCCTTGAGCTCACCTACACATCAAGGAGAAGTTGAAATAGCCTCTCAAGGCTATCAGCATTGGTATGGAAAAGAAAAAAAAAACTTGTCGAGGGGTGAAAGACTATTTTGGTTAAGTGACATTTTTTTAACTTTACAGGAGAGCCATTTAAAGTTTAAAATTTGGAAAAAATATGTTAACAAAAAAACTTCTTCAGCTATTTGAATGGGGTAAACTTAATTGAAGTTCAATTAAAAACTTCGAACTGTTCATGTTAATACAAAATAAAACAGACCTTTAATTACGAAGATAATTACGCATCGTTTGGAACCTCTGGGTCTGCGGAGGCACTTCGGTTCCCTCAGTATCTTGTACCGTATGTTCCATGGGGAATGCTCTGGAATTGTTGGAGATGATCCCCTCATCTCCTTTTTATCACCGCACCTCCCGTCATCGGAGCAGAGTTCATCCATATTATCTGGAACCGCGTTCATCGACAGTGCGTTTCCAGAGGTCTTTTTTGCCACTTACCATCTGGTTATGGAATGAACTCCCCTCCACGGTGTTTCCCGAGCGCTATGACATGTCCTTCTTCAAACGAGGCTTGTGGAGAGTACTAAGCGGTAGGCAGCGGCTTGGCTCTGCCCCTGGCGTTGCTGAAGTCCATGGGCGACGGTAACCACTCACCATCAGGTGGGCCGTATGCTTGTCTGCCTACAAGGGCAATAAAAAAAAAAGATAAATGTATTTCTGAAACTCCCTCATCCCCTAGATATAATATCTTATAACTGCACCACTAAAAAGCCATTTTAGTGCTCTTTTTACTGCTTTAATATAATCTATTTTGATCCTCTTAATTAAATATTTGCATAACTGTACTCTGCTTTTAAAATATTCGATGTCATTTTAAAATCCATTTCAAATATACATGAATACAATAAAATCGCAATAATACTTTGAACATCAAAGACAATTAGTTTTAAGAGCTGCAACAATATTAAGTAACGCACATAGATAATCAGACATGAAATAACCTTAGTTAGTTATGCCAATATGAAGTCTATTAATTAGTTTTTGTTTCCTATCCATATAGACTGAAAAAGTTCGTGAATTGTCCCAAATGTTCAAACCGGGTCAGTACATAGCTGTGAGTGTAGTGGAACTGGCACCTGGCAACACCATGCTGACGACCATGCCTCAACACATAAACAGTGGAAAACGACATACCGATATTAAGAAAGGTTTGTTCTCCATTCCTTATTACATGAACTGTCATTATGTTTCTGAACAATAGGCCTCCTTTGTAGATATAAAAGTTGGATCTTGTCTGTGGGTATACATATTGTTTAATCAACTGTCTACAACTACACAACACTGACAAAATTGTTAAAACATGAAGATCGCAATAAATAAATCAGAATACATATAGCCTCACATGTATGTATTTAATATAGTGAAAAGAAGCATTTGCCTGAACTACTAACAATAACTGGTGGTAGGACCTCTAGTGAGTCCCCGCGGATAGGTATCACCATCCCGCCGATTTCTGCCGTGAAGCAATAATGCGTTTCGGCTTGAAGGGTGGAGTAGCCGTTGTAACTATAAGAGACCTTAAAACTTATATCTCAAGGTGGGTGGCGAATTTACGTTGTAAATGTCTATGTATGTTGTATAAACTATGTTTTTTTCTATTTTTTATTGCGGTATAAGCAGACGAGCGTACAGCCCACATGATGGCGAGTGGTTACCTTCGCTCATGGATAATAATTTAACCCACGTGTAGTCATCAAGTACACAAGTACACCAAGCGACTTACTTACCGGGCAGAGGAAACTTTGATTGATTGTTATGTTGTGTACTGTCGACAAAAAAACTGCCGGATTTTTTTTTCAATTTTTTTTTATTACCCTTTTAAACAGACAAGCTTACGGCCTACCTTATGGTCAGTGGTTACCGCCACCCATGGACTTCAGCAATACCAGGGTCAGAGCCAAGCCGCTGCCTACCGTTTAATACTCTCCACAAGCCTCGTTTGAAGAAGGACATGTCATAGCGCTCATATGTGTATAATTCCTCGACTATTTATATTTGGCATCTCTATTTCCTTAGGTGCCATATTCCAAGCAGCAGTGTCATCAGTTGAAGATCACGGGTATGTAATGGACCTCGGCATACCTAACACAACAGCGTTCCTGCCGAAGAAAGATGCCAATCCCGAAATAGACCTTGGTAAGTCTGTAAATCTTAATCATCCGTTAAAAAATGCTCCAATGAGAACACCAAAGCCTATCTATAGCTTACTTTCCCTTAAACAGAATCCTTTGGGACTACAACAATGTCCACAGTAGCGCAGTCTCCGTCAATGTTCATTCAGAGTTGCCTGATTGCACTGAACTAATTTTAATTGATGAAATAGCTAATGTTTTTTTTAATTGTCTCACAACTTACAAGAAAAATTTGTCGCGGATCATTTCCTAATTAAATATAAATTAACCATAATTAATCAAATGTAATCAAGTTTTAGTTATATGTATTTTTATTTTTGATGTCAATGCACTGTCGATTGCACCTATAATTGAGGTGACATCTGCCATGAACTTTTGTCAATTTGTTAATGTATTGTATTGATGATAACTTTGTTGGTGCAACTTAATAAGGAAATAATCTTTGTGAAGGTTGAATCTATTTTCTATTAATAATCTATTTATCGGGATAGTTCCTATATTCCTAATAAATAGTTTGAAATTCACCAAGTTCTCTCCTTTTCTAACTAGGATATTCCGCGCTCCTATTCTTGATTGAATAATATCTTCAGCTAAGAACGCACTTATTTCAAGGCAATATCGTGCCACTTTTGATAGGGACATTTGATAGGGCTCTCTAAATACGTGCACCGCTGACGCCGCCGAGGTCGTAACTAGTCTAGCTGTGGCAAACTGTCGCAAATCACGCCGCCCGCCGCGCCTCCCAACGCACCCCCAGTAGCTGTGGCCAAGCCCTTACGTTATAGATGCCCATGGGCTGCGGTAACCACTTAATACCAGGCTGTGAGCTCGTCCACCCATCTAAGGAATAAAAATACTGTAATATTCTGAGCAGACACGGGCATGGTGTGCTGGTGCGCCGTGAAGTCGGTGAAGCAGACCGCGGACAGCAGCGTGGTGGCGCTGGGCGCGGCGCCGGACTGTCTGCAGGCGGCGCGGCTACAGCACAAGCCCGACTCGCAACTGCTGCCCGGCAACGCCCTCCACTTCACCGTCGACAGCGTAACCATATTAATACTAATCGAAGACATGAGTGGATGAATAGGATATGATACAATTTGTTAATTTTGAGAAAACGTGCAACAAGCTTTTGTTACGTGTACTTTTTCTTCATAACGTTGGTTGACTGGTAGAGAATGCCTGAGGCATTAAGTCCGCCATTGTACCTATGTGCATGAAATTGTATAAAATAAATTTTATTGCCTTTTATAGGCAGACGAGCATACGGCCCACCTGATGGTACGTGGTCACCGTCGCTCATGGACGTCAGCAATGCCAGGGGCAGAGCCAAGCCGCTGCCTACCTAAATAACATGCAATTTCTAAAAGTAGCCTTTAAACCCGGTGTTTTAAGGTCTAATATAGTTTACAGGCACATAACACCTTCATTCAATGTAAAAACTCAAAAATCTTAAAAAATTACCTATTTCTACAGTAAATACCAAAGACTAATACAATGTATAGAATACATAGATAAGATTGTTTTTTTTTTCTGCAGGCCGTAGACAACGGAGTCAAAGGTTTCGTGTTCGACGATGTGCAGGCGTGCGTGCTGCGGCAACACTTAGATAAGGGCAAAGCGAAGAGACCGGCGGTCGGGCAGAAGGTGAGCAACTTGAGAAGTCTGTCTGCTTGGAAAAACAATACACTATTTTACTGCAGTTTCTTTGTCGACGGTATATAACATAACACTGGTGGTAGGACCTCTTGTGAGTCCGCACAGGTAGGTGCCACACTGCCTATTTCTGCCGTGAAGCAGTAATGCGCTTCGGTTTGGAGGGCGGGGCAGTCATTGTAACTATACTGAGACCTTAGAACTCCATATCTCAAGGTGGGTGGCGCATTTACGTTGTAGATGTCTATGGGCTCCAGTAACCACTGATAGCAATGAGTGGTTACTGGTGAGGTGACATGAGGTGAACTGTGAGCTCGTCAACACATCTATGCAATAAAAAACTTAACAAAGTTTTCTCTGTCCAATAAGTAAGACGCTTGGTGTACTTGTATACATTGACGACTACACGCGGGTTAAATTATTAAGTACCAACTTTACCAAATAAATATATAATAAATATATCTATCACTCAAGTAGTGTCACTGTGGACTCCTAACAAAATAATTGTTTAATGGTGACGGCTCTTTACAATACTTGCTTTCACAAGTAAAAATGGCCGACGAGATAACCATTTGCCGTTTAAAAAGCTTTTGAAAATTATCAGTTTCGCCAGCACAGCTGCACAAACTGTCGCCAGTGACTCCTTCATGTTGCCAAATCGTGTCCTCGGTTCCGAAGGGCCGACTGTGTGTAAAATTTATTTAGTAAATACTTTTAATCTTTTTTTTTTTTTATTGCTTAGATGGGTGGACGAGCTCACAGCCCACAGTGTTAAGTGGTTACTGGAGCCCATAGACATCTACAATGTAAATGCGCCACCCACCTTGAGATATAAGTTCTAAGGTCTCAAGTATAGTTACAACGGCTGACCCACCCTTCGAACCGAAACGCATTACTGCTTCACGGCAGAAATAGGCAGGGCAGTGGTACCTACCCGTGCGGACTCACAAGAGGTCCTACCACCAGTAATCTCTTTATTTTTCGCAATAATGAAATAACACTTTTTTAAACATATTATTATCCGCAACACGCTTCGTCAGAAATGTCTTTAGTAAATGTGTTTAGCGACATTAATTAGCGTTCCAGTGTTCCTACCGCAGGTAACCGCCCGTGTGCTGTTTGTGATGCCACCGAGGAACATGCCCTATCTGACGCTGAAGAACGTTTTCGAGACCACGTACCCTGACCTCGAGCAGGAGAGGAAATACAAGGATGGGGACATCATTGAGGAGGCGCAGGTAAGTGTCAATAGGCACACGAGGGAGACAGAGCTATATTTGCGATAGTCGATAGCTCATATTGCTTATCAGGATTCATGGTAGGACCTCTTGTGAGTCCGCACGGGTAGGTACCACCGCCCCTATTTCTGCCGTGAAGCAGTAATGCGTTTCGGTTTGAAGGGCGAGGGGCCGTTGTAACTATACTTTGATCTTAAAACTTATATCTCAAAGTGGGTGGTGTATTTACGCTGTAGATGTCTATAGGCTCCAGTAACCACTTAACATCAGGTGGGCTACGAGGTCGTCACCCATGTAACAATAACTTTTTTTTTTTAAATGTTCAGAGTTTAGTCAGGTTTGTATGAAGTTAGGGGATGGAAGCGTTCATGTGTTGAGTTGCCTGGGAGTAGTACGCTCAGTGAGACACTATGACAACGTTGAGAAACAGGCACATGGTGAAGGATCAGCTATGGTATGGGGAAGTGTTCAAGCGGACCACCTACTGAACTCCACCTCATAGAGAAGGAGTCACCAAGCAAGGTGGCAAGGTGTTTGATTGATAAGCAACGCACAGAAAAGTAGTTCAAATTGAATATATTCTACAGGTATTAAAGATAACAGGAAGATCGGTACATATGAAGTTGGACCACGGATGTACCGCTGTGATGAGCATCAAGAGAATTGATATCGAAGAGGAAATGACGGACGAAGAAGTCATTGCCAAATCATATCCTGTTGGTGAGTTGAACCGTTTTATAAAATATATCGCGATTCCGATCCGGTGGTAGATTTGCGAAGCAGCTGCCCTTGAGCTGTTGGGCATCCTCTGCAGGAGCTCGGACAGCTGTTAGCAAATCCCACCCCTCCTGGCTGAGTCTTTGCTCGCCCACTTGTCCTAGTGAAACTGGAAAGACCCCTGGGCCACTAGTAATGCTTCAATCATTAAAAAAAAAAAAAGTATCGCTGGCAACATTAACATTGGCATTGTAACACTTCTGCCCCACTCACTTTATCACTATCTAGTTGTTTTCTCTCTGTGAATCATTTATCCCCACCATTTGATTATTAACCAAGATCCAATAACTTGAATAAGCAGATAATGTAACTGACTGAACATACATTAAACTACAATATATTTCTTTCCTTTCCCTCTCCATTGCTGTTTAAACAAGTACCTAAGTAGTATAAAGCTATGCCCGTGGAAAATAATGTTAACCTAAATGTAATAAAGTTTACACACAAAACAACTAACTATTGTATGAAAACAGAATCATTAATATTAAAAACTAACTGACCCCGCAGACTTCGTATTGCCTCAATCGATAAATAAAAGACCTGAACTTTTAAACAAACAAAAGGGATCCGTCCGACGGGGGAGACATCAAAGGGAAAACAAAATTGTTATTTTTATTATATTTAATTCCGAGCATTTTTTTATTTTTATCTACCTTTTAAACCTTCTTTGGACTTCCACAAATAATTCAAGACCAAAATTATCCATATACCAAATCGGTCCAGCCGTTCTCGTGTTTTAGCGAGACTAACGAACAGCAATTCATTTATATATAGAAGATGACAATGAAGTTTGTCAATTTCACCTCAACATAATTGAAACATGGTTAATTTTCAATATTACCCATTTCTCTGTCCCCAGGCAGCACCCACAGAGTGAGGGTCCTCAACTACAATCTATCTGACTACTTCTATTCCGTGACGGATGATCCCAGTGTTGTCAACGAGAAGTACTTCACCATGGAGCAGCTGTCCGTCGGCGAGATAGTCGACGGTCACGTGAAGACAGTCACCGACTCATACATCCTGGTCTCCCTGGGGAGGATACACGGTCAGTACCAAAGTTCTAATTAGACCGGTTTATTTTTAGTAACCTAGGGACTGCTCAGTGGTAAGGGTTACCTTATTGAGTGAGCTGTAGCTCGACACTGACAGAACGAAATTAATGAGAATATTCTTTTTTTTTTCATTGCTTAGATGGGTGGACGAGCTAACAGCCCACCTGGTGTTAAGTGGTTACTGGAGCCCATAGACATCTACGACGTAAATGCGCCACCCACCTTGAGATATAAGTTCCAAGGTCTCAGTATAGTTACAACGGTTGCCCCGCCCTTCAAACCGAAACGCATTACTGCTTCATGGCAGAAATAGGCGGGGTGGTGGTACCTACCCGCGCGGGCTCTCACCACCAGTAATGTATTGTATTCTGTAGTTGTAATAGTTCCAGGATCGATATTCTAGTCCGCTTTAGATTAACGAGCCCCTGACAAGAACACAAGAAAAACCAGCAATGTACTCTAAATTCCTTCCAGGCTACGTCGGCCTCAACCACCTGACGGACGCCGGCGTGCTGCTGGACCCTCGCCAGGGCTCCAATCCGAAGCTCACCAAAAAGTTTAAGGTAATGTCAACCACAGCGCTATGTCTCTTGTAACTCAACATGTGTTTCATTCATACAAACTATTTTTGAGTTTCCCAATATCTAATTATATTAGTAGACTTATTAGATCAGGTGCTAATGATATGTGCGTTAAATCCAATTATCTAGGTTTGATTCCTGAATGGGGAAAGTATCCTTGTTAAAGACATTTGGTATGTGTTTCTGGTGTGAGAGAGAGAAAGAGAAAGAGCATAGAGAGAGATAGCAATATTCACTGGTAATCACTGGTGGTAGGACCTCTTGGGAGTCCGCCCGGGTACCACCACCTCGCCTATTTCCGCCGTGAAGCAGTAATGCGTTTCGGTTCGAAGGGTGGGGTAGCCGTTGTAACTTTACTGAGACCTTAGAACTTATATCTCAAGGTGGGTGGCGCATTTACGTTGTAGATGTCTATGGGCTCCAGTAACCACTTAACACCAGGTGGGCTGTGAGCTCGTCCACCCATCAAAGCAATAAAAAAGAAAAAAACTCGTGGCGCATTGTTACGGTTAAAGTTTTGTTAACAAGAAGTTTGTTCAGTTTTGTGTGTTCGTATATTAACATAATACTAGTGGTCCCCCGGTAGTCGAAAGTCGACTATAATTAATTGAAATTATAATAATGTACACTATTACGATTCTATTATCAAAGACTACTTCTGTAATCACAGATTTCGCCAAGACTACATTTTAGACAAATATTAATAAAGACAAACAATATTTAATCTATTCTCAATTTAACCACAGACAATAAGATAAGTTTGACAATAAAGGAAATAGTATTTATGCGCGCGTGTGTGTGTGTGTATGTGTGTGTGTGTGTGTGTATGTGTGTGTGTGTGTGTGTGTGTGCGTGTGTGCGTGCGTGTGTGTGTGCGTGTGTGTGTCAAATAATGTCATTGTAATGTTTTTTTTTATTGATTTAATGTATTTCTTATGCATAATTTAAAACATTATTAACATTCTGCACTCCTTCTCTATATTCTCGATAAGTGTGGGAAATTTCATACGCCTACGTCTATGCAATTTTTGTAAAAATGGGTACAACATTTTGCTTCATGTATTAATACATAGAATTATTGCGAACAGGTGGGACAGCAGGTCCGCGCGAGGGTGCTGTCCGTGGACCCTGCCAAGCCGGCCCTCATGTTGACCCTGAAGCCGTCCCTCCTCGCAGCCGACCTCGACGTGCTGCAGCGCCACGACCAGGCCGTCATCGGGAAGGTGTACACCGGGGTCATATACGTGAGTTCATCACTACATAAAGAAGCGAATATACTTCTTAACTTTGACATTGTTAGGAAAACTTGACGAGTGACATCATTAGTGGGTTACTAAAGTTCTTTAAACTTTTTTTATTGCTTAAATGGGTGGACGAGCTCACAGCTGATGTTAAGTGGTTACCGGAGCTCCTAGACATCTACAACGTAAATGCGCCACCCACCTTGAGATATAAGTTCTAAGGTCTCAAGTATAGTTACAACGGCTGCCCCGCCCTTTAAACCGAAACGCATTACTGCTTCACGGCAGAAATAGGCGGGGTGGTGGTACCTACCCGCGCGGACTCACAAGAGGTCCTACCACCAGTAATTAAATTGGACGGGGATTATTGGAACCGGGTGTGCTTTTCCGAAACACTCTTGTCATTATTCCTTGCATTAGGCATCTGGTGAACGATGACCCGTATGTGAATAAATAAAGTTGATATATATATATATATATATATCTGACAATCTGTAAGTTGTTTTTTGTTCTTCGACAAATGTACTTTGTTTCCGGATGTGAGAGCTCCACACATTACATTCCGTTTCTCTTATCACACCCCTGACGATTTTTATATGTAAAATGTCATGATGATGTTCGCTTGAGGAATTATGTTCATAACGTCAGTGCCAATCGCCTCGTGAACAACAAAGTATATAGGCTTCAATATCGATTAATCCAACATTCAATATCGATTTTTCCAGGCGATCCGGGACTATATACTGGTGTCGTTCTTCAACAACCTTATGGCGTACGTTCCGAAGACGATGGTCTCGGTCGAGCCGATAGAGAACCTAACCGAGGCCTTCCATGTCGGACAGATTGTAAGTGCTTGGAATCGGCTGCTCATGGCAACCATAGACCTATATAGTAGGGACAGGACATATTGTTCTATACGTACAATTGCTTATATAAATAGCACCCATTTTGAAAGCACATACATAAACATATATCTATCTCGTTCTTACTCAGCACTTTAACTCGCAGGAAAACAATATAACAGTATTTCAGTGCGTACATAAAATGAAACATGAATATACGTAAATGTCTCTGTCTCCGTCTAATGAGGCCGAAAATCCGCCATGCTTAGCGCGCCAAATGTCATTGCACGTCAGTTCGGCCGTCTGTTTTGGGTTGTACATTATTTATTGACTTTGATATCGATTTAATATGATTGCTTATATAAAATTTCTTATTTTATCATGCTTAAAACATACAAAAATAATAATTAAAACATATTTTATAGGAACTCAAGAAAGTCGTCGGAACTATTTAAATAAAATAGTTTTATAACACTATTGTCAACTCGTTAAATATTTAATAATTAAGTGATTTTAGAGAGGAAGTCACAAGGAATGACGTTTGTAATTTTATTAACGAATAAATGTTCTGTAGGTGTTTTTTTTTATCAGGCGGTCCCTTGATAAGTTCTTTTTTTTTTTTGATAAGTTTAAAATTTGAATCACTTGAGAAATAGTGCTGCGTACCTTCCTTGAGGTGCGCTGCGGTAGTGTGTTACGGACTTTAGAGTCAGCAAAACAATTAAAATAGATTGTAATAGTCTAAGAAAAACACGTACTCAAAATACGATAACATTCAGCATGCTAGAAATGGGCAGATGGGACTGTACTACGCCATATCTTTATGTTTTGCGACAAACGACAACTTTATAAAATTAGTGTAGCAAATTTTAAAAATCGTCATATCGTTTACTTGGCAAATTTAAAGCACGAACTCGTCTTAGNGGCGGTGGTACCTACCCGTACAGACTCACCACACGTCTTACCACCAGTTTTGTTTTAATATTCCTATGTGGGTACAATCAACAACACTAATAGCTGTCGGAAACTTGTATTTAATTTTATAACTCTATTTGTTTGTAACCCTTGTTATTGGATTTTTTCCTTTAGATTTACTCGGTAGCGGCTCGGAGACTAATTTTGACGACTCGTCTGAGGCTGCGGTAGGTAAAAAAGCAATTTTTTTCCTTATCGTTTTAAATGGGTAAACGAGCTCACGGCCCACCTGATGTTTAGTGGTAACCGAAGCCCACATACATTACTAATGGGAATGCCGCCACCCACCTTGAGACATAACGAAGAGTATTTATGCAGATATTACAATTAACGCACAATATACCCGTACGCCTTCTATTCATGATAAAAGCGCAAAAAATTCAAGTCGCAAGGCACAATCGGAGTCCGTTAGAAAAAAACATTATTTGCACAAGTAGTCGTATGGGGGCAGAGAATCAAGTCCGTTGGCGAAGCCAAGATCAAAACTTAAGATGAACTAGGTCAATCGTGTGATAACAGCGTACAACAAAATAAAGCAACTGGCAAAGCTATTACAAATCATTTAATAGGCTATAGAGTCAGTACTGCCATAACTATTATTTTAATTACCGTATATTTACACACTTGATTAATCTTACAGCTTAATATATTATTATACAACAAAACACAATTATTTAGTTATTTTATTACGTACCAATTAACAAAGAATAATTAATATTATTGTTTATCATTTGAAATACTTTAGGAAATTATTTTTTTAATAAATACTGCAATTTTTTTGGCAACATTTTTAATCGATACTTTACAAATGCATTAAACCGGAAGCACCAAAAAAACGAATTAAAAGCTTATATTAAATTAACATTTTTTTGTGGCTTTGCCACGTAAACCTAACATCAGCAAATAAAATTATTAAGTTTCGTTTATGTCTCAATCTAAGACGCTTTTTAAAACATTCAGTTAAAAAATTGCCATTCTTCTTTCCCGTTTTATTTATTTATTATGCAAACTGTATTTAATGCATTTTTGGCTAAATTTTATTCACATAACTATATAAATGATCGTCAACATATAGTTCATGCACTCGCTTGAAATTTTATTTTATATTTGTTTTTTTTTAGTCGTACCAAGATTCATCTGAGTCCTACAGACCATCGTCTGAAACTGAAGAAGATAATTGCTCTTTAGAGTCACAAAGAGTATGTACTTTCCTATTTTTTAAAAATGGTTATTACATTGACATTGATAAATTTTTAACTAAAAAAGATTTTGTTCAATGTATAAAACACCAACTAATTTGGCCCTGGAAGGTCACTCATTTTGTAAGAATGAATAAATGTTTCAACTGTAATGCTAGCGCTCATAGTATCATACATATACAAAGCCCGTTACATTTCGTAACAAGCATGAACAGAAATTGTATTAGAGCATTAGTAGGTAAAAAATTTTTTTGGTGTCAAATTTGCAATTATGCCATATATGATCATTATACACCTGATGAATGTGACTGTAATTATCAACCAAGGTTCATCTAGGTTTACTTTTAGATATTGATTAGTGGCCTTAATTNTCATAGTATCATACATATACAAAGCCCGTTACATTTCGTAACAAGCATGAACAGAAATTGTATTAGAGCATTAGTAGGTAAAAAATTTTTTTGGTGTCAAATTTGCAATTATGCCATATATGATCATTATACACCTGATGAATGTGACTGTAATTATCAACCAAGGTTCATCTAGGTTTACTTTTAGATATTGATTAGTGGCCTTAATTCACTTTATTTATAATCAAAATGGATAAAAAGCTAATGAGAAACGAATAATATTAATATTTTCAAGATATCGTACAGTTTTAACCGTCTCGTCGCTGTTTATGCGCTAAGATTTCTTGTGTAGAAGAAGTAAATCACCCCCAAATTCCTGTGAGACAAACTTTGCAGATTACTAGAGTCACTGGTGTCACCTTATTTCGAATTTCAATTTTTAAGATATATAGTTTTAGTTTTTATATAGTTATAGCGAAAATGAAGAATCGAATAGTCATAAAAAGTCTCTTTCGTTTTCTCATTAATGTCAAACATTAACTTTTCAACACTTATGAACCAAGGCTTGATGATTGTACTAAATTATAATAAATAATTAATATATAATAAATAATAATAATAAATAATTGGTTATAAGATTATAATAAATAAAATAATTATTTTAATTTTTGCCACTACGCCTGTTGCGCCTATTACTATGGGGATGGTTTCTGTGTGTGTATTCCAGAGTCGTGTTAGTTCTATTTTTAAGGGGTGATATTTACTAAATTTTTCCAGTTCTTTTGATCCTATAATAAATAAAATAGGTATTTGGATATGATTTTTTAACATGGCAGTGCCAACTGCCTCCTGTCACACTCTTAAGAAATTATTTAAACTCAAGGTCTTAAACATAACTAAATCTGCAGGTACAGGTGGCAACAGAAATTTCTGACGAAAATAATGTTGACAACAGCGCGAATTTCACATTGAATTCCGATATAAGTACATACTTCAGACATTCACAAATATTAAATACACTATCTAATTCAAAATGTGATACGCCTACGTCTACCCATGAGGATGAGTACTGTTTTTTTTGTAATAAAAAAGTTCAGGATTTTTTAAATCATTATAGTGCAGTTCATGAATACAACTTTCAGCATGCAATTGAAACACCAAATAATAATCTTAATGCAACTCCCAATTTAGCCAGTTTTAATAATAGTTCAGTTTTGTCAAAAGAAATAAGTAACATACTACCACCGCATGATTCACTCACGGATACACCCACAAACACCAATGACGACCAAAAAAATTTAAATAAATTACAAAAAACCACAAACACACAGAAAGAAAATAAAAAAAGGCTACGTCTTCCAGACTTCTGCTTCTATTGTGAAAAACAAGTCCATAATTTTTCGAGACATTTAATCAGGAACCATGCCGTCGAATGCGAAGTTCAGAAAATTTTGTCAATTCCTAAAAAGAATCCTAAAAGAAAAAAGCTACTTACTGATTTACGAAAAAAAGGGAATTACATACTCAATTCGGCCCAGTGTGTAAAACCCATGAAAAAGACTGCCCATTCTACAGTTGATGATTATTTACCTTGCACGAAATGTTTAGGGTTTTACTCGCGGAGACAGCTATGGAAGCATCGCAAAACATGCACTGAGAATAATAGCGATAACTTTTCACAAGCAGATGCTCAAAATTTCTTGGTACGAAACTTAAAGGTTGATGATAAATTAAGGAGTTCAGTATTTCGACGCATGAGGGCGGATAAAATCTCACTGATAGCTAAAAAAGATCTTATTATTTGTGCATTTGGTGCTCAGTATCTCAAAACGCACAGAGAGAAGCATTTTGTGAACGTTGTGTCACGAAAAATGCGGGAGCTGGCTAAATTGCTAATCGAGGCTAAAAAAATTAAGCCAGAAATACAAGACTTATTCAGTGCATTAAAGCCAGAATACTACGATGTTATGGTAACAGCTACGAAAAATTGCGCGAAATTTAATGTAGAGAAAGACGTATACGTCAGTCCCACATTCGCAATGAATATCAGTACTTCTATAAAGCAATGTTGTAATATCGGCATTATGGAAACTCTAAAAACTCAAAGAAGTGTTAAGAGTGCTGAAATCGAAGCAGACTTGAAAACATTTATTCAACTTATTGAAGCAAATTGGAAATTTGACGTTTCTTCCCATGCAGCTGACGACTTAAATATGAAAAAATGGAACAAAATCACGATAGTTCCCCTGGCTAGTGATTTGAAACTGTTAAAGGAGCATTTAACTAAATTAGCAAATAGTAGCACCAGTAAGTTACAGCATACCGATTTAAACGTTACAGCATACATAGATTTAATGGAAACCATATTTTGTAGAGTACTCTTGTTAAACAGACGCCGTCCTGGAGAGTTGCAGCGTCTTCTTCTCGATACCTACATATCTGCAGAAGATACACAAAGTAAATATGAAGAATTTGACAGAGCTATTACAGTGACTGAAAAAGTCTTAATAAATAGCTTGAAACGCGTCGTGATTCGTGGAAAAAGAGGAAGGGGTGTTCCTGTTCTGTTTACGCCCGATGTCCAAGAAGATCTGAAAATACTGATTAATGCGAGAGATAAATATATAGAAAAAGGAAACCCTTTTCTTTTTGCCAACCCTGGTTGCAATACATCAATTTATGGTTATAAAGTAATTGATAAACATGCTTTACTCTGCAAAGCGAAAAATCCAAAAGCAATATCTTCAACGCGCTTAAGAAAGCATTTAGCGACTTTAACACAATTATTTAACATGACCGAAAACGATTTAGAGCAGCTCGCGAACTTTATGGGTCATACAAGTGCAGTCCATAAGCAATCTTACAGGTTACCTGACGACATCTATCAAACGGCTAAAATTTCCAAATTACTTATGTTGATGGAAGACGGTAAAGCTGACGCGTACAAAGGCAAAAGTCTTGATGAGATTAATTTAAACTTAGACGAGGAATTGGAAGGAGAAAATATAGATACGGAAGTACTTGAGTGTGCAGAATATATGGAGCAGACTGTAAATGTGAACCAGGAACCAAGTTCATCCGGTGTAAATCAAGAGGATGGCACCATAGCCACCGAAACATTAACATTAGGCCAAACTAACTCGAAAATTTCAAAGAAGCGCATTTTGGTCCCGTGGACGACAGAACAGAAATCAGCTGTTTTAAGTTATTTCAAAATGCATATTAAGAAACGTAAGCCGCCAAAAAGAGGAGAGTGCGAAACATTAAAAGAATTATATCCAGATTTACTGTCGAATAAATATTGGCTCAAAATTAAAGTATTTATTCAAAATACTTACTCAAAGAAGTAGTTTTAATTTCATAGGGGTGATAAAATCAATATGGTGATAGGGTATTTCATTTTTGTTACTGGGTATTCAATTTTTTTTTTTTTGGGTTCGATCTATAAAAAATGTGTATTCACCAGGCCTGTAGCCAACATGTAATTTTACAAAGGAAAACACCAGTTGAAACGTACACAATGTATGTGATTGACATTAGCGTTTCGTTGTCAATTCATAAATTGTGTACTTTTTTATAAGCGTTTTCGATAGTGAAATTGCATGTTAACTAGAGGCATTGAATAGACTGTCTGACTGAACAGACTGAATAGTCGTTCGGATCGTAAAACAAGTTACAGAATCCTATCCAGAATCCAGATCTCTTGTCTGGATTTCAGCAAACATTGCGTAGATCAATAATATACTTATTTAAATATAAGTCCTATCATTTTCTTTAAACACACACACACAAACACACACACCAACCTACACGTACAGACACACAAATACACACGCTAACCTACACGTACACACACACAAACACACACGCCAACCTACACGTACACACACACCCAAACACACACGTACATACACATGCACACCAACGCACATAAATACTCTCGCAAGATTATTCAAATTCTTATACGCACCTGACCATTATTATGCGTGGACAACCGAGTAGAAGAGTAATTTAGGTTCCTATCTCTTATAATATTTGGTTTGCATTAATATTATTATAATTTCTGTAATATTAAACAATTTTACAATATGATAATGCGTAATATTATCCAGGTATTGTGATTGTAATAGAAAAATAAATCGTATTATATTTTATAATCTATAGATATAGAACTTACTTAATATGAAACAACAGTACTTTTGGATAAATGTATCCAAATAGTTTCTAAATTTGTACACTAGTGGTTTTATAGAAAATAAAAAAATTTAAATCTCTTCATAGCTGGATCCTCCGAAAACGAATCTTATTCTTGCAAAACCGTATTTATGAAATAATATATGATGTGGTGCTAGAGTAAGAGTCGTCTTCAAAAGCCTTCAGACGATGAAGATAGATAGATATATTCATGAAGTTTCATGAAGATATATTCAATATTTTCTAAAAAACAACTTGTAAGTAATATTATAATTTCAGTTTTATTTTTATTTGTTAATAATTGACTTGATAGAAACGGTTTTCTTTTTATTAATTTTGTTTTGAAACTAATTAATTTGATAGAAACTATTTTTAATTCATCCAACCTGAAGATTTGTTATTAGTTTTAAAATTACAAACAAGACACTACCTAATGGTATTTTAGAATTAATATTTTGTTTTTTGTGAATATTTGATAATAAATTTTTTCTATTTCCAGACAGGCTTTTATATTTATCCCTTTCAGTTATGTATAACCAAATAGGCAAATGTTGAAAATTATTTTAGAAAAAAACCAATACTTTTATCAAACTGAGTGTTAAAACTACACTTTTAAACTATCTCCCAAAACTGACGTAGCAACTGATCAACTTCGACTTGTGTGTGTGCATAATAACTACATTGTGTGACTGATGGGCAGACTGCGCAACTTCGCCGCTTACCAGCCAGCCCAATCTTGAGTTCAAAGCGACCAGAGACTCATTGCGTTTTATTATTATTATTATTTTTTATTGCTTAGATGTGTGGACGAGCTCACAGCCCACCTGGTGTTAAGTGGTTACTGGAGCCCATAGACATCTACAACGTAAATGCGCCACACACCTTGAGATATAGTTCTAAGGTCTCAGTATAGTTCACAACGGCTGCCCCACCCTTCAAACCGAAACGCATTACTGCTTCACGGCAGAAATAGGCGGGGCGGTGGTACCTACCCGTGCGGAGTCACAAGAGCTCCTACCACCAGTAAAAATTCCGTCAAGAATAATATGCGCATATACAACTGCACCTAATAGCACGTCGATAGATCCTGGCTTGTGAAAGTGTGGATCCGCAAGATCCGAAATCTCAGAAGAAGGCCAGGTATCTGATGGGAGCTCTTGTGATGGTAATCTCGAATTTATTCGTCTAAGGACGTACACCTTAGCTGTGATCATGTGTGATGAATTTCTTATAGCATGAAAGTTCAACATAACTTGTGACTTGGTTATCAGCGGTATAGATGATATGCCAGTAATTTTTCTGCTGATGGAAGTGCGCTCGAGATTAAGCAGTTGAGCTGCCGCTTCAGTAACAAAGTTTGATTGCGAGCACGGATCAATCAGTGCTCTCAAGACTATCGTGTCGCCGTTCCTCGACTTAACTGCAATTCGTGCGGTTGCCAATAATACTTCCTGACTGTTGCTGTCAACCTCAGCCTTGTAAACGACGGATGATGTGGGTTGGCTTGTTTCAGGTGTACTGGGTGTTACTGTATCGCTTTCCGGCACTGATGTGGTCTTCTTAGGGTTTGTGAAGTGCAACAGAGTGTGATGTCGTCGACTACTTTCTCTACAGGTGGTGCTCTGCCTACACGCATTAACGGAGTGACCCTTTACAAGGCAATTAAAACAAATGCCATTCTTCTTAATAAAATCCTGACGTTGAGGAACATCTAATGCGGCGAATTCTTTACAATGACAAATATAATGGTTTTGTGAGCAATAAGTGCATTCACTGCTTACTTCTGTGACAAATGACTTCATATTTGTGGGTTTTTGGGTTGTATACTTTTTAACTAAGTCCTTTTTCTGCGGTTGGTCTTTTTTGTGAGTAACATTTACAATATCCATAGAACCGAAACGATTTTCTAAAAATAATGATAAAATGGTAAATGTGGGTATGTCTTGAGATGATCCAAGTGACTGTTCCCATTGTTTGTGTGTTTCTAAGTCCAATTTGGATACAACTAAATGTACGATAATCGCATCATATGTGGAGGTATCCACGCCAATATTGTCAAGAGAATTCAAACATTCCTTCGTAGTATCTAAAATTTCCTTTAAACTTTTAAAACATTCTGTGTTCATCTTCTTTTGATTTAAAAGGCAGCTAATTATTGTAGTGACGATCATACGTTTGTTATTGTATCTACTCTCAAGTGTGCTCCAAGCCTTATCGTAATTAGCCTCCGTGAGTGCAAAATGTTTTAGAAGTTGTTCAGCCTCTCCCGATAAACTCGTTTTTAAATAATGATGTTTTTCAATCGTTGTTAGATGCACGTTGTCATGCATGAGAGCCTTAAACAAATCTTTAAAACTTGTCCAGTCGTTATAATTACCGGCGAACTTTGGAATCGATAAAGGAAGAAATTTACTTCTAATCGGGGTGGTCTCGCCATCATTTGTTGCTGAAAAACTCTGCTTAGTATTACTTGATTGTGGTTGACCTTGACCTTTCGAAAATTCCAGCAAGTAATCGTTTAATAATCCCTTAAATTCAAGGTATATCTCTTCAGTTGTCTCGTATAGACTTTCGGCATTAAATTGTAATGCTCCAGTTCAGTTTTCGTAACCGCTGATTTAATCTCATATTGAATTTGATACTTAGACCAATAGCTTTCTAATCTTTCTAACTGTGTTTGTAGATAGCCAAGTGTGTATCTTGATTTAGACGTCTTTTTAGTATTATTTTGTAACTTAGAAATACGTTCCGATAAGGTTTTTTGTGATTCACAAAGTTGAGCCATTGTTTACGTAGGTAACGAAATTGTTTTATTCCAAATCACTTTCTAAATATTAGCAATTACTATAGTCCAAATATCATTAATCCAAAATTAATTACGCACTGTTTAAATGTCCAAGTTTGTGAAATAGTTCATAAAGGTTATAAGCTCACCGGTGCATGAAATTAAAGTTAATATATACAGTCTTATCCTGTCAACTCGCAGTAATTAGCACTTAGCCTTTTACACTATTGTTTTTAACACTTACTACACTTTCACAATCCAATTCTCGAAGGACCAAACATGTTAAAACTACACTTTCAACCCAAAAATTTATTAAATAAAAAACAGCGAGCGAACAATTTTTGCTTAATCACTAACTTCAAATCTGATTGATTTTTTTTTATCCTACCTCCTTTTACGGTTATAAAAACGAGTTGTTAAGTCCATATTACTAGTTGAATGAATGTAACCAGATTTGAAGATTTTTACATTAAACACTGAGTACGATGAATAGGTAGTTATTTTATTTGTTGTTGTTTGGTTGTTATTTTATAGTCATCGTGGCCTAAAGGATAAGTCGTCCAATGCATTCGTTTTAGCGATGNTTTTTTTATCCTACCTCCTTTTACGGTTATAAAAACGAGTTGTTAAGTCCATATTACTAGTTGAATGAATGTAACCAGATTTGAAGATTTTTACATTAAACACTGAGTACGATGAATAGGTAGTTATTTTATTTGTTGTTGTTTGGTTGTTATTTTATAGTCATCGTGGCCTAAAGGATAAGTCGTCCAATGCATTCGTGTTAGCGATGCACCAGTGTTCGAATCTCAGGCGGGTACCAATTTTTGTAATGAAATACGTACTGAACAAATGTTCACTATTGACATCCACGATGAAGGAATAACATCGTGTGATAAAAAATCAAACCTGCAAAATAATATAATTTGCGTAATTACTGGTGGTAGGACCTCTTGTGAATCCGCGCTGGTAGATACCACCGCCATACCTATTCCTGCCGTGAAGCAGTAATCCGTTTCGGTTTGAAGGGTGGGGCAGCCGTTGTAACTATACTTGAGACCTTAGAACTTATATCTCAAGGTGGGTGGCGCATTTACGTTGTAGATGTCTATGGGCTCCAGTAACCACTTAACACCAGGTGGGCTGTGAGCTCGTTCATCCATCTAAGCAATAAAAAAAATGTGAGCCGTCACGTAACGCCTGGCAGATGTGAAACATCGACATTATTTCGTAAAAGTAATATGCAGAAAAGAACAGATTGTGATTTTTTTTTTTTTTAATATGTCAAAATAAAAATAAAATATTACGAAAAAATAAATTGTTTTGTTAATAAAATAGTTTGTTGTGGAAACGCGACCCACTGAGAAGATCCGGCGAGAAACTCAGTGGGCTGTGTCTGAGAGTTAATTTACTCGTCGAGCCCTTCGTCGCAAGCGACGGGTTAGACGAGAACGGTGACCGGTGCTTGAAGTACCTAAAAGCACCGTTAGTGGATCGGGAGGATCCGAGATGACGTGTTTTGGGCGACGTCGACTGCTTTCCATTCTGTCCGCAGGAAATTTTCAAGTAAAACACAGGTTATGTGTACTGTAGTAAACAACACTGTATACACTACGGAGTATACACTATAGGTCTCCGAGCTCAGTGTAGCGAGAGATTGCTTAGCGCCGGATCGAGTGGGAGAGAATCGCACAGTCGATTGCGCATGGCGACGCGTCGCCACGGCGTGCGTCGCCACGCCAGAAATCGGTTTTACGTGCGGCTATAGATGTTTCAATTTTAAAAAAAACTTGCCATACCCTACTTAATAGAACAAATTTATTGTATCTGCAAGGTTACCACTTATAATATTTTTAGGCTAAACCTGAATGTAGATTTTCAAAGTAATTTACCCGTTTCTCCTACCGAACAATTATGGCATTAAGTACATTATTTTCATAATTTCGATAATTGACTTTGGATGCGGAAGGCGGAGGACCGCATTATGTGGAAGGCATTGGGGAAGGCCTATGTCCAGCAGTGGGCAGATAAAGGCTGATGATGATGATGATGATGATGATGATAATTGACTGCACATGGCTTTCGACAATTATAAGACCTGTGAATGGTAGTATATTTTGTCAGTAAGTGGACATGTCAGAAGTACACGCTAATGGAAGGAAGTCCGACGTTTGTAGGAATGAATTAAGAATACGGAACAATATACAGAGTTCCAATTTATTTCCAAAAAAACGGTAGTCTTATATCTAGTGAATTGATTAGTAATATATTTCATTATACGCGGATGGAGTAAGTACACCAATGTGGTTTGGTGGTCAAAAGTACTGCGAAGAATATTGATATTAGTATATTAGTATTTTCCAGGATATTGCGACAAGGTGAATTTCGAGTTACATAGTTAGTTTCATATTCGTTAATACGTTAATATACATGATTAATTTTGCTCTAAGTCTATTAGAAGTGGTGGTTGTCAGAAGGTTGGAAAATGAAAGGTTGCCAAAAGAGTTACGGGATTTATATATATATATATATATATATATATATATATATATATATATATTTCCATCCGGGAGTTCATGTTACGTCCTATATGGCGGTTTTTACCGATGATATTGCATCCGACCGACTTATTGCGTCCTGTATATGGACGCAAGATTGTCCATTTCTCAAATTCAGCCAGAGGTAGCCGAAAGATCCGTACAATGTGTGGGTAAAATATTGGCATGGACGTTATTTTGTCACCGGATTGATTCTCAGCGTATTTCTTAGTTCCGCTGTTTGGCACGCGAATTTTGGAGGTCGCTTCTCCGCGGCGTATATCGGTAGCGTATATTGGATATTTTTTTTACGTATATTTCACCGATAATGTGCCTTCTGTATATAAAAAAATTTCAATTCAAGTTTTTATCAATTCCAATTTGTGGTTTAATTACGTCACACAAAAAGGACCCCGTACCAAGAGAAACGCGGGAACAACAGGGGTGAGGGGGCGGAGTTAACATGCGTCATGCAAGCGCCGTGATTTTGTTTGCAATTCTGTTCCGGCCGGCGCGGGCGCAACGACGACTATAGTGTGAATATCAGCATATTAGAGAATGTATAATAATACTTTTTAACAACGAAACACGTGAGCGGAGCCGCGGATGAAAACTAGTGTTACTTACATACGCATTACAGAAGTTTATTCAGTTATAGCCAATGATAAAATAAACTAGACTTTAATTAGTCGTTTTTAAATAAATTTTATTCTTAATCGTAATTGATATGCCAGTCTCCTTTCATGTTCAATTTTCGCAATTTTTTTGTTTTTGTTTTGTAGACACTTATTATTTAATTATGAGTATTGTTTTTTGAATTATATAATTATGGTTTTAATTGTACTTAATTTATAAAAATAAATAATAGTTTAAAAAAACTAAAAAACACGCTTTATATAAAATTCAACTAAAAAATAGAAAATAAATTTTAATAAATTTAAATTCAAAATAGTGTAAAAAAATACATATTTTATTGTAAAAAAAGCGTGGTGTGCATGGTGTTATTAGTTATAAACATATTTCTGATAGATATGAGTAGAAGAATTATTATTTCAATAATATCTTAAAAAGCACCTCACGCTTTTTTTACAATAAAATATTTTTTTTTTCATTCATTCATTCATTTTTTAGTTGAATTTCAATTTTTTCAATTTTTTTTTCCAATTTTGAATTGTCATCGGTCCTCGATAAATCTATAGAGTNAGGGCGGGGCAGCCGTTGTAACTATACTTGAGACTTTAGAACTTATATCTCAAGGTGTGTGGCGCATTTACGCTGTAGATGTCTATGGGCTCCAGTAACCACTTAACACCAGGTGGGCTGTGAGCTCGTCCACACATCTAAGCAATAAAAAATAAAAAAACTTCTAAATTTTCATTCGCATAACACATATTTTCTAATTTGTTTCATTATTGACTTTGTTTCTTGTAAGTTAATTCAAGTTACAAGGCTACTAGTTTTTTTATTTCATGATAGCCAGATAAGCTATTAAACAGTGACGTCAATGTTCAGTAGAGTTCACTCTCCGTGCAATCGAGACATTCTTTTTATATTAACAACTTGTCAAACGAATAATGTTAATATTAAGACCAATACAAAAATTACGCGACGCACTAATGTGTAGTGAAAAAATAATTGCTCAGTACAATCTAGATCAGGTACATTCGCGAATCTTTGTTCACACGTTCAAAAAAAATCGTAACAATTTATATTAAACACTAGCTGACCCGGCAGACTTCGCAGTGCCTCAATCGATAAATAAAAGACCCAAACTTTTATATAAAATAAACTTAAAACAAACAAAAGGAATCCATCCGACGGGGGGACGCATCAAAGGGAAAACAAAATTATTATTTTTATTTCATTCCGAGCATTTTCATATTTATCTATATATATACTTTTAAACCTTCTCTGGACTTTCACAAATAATTCAAGACCAAAATTAGCCAAATCGGTCCAGCCGTTCTGGAGTTTTAGCGAGACTAACGAACAGCACTTCATTTATATATATATAGATTTATTTATTTGACAGAGAAAACGTAAAGCCAAAGAGAAGCACGATTCAATCGGAGAAGAGAAGGAAACCGAAGACGAGGGAGCAACACAAATTAATGAGGAAGAAGATAAACCAAAAAATAAACAGACATTAGCGAGCGGAGACGCTCCTGGCAAAAAGAAGAAAAAGAAGAAAGATAATAGAGTAGACGGAGAGATGAATGGGAGGACAGAAGGAAAGACATCCGAGGAGAGTGACGCCATAGACACTGACTTATCCGAGGAGTGCGAGCAGGTGTTGACTCCGGAGGACCTGGCGCTGCTCGACCTCAGCCAGTGCCGCACCAAGAGGCAGTACAAGAAGAGGATCGATGCTATATTGAATGCGGTTAGCGAAATACACAGCGGCATTCCATTACTTGAGGAGAAAATCGCAAAAATAGAAGCCAAAGGTTAGACTATCCTATTGTGTAATTAATTTTTTTATTTGCAGGCAACGGCTTGACCAACGTCCAAGAGTGATGGTAACCACTCACCATCAGATGGGCCGTATACTCGTCTGCTTACAAAGGCAATTAAAAAAATATACTCATTTTTCATATCCCTCCTCGTTATTGTGCTTAGTGTACAGGATACTGCCTTGAACATACTCGGTGGGAGAGCTTTTTTTTTTTCCTACCTAAGCTGGTAGCCTAGAGGGCTATTCCAGCGTAACCTTAACTAGTAGGTGAGCTCACGGGGCTCACAACCTGACGACGTTGCTAACACGAATCCTAGCAAGAGCCGTGCTTCGCAGAATCTACCACCGGACGGAAACGCGACCCACTGAGAAGATCCGGCGAGAAACTCACTGGGCTGTGTCTGTAGGTTAATTTACTCGTCGAGCCCTTCGTCGCAAGCGACGGGTTCGACGAGAACAATGACCGGTGCTTGAAGTACCTAGAAGCACCGTTCGTGAATCGGGAGGATCCGAGATGACGTGTTTTGGGCGACATCGACTGCTTTCCATTCTTTCCGCAGGATCGGGAATGTAGTTACCGGTGGCCACGATGAGTGGGTTCTCGTGTCCTGCCGCTTTATCGAAGTGGGGGAGACAGTGAGGGTACATGCATTTGTACAAATCCGTCTGGAGCATCGATTAATATAATAACAGCAGGGATTCCACTGGACGAGGGTCGACCTCAATAGGGTCCAATAGATACTTTAACTTTTTTATTTTTGTGGTCCTCCCTTATTTATGTATAGTGTAATGTGTATATTTATTATTTGTAATTTTAAAACTTTTCATTTATTACCCTGGTAAGCAGAAGAGCGTACGGCCCACCTGATGGTGAGTGTAAGTTACCGTCGCCCATGGACTTCAGCAATGCCAGAGGTAGAGCCAAGTCGCTGCGTATAAACAACACAAAAAAACTGTTTGTGTGACACTGAAAAACTACAAATGTTTCTAATTTACAGGTTTGACGACGAAAAATAAAATGTTGCACACCGCGCTGCACTCCGAGAAACTGATCAACGAGGAACGCGCCAAGAAACTTAACCAAGGTCTGGAGACGGCTCGACGCGCGCTCGCCGACCTGCGCGCCGAACCTCACAACAACCACACCAAGCAAACCGACGACGTACAACCCGAAGTGAAAGAGAACATTGAAAATGAAAACATACAAAAGAAAATCGATAAAAAACGTAAGGCAAATAAAGAGAACAAAAACGCTAAAGATGAAACAGAAGTACGCGATAAGAAGAGAAAAGGAACAGAAGGTGTCCGGAAAACAGAAGATAGCAAGACAGATCAGGGGAGGAAGGGACGAGGGGAGCCGGCGGAGAAAAGACGAACCGTGAATGTCACTGAGGAGCTGCGGCCCGTCCTGCAAGCGCCCAGCGCCAAGGACTTCTGGAGTGGGACACTTGACAGTGGGAAGACCCTGCAGGACCAGCAGTCCAGCAGCAGCGATGATGAGGTACACCACGTCTGAACATACTCATTAAATTAATATGTGAAGCAAAAACTTTGTACCCCTTTTTAAGCAAGTTGCGCGGATGGAGGAGTATGAAATTTCCCACACTTATAAAGAATATAGAGAAGGAGTGCAGAATGTTATTTTTTTTTTATTATGCATATAAAATACATTATATCAACAAATAAAAACATCACACACACTACCATGTATTTGACACACACACGCATGCATAAATACTATTTGTTTATTGTCAAAATTTTCTTATTACTTATTGTCTGCGGTTAAATTGAGAATAAATTATATTGCTTGTCTTTATTAATATATTTTGTCTCAAGTGTAGTCTTAGCGAAATCTGTGGTTATAGAAGTGTAATAATAATAGTCTTTTTTTATTTATTGCTTAGATGGGTGGACGAGCTCACAGCCCACCTGGTGTTAAGTGGTTACTGGAGCCCATAGACATCTACAACGTAAATGCGCCATCCACCTTGAGATATAAGTTCTAAGGTCTCAGTATAGTTACAACGGCTGCCCCACCCTTCAAGCCGAAACGCATTACTGCTTCACGGCAGAAATAAGCAGGGTGGTGGTACCTACCCGCGCGGACTCACAAGAGGTCCTACCACCAGTGATTACGCAAATTATAATTTTGCGGGTTTGATTTTTATTACACGATATTATTCCTTCACCGTGGAAGTCAATCGTGAACATTTGTTGAGTACGTATTTCATTCGAAAAATTGGTACCCGCCTGCGGAATTCGAACACCGGTGCATCGCAACAACGAATGCACCGGACGTCTTATCCTTTAGGCCACGACGACTTCTAACGTCTAGTCTTTGATAATAGATTCATAATAGTGTACAATCTTATAATTTTGATTAATTATAGTCGAATTTCGACTACCGGGGGACCGCTAGTATTCATTAAAATCTGTTCGTTTTATTATATTACTTCCTTCATTAAACACAAGTCGTTCTAAAGAATACTCAAGAAATAATTTTGCCGTTACACAAAAACTACGAACCATTATCTCAGAGCACTTCCAACATAAGATGTGTAACGAGATTTTGTAGTGTAACAAAAACCAATTAAAATCGAGTCTTCAAAACCACATAATATCGCGTTTGTCTTAATAAAACCAACGCAAAAAGTCGCGTTGTCTTTTCAACAGAATGCGTCATCAAGAGCTCGACGAGCGAACTAACCCATAGAGACAGCCCACTGAGTTTCTCGCCGGATTTTTCTCAGTGGATCGCGTTTCCGATCCGGTGGTAGATTCTGGGAAGCACTGCTCTTGCTAGGGCCCGTGTTAGCAACACTCCAGCTTGAGCCCTGTGAGCTTACCTACACACGTTAGGTTGAAGCTGAAATAGCCTCTCAAGGCTATCAGCATAGGTAGAAAAAAATAAGTGTCATCAACTCGCCGAATATTAAGAAGTAACCCATTTCTAGGAAAAGGAACAACCGAAGAAGAAACGAAAGAAGCTGTCAGTTGCGGAGAAGCTAGCCAAGGCGCGGGAGGAAGAGGAACGTCTCCGGGAAATGGAGAAAAGAGCAATAGAGAGTGACGCCCAGCCGCGCTCCGCCGACCACTTCCAACGAGCACTCCTCGCCAACCCCTCCGCCAGCCAACTGTGGATAGCCTACATGGCGTTCCACCTGCAGGTCAGGACACACCACAACAAACATGTTATTAACTCACGTATGACTCACGCGTTGAGGTCGGAGATTTCATTCTTAATTTTACATTTAAAATAGTTCTAGTATTCTTTCACTAGCAAACATTGTTGGGATGAGATTTCCCTAAATAAATAATTAAAATTTTGTAATTTAGTGAAGAATGCAACGTAGAGACAAAAATCTACACAAATGCCTTCTGTTCTCAATAGCTATTATAAAAGCAATAAAAAAAAGCCCTGTATTCCATGCGATTACTTTTTTTTTTACCATAATTATGTTATATGCGTGGACCCCTCTCAGGTAAAGGCCTCCTCCAAAGATTTCCATTTTGTTTTGTCTCTGGCGATATAAATCCAGAGCTATGCAGAGCTATTATGACATAAGACAATGCTATAAAGAATATTGTTAAATGTTATGTTTATATTGAATTATAGGCAAACTTGAAAGATATCGCATTAAAATATTTAGTTGAAATGAAAATTTGTTGAGTCTCTTTCTCGCATGAACATTGACGTCATTGTTCACTATAAACATGCACAGCCTGCTTCAGCTTTGCCATTCTCCAATCTAGGGGTGTTGCTTTGGTCTCCTGCTACTTCGATAAAGTGGCACGACACGAGAACCCTCTCATCGTGGCCGCCGGTAACTACATTCCCGATCCTGCGGACAGAATGGAAAGCAGTCGACGTCGCCCCAAACACGTATTTTCAGATCTTCCCGATCCACTAACGGTGCTTTTATGTACCTCAAGCACCAGTCATCGTTCTCGTCGAATCCGTCGCTTGCGACGAAGGGCTCGACGAGTAAATTAGCCCTCAGACTCAGCTCACTGAGTTTCTCGCCGGATCTTCTCAGTGGGTCACGTTTCCGATCCAGTGGTAGATTCTGCGGAGCACTGCTCTTGCTAGGGCCAGTGTTAGCAACACTCCGGTTTGAGCCCGTGAGCTCACCTACACGTCAAGGAGAAGCTGATATAGCCTCTCAAGGCTATCAGCATAGGTAGAAAAAAAATCTTTCTCATATGAACATTGACGTCATTGTTCGCTATAACATGCACAGCCCGCTTCAGCTTTGCCATTCTCCAAGCTAGGGGTGTTGCTTTGTCTCCTGCTAATCCCCAGCTATTATTTTATTTATTGATTTTCATTCATACTGTATTCCCTTCATAACAGGCTACTGAGATAGAGAAGGCCCGTGCCGTGGCCAGGAAGGCGCTCAGTACAATCTGTTTCCGTGAAGAAGATGAGAAGCTGAACGTGTGGCTGGCACTCATCAACCTCGAGAACAGATTCGGCACTAAGGTCAGGAATCTTTTAAAGTGTAATTATAGAAACTAGAGGTCCCGCAGTAGTCGAAATTCGACTATAATTAATTGAAATTGTAAGTTTGTACACTATTATGATTGTATTTTCAAAGACTATTATACTTCTATAATCACAAATTTCGCCAAGACTACACTATAGAAAAATATTAATTAATAAAGACAAACAATATTTAATCTATTCTCAATTTGACCACAGATTTATTGATTTAATGTATTTTTTAGGCATAATTTTAAAGAATATTAACATTCTGCACTCCTCTATATTCTCTATAAGTGTGAGAAATTTCATACTCCTCCGTCCGCGCAATTTTCGTAAAAAGGGGTACAGTCTTTGCTTCACATATTAATATATAGATAACTCGATCATTAAGTGACCTCACTATCCCAACAGGAGTCTCAACAGAAGACTTTAGAGGAAGCTTTGCAGATGAACGACACTTTCAAAGTCCACTCCAAGCTGCTGGACATATATGTGGACACTGGCAAGCAACAGGAACTCTCCGCGCTCGTCGACCTCATGCTAAGGAAATACAAAAGGGATCCAAAAACTTATACGCTGTGCGGGACAGCCTGCTACAAACTGAATCTCAAAGAGAAAGCGAGATACGTTATGCAGAAAGCGTTGAACGTTTTGGAGAAGAAAGAACGTAAGTACTCTTGATCAATTGAAGCAGGCATCTATTAGATAGGTACCACCGCCCTGCCTATTTCAAGTGGGGCAACCTTTGTACCGTAAAACTTAGACTTAGAACTCGGTGGCGGTATTTACGCTGATGTCTACGGGCTCCAATAAGCACTTAACACCAGTTGTAATAAACAATTAAGCAATAAAAAAGCATCATAAACCACTCCAAAATAAACAGCTGCTTTAGTAGCAGTTTTTTTTTATTGCTTAGATGGGTGGACGAGCTCACAGCCCACCTGGTGTTAAGTGGTTACTAGAGCCCATAGACATCTACGACGTAAATGCGCCACACACCTTTAGATATAAGTTCTAAGGTCTCAGTATAGTTACAACGGCTGCCCCACCCTTCAAACCGAAACGCATTACTGCTTCACGGCTGAAATAGGCAGGGTGGTGGTACCTACCCGTGCGGACTCACAAGAGGTCCTACCACCAGTAAGTCCAGAAGCCCACGCTGGAATGAAACTACCCTTCCTATATTTCAAACAGGAACACACATGGCTGTAGTGAGTAATAAAAATGTTCTGTTGTGTGTTGTTTGCAGATGTACAAGTGTTGGTGCAGTTCGCCCTGCTAGAGCGAGACCGCGGCGAGCGAGAGCGCGCTGAAGCCTTACTCGAACAAGTACTCGCTGTTTACCCGCAACGCGTCGACGTGTGTGCCGTGTACGTCGATATGCTCGTTAAGGAAAACGATATCGAACGCGTTAGGTCAGTACACAAACATCATTCTGTTCTTTAGTGATATTTAAGGTTTGTATCTTTAAATTTAAAGCATTATTTGCAGAACACATTTGCAACACTGCACAGAGCACATGTCAAAATGTTGGTTTTAGTAACCAGGCCATAAAATTAAAAAAATATATATATGTCAAAATGAACCTTTCAAAATTGATTTTTTTTTACACAGACAAGTTATGGAACGCATCACGTCCCATCAGTTGCCAGCTAGAAAAATGAAAGTTCTCTATAAAAAATGGATTGAAGTCGAAGAGAAGATCGGTGATGAAGGGAAAGCGGAGATAATCCGACAGCGCGCCATAGAATATGTAGAAAAAGCAAAGTTCTAATCAATAAATTTTATTGTACTATTAATTTATAAATTAATAAAATCAATTATAAGTACTTGAACATGTATGTTTTGTTGGATTTTATTGTGTTGTCCGTATTTTTAAGAATCTTAGGCATCGGCGGGGGCGGGGGAGGGAAAGCTCCTGGTACTGTCTGAGTAATAGGATTGATGGCAACTGGATTATCTAATTTAATACTGACAGCAGAACTGTAACTATGGCTCAGCAATCGTACACCGTATATAGAAATAGGTGCACAAACTTTGTATCCCAACTTCACGTAGAAGTTTTCTTGTCCTTTCGTCGACAAATGAATCATTTTCAAATTTAAAACGCTTTTACAATATTCCTCCACGCGTCTCATTAAATACGTTCCTAATTTTTTCCCGCGCATCGCTCTGCTTATCACAACGGTCTCTACAAAACAGCTCTCCGGTATGCTAGGTATAGCTGTTAATTTACAATGACCCAACAGAGACTTTGTGTTCGCAACTAAAATTAAACTAGTAGGTAGTTCATTGCAGGACGCTTGTAAGGACATCATTCTTGCGGTTTCACTACGGGGCCACTCTTCGTTTATCATTTCGCAGCATGCTCTCAAATACTCAGGATGTTTGTGCAATGGTAATACTTTAAGGCTTTCGGGTTCCATTTTTAAAAGGTCTAAAAGAAAAAAGAAAACATAGTTTATAGGAATAAGCTATACTAGACTAGAATTAACGCATGAGAATATCTCAACACGATCTATATAGCTTAGTCGGAATACTAGTTAGTTAAATTTATTATATAGGTTAAAATAATTATTAAAAGCTCATTGCTCGATCTAGATTAAGAACACGATCCACATTTCATAATAAAAAAACCGCGACATTTCTATTTAATCTGTATCGGGAATGGTATTGTGCAACAGTTAATTAAATTGGACATTGAACGGAGGATTTCCAAGAAATAAATCATATCGCTCGCTCTTTTCAAATGAATTGTTATCTGGGGCTTAATGTTGACCAATTTCTGAAGTGAATATTCTTTAATCTTTGGTTTGAATCCTCTTCACATTTTAATTGCTGATTATTTATTGTCAAATGTCAACAGCCGATTGTCAAAAAGATCAATGGTAGGTAGGTACCTACCTACTCAAACAGCAATTAAAAGTTAAAATAGGCTTATTAAAACCGTATTTAAAGTTCTAAAACAATAAAGTTAATGAAAAGGTTGAGAGTAAATAATTTGTGTGTTCTTACCAAACAAATAATTGTTGCATTTTGTAATTTTCAAGATAGTTTCTTCTTCTACCACCTCATTTTCGCGTAGAACCTGTGTCCCATACAGACGTTTACAAACTAACCTATTTATAATTCTAGCTGTCAAAGCTCGTCTATGTGTATTGTGTATACAATTTATAATTTATAATTGTAATTTGGTCTAAAGTACAACATATGGGTTTAGAGGTGTGAAAAAGTCTTTCGGTGCACCAAAACAAGATATTTAATCTAAGAATCAATTGGTAACTTTTTTGAAAACATATTGGAACATATCATAACTTTGAGATAGTGTTAAAGCACACATTACAGACTGCTTGCTCTCTATATTTTTTAAAGTGAAAAACTGTGAATTAAAATTATTTAAAATATACAGTAATAATAATAATACTATAACAATATATTTCCATCTTGTATTAGTATTTTTGTAAGTATTTATATAGTGGAACTATAAATATGTGAAATAATCTTCCAGCTACATCTTTTTGTGCAATGGAAGCAGATGAAGACGTGCCCACATTGTCAGCAGAGACATTTGCTGCTTTACAGGAATTCTATGCTGAACAAAGTAAAAGACAAGAAATCCTTGTAAAGCTAGAAGTGGATAAAAAATTAACTGAGAATATTTTGTTTGATGAAAATTGGGTATGCAATAATATGCTTATGACAACTAATTTTCAGAATTCATATAAAAATTAGCTAAATTAACCAAGCCAGTATGGAGGTATACTAAGGCTCCCAGATATAAAATAGAGTTCTTAGGTGAAACTAAGCTTTGTAAAAATCAGCTTGGATACTTGGTTGGGATGCTCACTGGGAACTTTGACACTGAAAAACACATTTCTATAATATCATCCTGAAGGATCAAAGTACCAGGCAGCATATATGCCCAGATCCACAAATAAGATTAGCAATCCAACAGAATTGATATAAAACACAAAACAGAATTCATACTAGTGTTTGTTGTAATACAAATACATACTTAAATAATAAATAAATAAATAAAACTTTATTTTTTCAGCAACTGAGTCAGTTTTGGTATGATGAGAAAACGGTACACTCTCTGGTCAAAGTAATTGATAAAGTATTAGATGACAGAGGTAAAGTGGCACTGATTTCGTGTCCCACACTCTTTGTGCCCTTGAAAAGACAGATCGGAGACAGAGGGACTGGTATGTATTTAACATTGCTAAGTTTAAAGTATTTTCTTCAATTCTCACTAGCTGTCACTATCATTTTAAACGATCAAATTAAACTAGTTGAACAAAAACACTGAAACTTAAAAAACTGAAAATTTCACTAATTTTGAGTGGTTAATATTTTATTTAAAAGGTCAGTAAATATAAAATTAATACCTAAGAGATTCAGTTAATTAAGTAGTAAAAGAAGTGTGTACCACAGAACCATAAGGCATTCGGTGATAACAAAATTAGGTAAAAAAGGTGGAAAAAGTCAAAGCCAATTAAAAAAATGTGTATTGCACAAAACAAAGTCTAAAATGTAGTAGTAAAGTCATCTATTTTCTGCTAGAATTTATAGGTAGGCTACTTTAAAAAATAAAAGTTTTCCACATTCACTAGCCAAGGTATAATAATATCCTCATAACATTTTCAAACGTAACAACATAAAAAAGATCAGTTTACACTGACCTGAAGCTTTAATTTTAAAAACTACCAAATGTGATTATTTTAATTTCAGTCACCCTACTAGAATACGACAGACGATTTGAAGTTCACGGTCCTGACTACATATTCTACGATTATAACAATCCTAAGGAAGTACCACCTGACGTACATCACTCATACGACTTAGTAGTGGCCGACCCACCATTCCTTTCTGAAGAATGCATAACGAAAACATTGGAGACAATCAAATTGCTTTCGAAAGATAAAATAATTTTATGCACCGGTACCATAATGAAGGATATAGTAAAGGAATTGCTAGATTTAAAATTATGTGAATTCCAACCTAAACACCGAAATAATTTAGCTAATGAGTTCTCGTGTTATGCTAACTTTGATTTGGACAGTGTCCTGAGTTGATGTTTTGTAGAAGTTGTATGAGTACATTTTTATTATTATTTTCATTGTAATGTATTATTTATTAGTTAATAATATTCTGGAGATTATTTTCAGTTAGATTGTGTGTGTTTAAACAACAATCATGTCTTGAAATGGTTATAAAATAAAACATAAAAATAAAACACTCTATAGTCCTCAGTTTTGTCTATTGGGATGAAAGATTTACTGGTGGTAGACCCTCATGTGAGTCCGCGCAGATAGGTACCACCACCCTGCCTATTTCTGCCGTGAAGCAGTAATACGTTTCGGTTTGAAGGGTGGGGCAGCCGTTGTAACTATACTGAGACCCTTAGAACTTATATCTCAAGGTGGGTGGCGCATTTACGTTGTAGATGTCTATGGGCTCCAGTAACCACTTAACACCAGGTGGGCTGTGAGCTCGTCCACACATCTAAGCAATAATAAAAAAAAGATAGTTTTCAAAGTAGACGGGTGAGCACTTTCAACTTGAAATATTGCACAGTCTCATTTATGTTGGATTATAGTTAGTTGAAGATACTAAAACACAAACTGAAACATTCCATTTCATTTATTCTTAACAAAACGTACATGTCAACATGTTTATTATTGACCATCATTAACTAATTAAAATATAATATACACATTTTGTTTGTAGAGCTTTTTTTTAAATTATGGTTTTTTTTTGTGTATTTTCGGTTTTTTTCATGTTGTGTTTGACTGTTTAAATGTAAAAACACAACCAGCTTATATTTTTGGAGCAATAAACCGTATTAATTGCAGTGCCATGTTAAAAAAAATATTGTTATTTACTATTTCGATAACTGAAGCCGACTGAATTAAAAATAGTAAATAATATAAATTGTCTACACCAGTAGAACCATCGGCACGTGCTTACACTTAACAAAATACTTATTTCAAATGCATTAAGGTTTAAATAGATTAATCTATTGTATTATACTTATTGTATGAAATACATTATCCGAAAATGAAACAAAATCATCAGTCATGTGACTCGACAAATCTTTAACAAATACTGTATTTAAATTAGGTCCATTAACAATGAGAACTTACTTCGTCAAGAATTTAATTGAAAATCTTATCACAATACAAATGCGTATTATTGTACATTAATTAATTAATAAACATTTTATATCTTATATATGTTAGTGTTTAATCATAAAACATATTTACTATATTCTTATTTATAAATAACTTGTGGAAATATATGTTTATTTAATTTCAGTTCTTTGAATTGATTAACAATATATTATTTTATTTTTCTATATTATGCTAAATAGATGGATCATTAGTAAAATAGTATTGTTGCTAAATAAATAGATTAGGCCTATTGTGATGCCATAATAATATTACATATCATTATTTACATGAATTGCAAGAAGATGAAAGGTTTTTACTAATTCCTTCATAGAAATTAACCATCATCATCGTATCCATTGTATAGATTGGTGTTGCCATTTTAAATAATACGATATCATTCAGAAAACTCGAAACATAAATTTATATTTTAAACTTCTGAAAATCACATTATCAACTATAACATACAAAAATACATATTCTCGTTATTATTTAAATCGTAACAATTATACATTATNAAAGGTTTTTACTAATTCCTTCATAGAAATTAACCATCATCATCGTATCCATTGTATAGATTGGTGTTGCCATTTTAAATAATACGATATCATTCAGAAAACTCGAAACATAAATTTATATTTTAAACTTCTGAAAATCACATTATCAACTATAACATACAAAAATACATATTCTCGTTATTATTTAAATCGTAACAATTATACATTATTAATACACATACAGATTTACATGCAACGCACACATGCTAAATTTAATTGAATCTAACATTAAATATTGGTCATAATATTGTCGTAGCTACATTTTTGTACTGGAAATATAATATAATATATAATCACGGTCAAATAACAGTAATATATCTATTCGATTTCGACTCCTGCAACGAGTGGCGTTGCATTTGCACAACGTTACATTTGCTCAAGCTGCATTCCTCATACCCGAGGGCACCAACACCTAGGAGTCTCCACCTCACGTCGGGGCTCCGTCCCCTACCGTCGGCGACGTGCAACACCATGCATCATGACTCGACAGATACACGAGTAAGAGGAAGGCATGGGATTCACGGCATGAAAAAAAAGATCGCTTACATGCCTACGCGTGGCAACTAATAAAAACTTTTTTTTCTAACCCTCATTTTATTGTCAAAAGGCCATGCGTAAATATTTGGGGTTGTCATTATTGAAATTCGTTTATGATACACATTGATGCAATCTGCAAGAGTGTCAAGAAGATCTTTCCACTTGGAAGCCCGCTGTACCCTCGGGTTAGGCACATAAATATAAAAACGAAAAGACAATCAGAGATACTATTAGACATGCAGACTTATTGAAACATAAATTGTTGTTATTCAACTCATTTTCAAATGAACACGCACGGTTGCATTATATACCTACTAGCCATTTTATACAAATGCCAAGTTTTACGTCCACAACAAATATTTATGATTGTTTCTATATAAATTAAAGTGAATTGTGTTATATATTTCGCGAGTAAATAACGAGAAAGCTAGCATACAAAATGGCTTTCGAATAAAAGGAAAGCGCACTGAAGCTATGCCTTCGCCAAATTACATTTCCTTGTTGTATCAACACTGACTTTTTTTAGTATAGCAACATTTAATCAATCAGCGCTGCTATAGAATTTCAAATTTAGATTGTCTAGCTACAAATAATCTATTAAGATTCAAATCAAGCGCCATTACTTTTATTGTTAAATTAATAACATTACTATTCTGTTAAATTCCCTTAAATCAAGGCTTATTTTCAAAATATTAAAACACAACACGTCGTTCTTGAGTTACACAAGATAGTTTCATTCAGGAAACTACAGTCAAACTATAAGCGCTTCTTTAAAGAATCATTCGTCTAATTTAGTAATCATAATAAATTGTCATATAATAAAAAGACTAAAACAAAAAAAAAAAACTATTGTAATTCTCTATTCACAGCAAAAATGTCTTTTGTTTCCTTATCCTCATTCCTCAACAAATTTTTTTATTTTGTATTTTGGCTGGATTACGTCTCCTTTCAAACTGTTTCCTCTGCAAATCGTTCTAGTCAGAGAACACTATCGGAAATTTCTTGCTGAGTTTACAGAAACATTGTTAGGGTTTTCTTTGCTACAGTAATAAACTCCTAGCTATGTCCTTAACGCGGGCAGTTTTAGTGCGTTTAGTGGAATTTTACTAACTTAAATTTTAGTTCCAAGTCATTGATGGTAACAATAAAAATTTGCTTACGAAAAATATATATATATGGAAACCACATTTTTAGGTTAACAAATAATAGAAGCATATTCGTCAATATTTTTTTTTAACAAATACTATATTATAGAATTTTAGAATTATCATAACATTTTTAATACTCCTTAAGCATTAATTGATGTAATTATATTCACTTCCTACAATTAGTCTAATAAATTCAATAATTATTTATTCATCACACCTTCAATAAGTTAGTGAATTGTATTTTTTAAGAATTATGTTCATCAGAAATAATTGTTTTCCTTTTCTTTTAGGCTTTTTCTATAGACAACACAAGTAATATAACAATACATTACTGTTAATGAAGTTTAAAACATAAACTTTTAGTAAAATAATACAAAAAAAAACTTTATGTCGGTTTAAGATCAAAAAAACTTCTAAACAAAAGTGGAAGAGCAACCACATTTGTGTTGTTACTGCTCTCATAAATACTAAACAATAGAATTAATTTCATTTATCCTTATCAACCTAAATTTTTATTGATTTCCAGAGATCGGCACGTGCAGACAACACACTCTCTCTGGGTGCTCCATATACAGGGTGTTTGTAATGTTAGAAATCAATTTAAACAAATCTATTTGAACCGTTGTTTGTGAATAATATCAAAGGAATGGCTCACGAAAATAACAATTGAGGCATATATTCCTAATTGCACGAGCAAGTGCAATCATCCATAGACACCACAGCCCACTGAGTTTCTACGAAGCACTGCCCTTACTAGGGCCACTGTTAGGAACACACCCGGTTTGAGCCCCGCGAGTTCACCTAGGCGTCAATGAGAAGCTGAAATAGCCTTTCTAGGCTATCAGCATAGGTAGGGAAAAAATAGTAATCGACATTGTCATCGAACACAACAACCGTCAAGTGTTGTCCAGGGACTGTCTCCACTCCCGTGACACACGTTCACACGACATTATTCAGTTTAAAGAAATTCCTAACATCAAAACACAACCGGGATGTCTTAAACAAAACGCTAATCAAAGGAAGCCCTCATTACCAATTACAATTATAACAACTACTTTCACAAAATATATAAAAATATAAAGAAAAAAACCAAAATAAACAATACTCAGTAACCTAATTTACTAAGCGAGCGTATAAAGATAACGTAATAAGTTATGCTTGTATAAAATTTGTGGAGAGATCCGAATATGTTTATGCAAGAATGATCAAATAAACACAAAAAAGCATATTGGTTAAAATGATCATCATCATACTCCTTTATTCTTGAACGGAAACTAAAATTAATGTTTTTGAAAATATAAGCGTAATTAATATTAATAATTGCTAAATCAATGAATAAAATTTCATCTGTTCCAAATTTAACCCCTCATAAAATAATCCATTTTGCATTTGCAAACTTACTCAAAGTTTATATATGGTATACATAAATAACAAAAACACAATAAAAAAATATCACTTAATAATAGTCAATCACAAATCATACAAGCATAAGTTATACAGGGATACTTCTATTGTGACAGAATATTCTGTTTCACAAAAGGCAGTAAAACGTACTGAGTAAATTGTGCCAAAAAATACTCAGTGGATTGCTTTGAAATCACCTTAAAAACTTCAACACTAGCTCACTAAAGAAATCAGATAAAGAGCAAAACAACAATAAATAATAACACGGTTGAAAGTAATAATAATTAAGGACAAACCTAATGTTTTTGTGATAACGTTAAGCATACAAGTATTAAGAGTAAAGGCACCCGTGTTGAGGCTGTGCGCCGCCCCCCAACCCGCCCCTCCCCCGCTACTTACCCTGCTGCTCCCTCACGCTGGACTTTGAGCCGATGTCTACTTTAATTCGGTTCACAGTATGCAATAATCACTAATGTCTTTGTAGGAAGTTAATAGACGAGGACCTAATAAAGTGGAAAATAGAGATAGTACCTCGTCCCCCCACAACATCGAGGCGACGACAACTTCTTAAATAAACATTACTTTAATTATTTAATCACCGTTGTTATTCTAAAGCCTTTATCTATATCACAATACCAAAGGATTACTAATGGTACAGCCAAGCCGATAATTAAGTCACCGTGACTGCCTTTGCTATGGATTCGATATTAACAATCAGGATATTCGCATACATGTATGATTTAGTGTCCTTAAATTAAAGTAGGCTGGTGTAGAACACAAACTTGCACCGATTTTGTACTTTATAACAAACGAATTATGAGCTATAGCCCATTCGAGTTTCTCGCCGGATCTTCTCAGTGGGTCGCGTTTCCGATCCGGTGGTAGATAGCACTGCTCTTGCTAGGGTCAGTGTTAGCATCACTCCGGTTTGAGCCTCGTGAGCTCACCTACTAGTTAAGGTTACGCTGAAATAGCCTCTCAAGGCTATCAGCTTAGGTAGGAAAAAAATGAGCTAGTTTAGTATCTGTAGTTATTCGTCGTCAAGTTGCGTAGAGTGGTTGCGAGGTGTGGGCTACCGTCGCCTCCTGAGGGCGTAGAGCGCGAGCAGCAGCAGCAGCAGCAGCAGGCAGCGTGCGGCCAGCAGGACGGCCAGCAGCAGCGCGCGCAGAAGGGCGGCGGCCGCGGCCCCCAGCGCCCGCGCCGCGCCGACCTCCGCGCTGCATCATCCCGTCCCGCACTTGCCGCTCTCGAACACTCCCTGGAACCGCAAACCAAAGGTCAAATACTTAGGCGTCACCCTCGACAGAGGAATGACATTCTGCCCCCACTTAAAGACGGTACGCGACCGTGCCGACTTCATATTAGAACGCCTCTATCCGATGATTTGCAAGCGAAGTAAATTGTCCCTTAGAAATAAGGTGACACTCTACAAAACTTTCATACGCCCCGTCATGACCTATGCAAGTGTAGTGTTCGCTCACGCGGCCCGCACTAACTTAAAACCACTACAAGTTATTCAATCCCATTTTTGCAGGATAGCCGTCGGAGCCCCGTGGTTCGTCAGGAACGTCGACCTGCACGACGACCTTGACCTAGAGTCCATCAGTAAGTATCTAGTCGGCATCAATGCGCCAATTCGATAAAGCGGCACGACACGAGAACCCTCTCATCTTGGCCGCTGGTAACTACATTCCCGATCCTGCGGACCGGATGGAAAGCAGGTGACGTCACCAAAAACACGTACGTCATTTCGGATCTTCCCGATCCACTAACGGTACCTCAAGCACCGGCCACCATTCTTGCTGAACCTGTCGCTTGCGACGAAGGGCTTGACGAGTAAATTAATCCACTGATATAGCCCATTGAGTTTCTCGCCGGATCTTCTCAGTGGGTCGCGTTTCCGATCCGGTGGTAGATTCTGTGAAGCACGGCTCTTGCTAGGGTTCGTGTTAGCAACGTCGTCAGGTTTGAACCCCGTGAGCTCACCTACTAGTTAAGGTTACACTGAAATAGCCTCTCAACTTCAAGACTATTAGCTTAGGTAGGAAAAAAAAAAACAACATTTGGACCGTCGGTCTATCGAGCAATATCACCCGCTCGGTGGAAGATCTTTCCTTTCGCCGTCTGAGACCTACATATATGTAAGTGTACATTTAAATTAGTCTGGTGTATTTCTCCTTTGCTTATGTTGTTTCGTGTTTGCTGATTGTTTTTACTTTCTTTGTTGCTATTTTTTTGTTTCTCTAGTGTTTTCATTTGTTTATTGTATTGTACCTTTAATTGGCTTTTTGTTTCTATTATCTGTTATATTATTATACTATCTTAATTGGCTATTGGTTCTCTTTGTAGTAAATAAATATGACGGATCGGAAGTAAGCGATGATTAGATTGTATCTCTATGGGCGCGCGGTCGGCGGCTGCTGGGAGCTGACGTACCTTTCGGAAGAAGGGCGAGAAGGCGACGAGCTTGTCCCGCGTGAGGGGCGCGGCGTGCAGCGGGGAGCGCGGGTCGGCGGCGGCCACGCGCAGCAGGCGCCGCAGGAACTGCTCCAGCGCCCCCCGCCGCGCGCGCGCCACCCCCTCGCCCGCCCACAGCGTGCGCGGCGGGAACGGGATGCCGCCCACCTGCCACCGACCACACCTCGTCACACACGCACACGACACGTCAGTACGAAATAATCTACTACTGCCATAACTGGGCCGAATCTGCAAAGCTCCAACTTCTTTTATTGGACTTCTTCCAAAGACTTGTCGTTAATATATAATATATAATCTGGTAGTAGGACCTCTTGTGAGTCCGCACGGCTAGGTACCACCACCCTGCCTATTTCTGCCGTGAAGCAGTAATGCGTTTCGGTTTGAAGGGCAGGGCAGCCGTTGTAACTATACTGAGACCTTAGAACTCATATATCACAAGGTGAGTGGTGGCATTTACGTTGTAGATGTCTATGGGCTCCAGTTACCACTTAACACCAGGTGGGCTGTGAACTCGTCCCCCATCCAAGCAATAAAAAAAATATATATATACAGTTGGCATAAGAAATGGATCAACTTCCCTAAATTTGGACGGTGCTTAATATTTATAAGAATCGATTAATGAAAAGTGGTATAAATACTTAACAGTGATGGTATGTTCATATGCTGCTAAACATAGAGGGAAATCAGATTAGAACGTTGTTTCATTGACTGTGTGTGAGTAGCACGCACCTGCGCCGGGTACCGCGCCCGCATCTCGAGGTAGAGGTCCCGGAAGCGCCGGTAGCGCCGCAGCAGCGAGTACCGGCAGCGCGCGCCCAGCCACACGCGCACCTCGTACTCGTGGTGCGTGCGCGCCCCCGCCCCGCGCGTCACCCACCCCGGCACGCTCACCACCGCGTCTACGCAACACGCTTTATTCTTATCTATTATTAATACGTGAAGCAAAAACTTTGTATCCCTTTTGACGAAAATTTCGCGGACGGAAGAGTATGAAATTTTCCACACTTATAAAGAATATAGAGAAGAAGTGCACAATGCTAATATTTTTTGGAAATAATGCATAAAAGATACATTAAATCAATAAAGAAAACATTACACACACTATATAACATGTACTTGACGCACACACGCATGCATACTATTTATTGTCAAACTTTTGTTTTTTTTGTTGTCAAATTGAGAATAGATTAAATATTGTTTGTCTTTGTTAATATTTTTTATAGTATAGTCTTGGCGAAATTTGTGATTATAGAAGTATAAAATACAATCATAATAGTGTACAAAATTACAATTCCAATTAATTATAGTCGAATTTCGACTACTGCGGGACCTGTAGTTTTATTTAAAACTAACTCACCCGGCAGACTTCGTAGTGCTTCAATCGATAAATAAAATACCTAAACTTTTGTATAAACTAATAAACTTAAAACAAACATAAGGAATCCGTCCGACGGGGGACGCATCAATGGAAAAACAAAACTGTTATTTTTATTTAATTCCGAGCGTTTTCATAATGATCTACCTTTTAAACCTTCTCTGGACTTCCACAAATAGTTCAAGACCAAAATTAGCCAAATCGGTCCAGCCGTTCTCGAGTTTTAGCGAGACTAACGAACAGCAATTCATTTTTATATATATAGATATTTTGTACACACAGCTGTTAGAAGAAACACGACAATAAGGATACAGAGTACAAGGGCACTACTTATTTCATGTTGAAATCTCTTCCAGTAGGCCCGCAAAAGGAAAGAAGAATTAGGAACACAAACCTAGTGCATACAGTAAACATTACATACAATAATATATACATATTACAAGATACAAAACATATATATACATACAAACACACACACACACACACACACATATAGTGCCTACGTTGCCTACGTTTGCCGCTAGGGCCGCTGTTCCAACTGCATTCAAATTTGAGTTAACTTTTACGCTATCGAGAACGTTAAAAAACTAGCACTAAGCACACGGCGTCACCGCGTCGTCTGACTTAACGTTGCTACGATAACATTAATGTTCACATATATGATGAAGTTATCTTATCGGTATTAGAAGCGTTGCCCTGACATTTGTTACGGTTCCATTGCTGCCTGAGAAATGAAATTTTAATTCTAAAACTTACTAAAATCTATGGGGTGAGTTAGACCTCCGTTGTCCGTTGATTCCTGCAACAACGAATTAGAGTTTGAAATAGAAAAACTAATGTGGAACGTTCAGATCTAATTGTTTAACTAGACAGTTGTTCATGATTTCATCAACTTGTTCATTTTAGTCGCGGTGCCATGTCAACAATACCATAAACAATAATGTGCAATATCGCTAGCTTGCTAATGGCAGAAGTGCAACTTCTCTGACGGTAGAGAGAGGTAGTTATTGTCAGTTTCTTTTTCTATAACATTACCGATGGCAATCCTTCAAAGAAGTTAAACTTCTAAGATGTGGTTAGTCTGTTGGCCACTGACCTCGAGCGGTAGATGCACGAGCGTGGGCGCGACGGCTCCGTTGCGTGCGGGCGCGTCGGGCTCCAGCGCGCGGCGCAGCGGGTCGTCCCACGCGTCCGGCTGCTCTGCGGGCAGCTCGTCGTTGGACGTCGACACGTTGTCCGACGCTTCCAGCTCTTGCTCCTTCAGCCTAATGGTGACGCGGTGTGGATAATGCACACGCTGAACCTTTTTTTATGATTGAATGATTACTGGTGGCCTGGAGGCCTTTCCAGTTTCATCAGGACAGGTGGGCGAGCAAAGGCTCAGCCAGTACGCTGAACCCTAAGTCAGCGGGGTCTATGCCTATATCTGCTTATAGCTATTAACAGGTCAAGGACCGAGACTTTTTTTGCGATTTTTGCCAAAAGTAATTAAATGCATAGCGACGCTTGAAAGGCACACGTGACTAAGCGACAATGCGTGAACTTTACAGTAGACTAATTTAAAGTTGAAATACCTGAATCTTTTAATTATTTTAACGAATCTAGCTGTAGGATTGAAATGATTTAAATAGACCTAGAAATATATATTTTTTGGGCATCGAATATGGTTATTGCCTATCATTTATGTACAAAGCAGTTATTGTCGCTTAGTCACGTTGGCCTTTCAAGCGTCGATATGGATACAGAATAACTCAAATATGCTATTCCTACTTTGTTTTTTGATTATACAATTATATTGTCGAATAGTTCCCCTTTAATATGTTATAGCTACTAGGCTAGATGAGCCATGGAGGTCCGCGTTTCTTACATATTCGATAGAAAACTTGCGGTTAAGGGTATTCTAGGCAGGTGAGTTGTGGCGGTCCCAAGGGATCGCTAATTTTGTTTTGGCAAAGTAATGGTATCCACCCACAGGGACCGCTCCGGTCCTTAACCTGTTAAGCTTTTGTGTTAAACTTCCATAGCTAAAAGCGCGCAAACCCAAAAACGGATGGGATTATTTCCACACCATTATTTCCATCATTAACAAAACACAATCTAATTAACAGTCAACTTATACATTTTATAAAGAAAGGTAGGAGATACTGAATGGGTCTAAGCGAGTTTTTAAGAACCCCTAAGACGCAATGAATAATGAAATTAATTTGGACTACTGTAACATAATACGAGCATCGCTGCCGTATCTTTATTATGACCATATTAATGAAGTATGACGTCATAATTCAATACTGTGCTCTAAAATGAAATGTATGAAATTCAAAACTGGATTCAAACTCTTAAAACTTCCAGTTTGGGGGTTTTCAATTTACTTTTCGTTGGCAACCCGCATCTCTTGTTATATTAAAAAAAAAGTCATAGATTATTTTTCTACAGTGACTATGTAAGTTTCAAACGGACACACAACGCAGACCTGTTGAGCAGAGGGTCGGTGAGGACCCCGTTCCCGTTCTCGGCGCCGGGGTCGTCCGTGGCGACCTGCATGTCGCTCTCGGAGAGGGTGAGGGAGGGAGTTTCCTGTATCGGAGTGACCATCATCGACCTCCTGTTCTGCGGGCTGTCGAAGAACGAATACTGCAGCGCCATCTCCAGCCTGACGTATTTCTTTTGAAGCTCTTGGAGAACCTTAGATCAAATAGAAATTAAACTATTACATTTTTATATTGAACAACGACCTGTATAAGCCCTTTTTGGAAAAAGTATTAAGGAGAAGGTACAGGTTCGTGTGCTTTTGTATTTACAGACATTCGAGCTTTAAAATTTTTTTTAGATTAATTACTTAAATAGCACCTTCTTAGGTCGTATAAATACAACTTATCATACTTATCTACGATTTATCTATAAAAGAGCAGAATTAGTTATCGTTTAAAATGCTAAAAGGTTTAAGATTAATAATGTAGGTAGTTTTTTTTCTACTTTGATGACCTGGGTCCAGGGTATTAAGCCAAAGTAACAAAGTCACTGTATTGTCATCGGACGTCTATATTTTTCTTTTACTTTTTTTATTGCTTTTGTAGGCAAACGAGCATATGACCCACCTGGTGGTAAGTGGTTACCGTCGCCCATGGACTTCAGCAATGCCACGAGCAGAGCCAAGCCCCTACCTACCTACCGTTAAGTACTCACCACAAGCCTCGATTTTATTTTTAATGGATTGATTTGTAGAACCAGTGATACCCCCCGCCCCCCTTCGAGTCCCTTACCGCAATCTGCCTGTTTAGTTCCTCCTTCGAGCAGTCGTTCTCCAGTGAAGAGATGACGAGCATCTTCTGTGAAGCTATCCGAGAGCACAGCCTCTGCATCGCGCGCAGTGCCTCTGCTTCGGTCACTTGTCGCCGCCCTGACTTACTGTCGCCTGTGACGGTACCATATAAAACTAAAATATCTGTGTAGTGTGATGCTGTGTTGCAAGATAAAAAAAAAACGGTATTTAATTTCCTATTAAAAACATTCAAAGACCGGACCACTTCATTTTTTTTTCTACCTATCCTAGTAGCTTCGAGACTTTTTGGCGGGAACGCGAGGAGTGAAGTTGTGTGCTTTATTTTATTTTGTCTATTTAGTGTTTCTTCAGGTTTAAATGTGTAAAAACGGTGGTTTATTAACTGTTCAATATTTATGAAAGTGCAAAAATGAAACAAAGCCGCTCGACGTAACTTCTCGGGATCCTCCAAAAAGTCCACTGAAAAAATCACAGTAAATGACCATTTTACTGTGATTATATTTCATCCCATATCATCTCATCCCATTTCATTTCATCCTAAATCCCAGTTGGTTAATATCTCAACTTAATCATTTTCATTTTATTTCATTTCACTCCATATTATCATTTTTCATAAAAATAAGATTATAAATTAAAATAAGACATGACTTAAAGGTCTTAGTTACCATGTCATAACATCCCTTTAAAAAAAGCTTCAAGAGGTTATGCCAGCTTCAACTAACGCGAGCTCAGAGGGCTCAGCCTGGGAGGATTTGCCAACCCTAGCAAGAGCAACGCTTCGCAGAATCTACCAGCGGATCGGAAACGCGACCTACTGAGAAAATCCAGCGAGAAACGTCAAGGGCTGACCACTGGGACCACTGGGTCAGCCCTTGACGAATCGTCTTTGGTTCTGTCTTTTGTGCAACACTCCATTCCATGAGGAATGTTATTGTTTGACATGATGTAGTCACCTTCTTGAATGATTTTTGCTAAACTGGTACTTGGGTTATTTTCGTTGTGAAAAGAGCCACTCTGAGCTCTAGGACATTAACTGTCAAAAGTGCCGTACTAAGTTAAATGGTAGGCAGCGGCTTGGCTCACCCCTGACCTTGCTGAAGTCCATGGGCGACGGTAACCACTCACCATCCGGTGGGCCGTACGTTCGTCGGCATACAAGGGCAATTAATAAATAAAAAACACACCATGGTTTGTCCACCAAGCTAGACACTCAAGCTAGACTAATTACTGGAAGCCATTAATTGATTCTCAAAGTTTAGTCTTCAGAGTTTAGTATTGCATGAATTCGCAGCCGGTCATGGTTAGCAGCTAATGGAATTGACAATGCCATACGTCCGAGAGTTGAGATTAAAAAACTAAAAAACAAATTAATAACAAAAACAATCACTTAGTTTTAATGACTATGCGAACACAGTTTCTTACCAGTTATCTTTCTTCTGTATTTTGCTCTCTGGTGTCTCTCTTCCGGCGACCTGTCCATGGAGCTGGACGACTGGCCCTCCACTATCCTGGGCTGCGGAAACGACGCCACAATAGGTTGTTAAACCAAATTTCTGGTAAAAGTTGTAAATATATTTTTAGAACACATTCTAGACGCATTTAGGAAGGAACATATCAGATGGTCGCATGTTCAAATCACGTCGAGGCCACCAGTTATAGATTTACGACGAAAGGAAAGATGCTCGGTGGGGCGTGTAATTGCTCGGTAGAACGACGGTCTGAATGTTGTTGTTCGGTACTTGTATATATGTAAGCTTATTAGCTTATTAGCTTATTAGCTTTGGTAGGCAGCGGCTTGGCTCTGCCCCTGGCATTGCTGAAGTCCATGGGCGACGGTAACCACTCACCATCAGGTGGGCCGTATGCTCGTCTGCCTACAAGGGCAATAAAAAAAAAAAAAAAAAAAAAAAATGTCGTAAGCGAGATTCAGGCATCTGTCAAATATCTTGTATTTTGTGATGACTACCGCCACAACTAGCTTACCTTGTGATAGTCCTCAGTACTGGACATATCGTCGCTGTCGTCGGGCACGGGGCCCAGGCGGAAGTTCGGCTGCGGGGGGCCGCGGGGGGGCGAGCTCTGCGGGGAGTCGCGGGGGGGCGAGCTCTCCGGGGGGAATGACTTCGGGGTGGTGGAGCTCGCGGTCTGGTACTCCTCCGCGTTCAGCGAGTCGGGACACGCCAGTGGATCTAGACTCAGACTGAGGCTGCACGGAAGACTTTTTGATTAGTATCCAAAGTAGTTGTATAATCTTTTTTTTTTAACATTGGTGTTAATCAAAAAATTATATATACGCTCCGGTAACTTGTTAAGATCGGATGAGCTGTAAGTTCAATTGCCATTCTGAGTGCCATGCCTGCCATAAAAAAACTACAATAAAAACACATCGGGATTTTCGTGCTTACTTGATTCTTTTGTCCCGGAACTCATCCCGTTCATCAGCGGAGAGTGGGTCCAGCACCTCCTCGCGAGGAGTCCTGCGCAGCACCAGCTCGGACTTGCTGCGCTTCACTCCTTCCGTGGGTGACGCTTGACTGTCACCTTCTGTACGAAAACAAAGCTCATGAAGATCAGACGAGACTCTCAACACAAAGAGGTTTAAATCTCATTTAGATTGTACAGCGGATGTCCCCCATGTCCCAGGCGCGACAGTCAGGACCGGCCGTCTCGAACTCACAACAAGCACATCTCCCGTGTGCTTAGTACGAATTTTTTAACGTTCTCGATAACGTAAAAGTTAACTCAAATTTGTATGGAGTTGGAGAATTTATCTACGTTAGCCGCTAGTGGCGCTGTTCCAACTGCATACAAATTTGAGTTAGTTTTTACGCTAGCCGCTGGTAACTACATTACCGATCCTGCGGACCGAATGGTAAACAGTCGACGTCGCTCTCAACACGTCATTTCGTTTCCCCCGATCCACTAATGGAGCTTTTAGGTACCCCAAGCACCGGTCACCGTCCTTGTCGAACACGTCGCTTGCAACTAAGAGCTTCGTCGACCTCTTTGTCGAGTTCGACGAGTACGGTTACCGGGGTGCCTAAGCCTGCTCCTAGTGTTAGAGCTGAAGACGTCTAATGCAAAAGTTATTGGATCTTATGGATCCGTAAGGACGTGTCTAGGGCGTCGACGGTGACTGGCTCCTGCATGATCAGGATTGGGGGAGTAGTCAGCGGCGGGAACGATAAGGCGATTATCATGACGCATAGCCTTATCGAAGTACCGTTCCAACGCTGACTTCATGTATTTCCGAATAGATTCGTAGGTGACATCCGACGTGTCGAGTGTTGCGCACCTGTGGGCGCGGCGGGCGTGAGGTCGGCGGCGAGCGCGCGGCGCAGGCCCAGCTCCTGCACGGCCAGCAGCGCCAGCTCGGCCTGCAGCCGTTCCACCTTCACGCGCTGGTTCGACACCGACCGCACCCGGCTCTGCAGCTCCTCCTCCAGCTCCACCAGCTCTCTCTTCTGCACACCAACATATCATTTGTGTTTTTTTTTTTATTGCTTAGATGGGTGGACGAGCTCACAACCCACTGCTAAGTGCTAAGGTGCTAAGTGGTGCTAAGTGGTGCTAAGTGGTTACTGGGGCCCAAATACATATATATACAACGTAAATGCGCCACCCACCTTGAGATATAAGTTCTAAGGTCTCAAATACTTGTGCCATTTTGGTATCCAGTACTGAGGTTCAGTACTGGTGACTAGTATTAGAGGCCAGTACTGGTGTCCAGTATTGGTGTACAGTATTGGTGTCCAGTATTAGAGGCCAATACCGGTGTGCAGTATTGGTGTCCAGTACTGGTGTCCAGTATGGTTGTCCAGTATTAGAGTTCCAGTACTGGTGTCCAGTATTAGAGGCCAGTATTGGCGTCCAGTACTGGTGACTAGTATTAGAGCCCAGTACTGGTGTCCAGTATTGGTGTCCAGTATTAGAGGCCAGTACTGGTGTCCAGTACTGGTGTCCAGTACTGGTGACTAGTGTTAGAGGCCAGTACTGGTGTCCAGTACTGGTGACTAGTGTTAGAGGCCAGTACTGGTGTCCAGTATGGTTGTCCAGTATTAGAGTTCCAGTACTGGTGTCCAGTATTAGAGGCCAGTATTGGCGTCCAGTACTGGTGACTAGTATTAGGGCCCAGTACTGGTGTCCAGTACTGGTGTCCAGTACTGGTGTCCAGTATTAGAGGCCAGTACTGGTGTCCAGTACTGGTGACTAGTATTAGAGGCCAGTACTGGTGTCCAGAATTAGAGGCCAGTACTGGTGTCCAGTACTGGTGACTAGTGTTAGAGGCCAGTACTGGTGTCCAGTATTAGAGGCCAGTACTGGTGTCCAGTACTTGTGTCCAGTATTAGAGGCCAGTACTGGTTTCCAGTATGGGTGTCCAGTACTGGTGTCTAGTATTAGAGGTCAGGACTGGTGTCTAGTATTGGTGTCCAGTATTAGAGGCCAGTATTGGTGTCCAGTATGGGTGTCCAGTACTGGTGTCTAGTATTAGAGGCCAGTACTGGTGTCCAGTTTTAGAGCCCAGTACTGGTTTTCAGTATTGGTTTCCAGTACTGGTGCCCAGTATGTGTGTCCAGTATTGGTGTCCAGTATTAGAGGCCAGTATTGTATCATGTTGTAAAAGCTCACAGCAAACCTTTTTAAAAATATACCGTGGACTTTCCAGCAGGACTCTGCACCTGATTACAAGGCACGAACTACCCAAGCTACAACGGCTGCCCCACCTTTCAAACCGAAAAGCATTAGTGCTTCACGGCAGAAATAGGCAGGGTGGTGGTACCTACTCGCGCGGACTCACAAGAGGTCCTACCACCAGTAATTTTACGCAAATTAGAATTTTTCGGGTTTCATTTTTATTACACGATGTTATTCCTTCACCGTGGAAGTCAATCGTGAACATTTGTTGAGTACGTATTTTATTAGAAAAATTGGTACCCACGTGAAATTCGAACACCGGTGCATCGCTCAACACGAATGCACCGGACGTCTTATCCGTTAGGCCACGACGACTTACGAAACTGTAAGTGTATGTAAACTCGTATGTAAACGAGGCGACTCACATGCCGGTCGACGGTGTCCTTGATGCTGGTCGCGGTGTCGGGCTCGCACTGACGCAGCAGGTGCATCAGGCTCTCCGTGCTGGTCTCCGACGCGGGACTGTCCGGACTTGGCGTTGAACTCTGTACAAAACAAACGAACGACTTTTAGAATATTCGCAACCTCGGATATTTTTTACCCCGTGAGCGCGTACCATCGATAGATCGACTCTCTATTAATGCGTATTAAACGCGGAACGTCGGAATACCGACTGTTTGCGCCGTTTGGCTATAGGTATTAGGTATTGACGACCTGTACGGTTTTTTTTATAGCTTGAATGGATGAACGAGAACCACTTACCATCAGATGCACAGATGCAATTCACTCAAATATGCTTATTGAAGATTTAAACAGATCTATTTTTTTTTCTTTAACACAAAAAAAAATGTTTATTTTACATTGAATCTTATTTATTTTACATATATTATATATACCCTTACTCTTTTACTACAGTGACTTTGACCTCTCGATCAAAGCTCATCATTAAATTATTATTTATTTCATCTTTATAATATTTTAGATAGAATTTTAGATTAACTTTAGATTTTAGAACTATTTTTCTTTGACTAAACACACACACATCACACTACTGACTGAAACCGTACTGAAAAAACAAAACGTACAAAAATGAACTTTATGAGCATCTCGTTGGTTCTATATGTTTAAAATTTCGAAATTTAAAATTTAAAAGTTCGAAAATACTGACATACTTTACGGATATAAGGACATAGCTTTGTTTGTTGATAACTAAAAATAAAAGCAAGCAAGCAAGCGAAAAAAAAAGCTAAAGCCTTCATCAAACTGTGAAATATAAGGGCATTTTGCGACAGATGGCAGTGTGTACGCACGCCAAATCTGTACCCCATTAAAATAATTACGAGTTATATAAACAACGATTCCTTCTGCTCTTCGTAAAACAAAATCAATTCCAATCGTACCTTAAAAAGTCACACAATTAATATATGAAACATTATTAGCCTGCTCCTCCACCAGAAAGCATAGGACCGGAAGCCTACCTCGATTTTGCCGCTCTCCACTAATTCCCTGATAATATTCTTGGCGTAGTCTTCCAACTCTATCCTCTTGTTGTCGATCCTCGATCTGAGTTCCAGCATGCGCGACTCTTCGGTCTCCACCTAAGCGCGGTGGAATTGCAACGAAAAATAAATATGGCGGGAAATGGGATACGCAAAAAAAAACAAAATGGCGGAAGGAGTTCTGAATTTCTTACGTAATACGTTTGATAAAGCCAACGAGTTATTAATTACTTTTCAAAAGCGTATTGCAAACTAATTAAATTTATTACATTACGTAAAATTATAAAATACTAGCCGTACTAGTTATTATTAGGGAGTTCAACACTCATATAAATATTAGCCTGTCCATTAAGTACCTGTATTTTCTACATGGATACCAAGTTTCAAGTCAATCGGATGCATGGTTCAGTAGTTATAACGGAACATCCGTAAAAACCACTGTAGGTTTATATATTAGTATAGATAATCTAGGTATTCACGAGAATAGATCGACAAATGCTACGAGCTTCCAAACATAAATTGATAGGCGAACCGAAGTGTATGTTTTATATATATATAATAAAACCAAAGCACGGTGTATTCTAAGTCTTATAACTGACTTACAAAGCTCCGGTAATTCATTACGAAAAAGTTAACATGATAGCACCGAGAAAATTGAAATACGAAAATTTACATTTATTAACTGCTGTCCGAACCTTCAAACAGGAACACTTTTTTATGTTTGAGTGATTACTGATGGCCCGGAGACGTTTCCAGTTTTACCAGGACAGGTGGGCGAGAAAGGGCTCAGCCAGGGGGGTGGGATTTGCTAACAGCTACCCGAGCGTCTCCAAAGGAGATCTAGCAGCTCAAGAGTAGCCGCTTTACGAATGAATCTACTACCGGATCGGAATGGCGACCCGCTGAGAAGATCCGGCGAGAAACTCAACGGACTGATGTTTAGGTTAGGTTGTACGTCGATCTCTTTGCCGAGTTTGACGAGTACGGTTACCGGGTCAAACAGGAACACGTGAGTGCTTCGCTCTAGAAACGATCAAGATGGCGGTATTGACTGATGCCGGCATAAATACGTCCTACCACCACCAATAACGCAAATTTATACATCACGCGTTTAGATTTTTATTAGACGATGTTATTCCATAAATTATTTGCGTAATTATTGGTGGTAAGACCTCTTGTGAGTCTGCCCGTATAGGTACCACCACCCCGCCTATTTCGGCCGTGAAGCAGTAATGCGTTTCGGTTTGAAGGGTGAGGGCAGCCGTTGTACTGAGACCTTGGAATTCATATCTCAAGGTGGCTGGCGGCATTTACGTTATAGATGTCTATGGGCTCCGGTAACCACTCAACACCAGGTGGGCTGTGAGCTCGTCCACCCATCTAAGCAATAAAAAAGACGTTAGCAAAGTTTCCAACTCCATACAAATTTGAGTTAACTTTTACGCTATCGAGAACGTTAAAAAACTTGCACACAGGGCACTCAGTGCGCACGGGTCGGGGCCTGCTTCTTGCACACAAAGACGCACTGCAAGATCCCATTTTGAAGAGTAGGTTATCGACTTCAATGTAACAGACGCATTGTTTACTCAAAACATCCAAATATCAAACAGAACTAACCTGAATCACACTTATTAACCATTCAATTAAATCATTTAATAATTCAATATTATTGCTAAATTTCGCAACTCACTTCAAACTCAACACTAATCACTCATTAAAGTAATTATGAACTCTAACCAGTTTATTATAAGTAGCATTACTACATGTAGGTACGTGCGATCGTAACGCGAACGAAAATGAAAGTGTCGCGAGTGCGTGTGAAACGAGACAACAATAAAAACAGTCGAACAGTGTGTGTCGCAAATGTATACAAGAACTAATGGTTCTCGAATTCTTTTTTCTTTTTTTTTATTGCATAGATGGGTGGACGAACTCACAGCCCATCTGGTGTTAAGTGATTATCGGAGCCCATAGACATCCACAACGTAAATGCGCCACCCACCTTGAGATATAAGGTCTCAAGTATAGTTACAACGGCTGCTCCACCCTTCAAATCGAAACGCATTACTGCTTCACGGCAGAAATTGGCGGGGTGATGGTACCTACCCGTACGGACTCACAAGACTTCCTACCACTAGTAATAAAATTCGATTTCTATATTCGATTCTAATTCATTCATTTTGTTTCAAAACACTTTTAACTATTAAAGACTATATAGTGCAGACATAAAATAAACTTGAAGTGGACTTTATTTTTTGTTATCTTGGGCTGAACTCAAGGCTCATCTTGTATTAAGTTGATACTAAAGCATAAATGTACTTTAAAGTTTCCGACTTGCTAACTCGCCAGTATAACTTCATTATGATAAAAAATAAAAATAAATCGATTTAATATGAGAAGTCGAATATCGAGACACATTAGTTGGGCACATTACTTTTGAAATAATAAGCAACATGAAGTGTAATTATAATTATTTACACTTGTGTATGAAGCGAAATTAACTTTGGTTAACATTAATCATTGCAAAAAAATATGAAAAAATTACAACGGTACAGTTGGCAAAAAAAGTTTTATATAATGTCATTTGAAGAATTTATTTTCAACGTCACTAGGGAAGGTTGAATTTTTTTTTAATTTCGTATTTATCTCCAAATCTCTACGCTTTCTTAATTTGATAAACTTAAGCGGCTACATAAATTACTTCATAAAATTCATATTTGGTTTACGGAAATACGATCGCGTATCTAAATTGCGGGCTAAGCTCAAGTGATTACTAATTCGCCTATGCCGTAATAATTATGTATTTTCTTTACTATAGACTGTGCTCTCTTTTACCCATATATCGAGACTTATCTCAAAGAACGTTTCAAGTTCCAAATAATCATAGGTCATAATTTTTCCCAACATCATCGGGTAGCTTGAGACTAAATAAAGAATGTTTGAATGTTGCAATAAAGTATATTTTCTCTCTCTCTCTCTCTCCTCTCTTTCTCTCTCTCTTTCTCTTTCTCTTGTATGATTACAGTTAGTTACTACTGCTGTATGATAACTGAAACACTGCCTGTTAAATTAGCGAATGTGGATCGGCGACGGTGAGTTCATTGACCCGAGTTTTTTTCGATTCTTCACGACCTTTATTATTACTTTAACTCTACAGTCCGAAGTGAGGGTAAGATCATAAAACTGTAACCTAAATTAAGACATACGAATTAATTTATTTTATTTATTATTAATTAGTAGTGAAACCCGATGTGCAGTGACTGTTTTGGATTGTTTGAAACACATTAATTTGTTGACTCTACTAGTTGCGCTTCCCCTGTCGTACCTTGATGGTACTATGACAGAAACATTCCCAGGAGTTGCTCCGGATCAATAGCTTAAGAAAACACAGATACAAATGTACATGTGAATTAATAGTTTAAGAAGCGATACTCACACATCCCTGATGAGTGTCGCTGAGCCCCCTGAGTCTTTGCGTCCTGGCCGCCAGCTCCCTCTGCCTGCAGCGCAGCGCCCTCCTGCGGTTGGTCCAGCCCCGCTCCAGCGCTCTCCAGTCCCCGGACAGTCTCCTGCAGGCCGCCGCGTACTCCTTCTCCATCGCCTCGCGTTCCTACCGGACGGTCGAAATTTTAGAAAAATGGTGAGTAAAAATTAACCCTTCGATCCATGTAGGTCACCGGTGCCCTACGCGGCGCACTGAAATAATTATATCGATTGCTGTTTTAAGCGCCTAAATTGCTTAACTTTGCCGTCTTTTGTTTGTCTATGTTTTAGTCATTTAGGTCTTCATTCTCAGTATCTTCGGATGCGCCTTTCCCAGAGTCTACTAGATATTCCGGCGCCTTAGTAAGAATATCGGAGAGAGAAATCGAATAATTGCTTCAGTGCGCCACGTAGGGCACCGGTGACCTACGTGGTAGGCAGAGAGTTAAACGAACTTGAAGATCGAATGTTAATCTATAAAAAAGTAAAAAAAATACTTACACAAACAAAAAAGTTCTATTCTGAGTCAACCACACAAAAAAAAACATTACTGATTTTGTTGATAAATATATGCGTTACAGAGATTTACCTATATATTATTTATTTTAGTTAATCTGTTTTGTTCCCTGTTCCTCGATATTAATACGAACGTCAAAATGTATGACACTGAATTTGACGATATTAAAATAGTGTAGTGCGGTTGAAACAGACCCCCCCCCCCCCGTGATATTTCATCGTTATTAACACTATTTGTCCTAAGACTTCACAGACGCCGTCGAATGGCATTTCTTTCAATGTAACCAAAAATCTGAGCGACCTGTGAAGGACTACAGTAACCGCTTCATATTAGATGATCCGTGAGCTCGTCTGTCGATCGATACCAATACATATAAACACCTCGTCAAGTTTCTTTTGCGCCTGCAGGAGCTCTTCCCTCTCCGCGTTCCACCTGCGCTGGCGCTCCTCCTGCTGCATCAGGAACTGTTGTCTCTCTCGCTCCAGCTCGGCGCGCTGTGCCTCTATACGCTCGCAACGGATCTCGCTTTCTAGATCCCTATATTAAAATACTTCTATTAAATTATCTTTTTTTGTTTCCCTACCTAAGCTGATGAAGCCTTAAGAGGCTATGTCAGCGTAACCGGGCGTGTCCCCTACTCTGGCGGGGTTCTAACCCCGGACGGAGATCGGACGTCGGGTGTAAGAGAGCAGAGGAGTCGTTTAGGGCGGTGGGGCCGTAAAATTCTTTGGGCCCGCGGTCTGCTCCCAACACCTTGCAAATCTTTAAGTCCCACATACCCCGCACCGACCTCGTAGGAGGTTTGGCCCCGACCCGAAAAAAAAAACGTAACTGGGCGCGTAGGTGAGCTCACGGGGCTCAAACCGGGAGTGTTGCTAACACTGGCCCTCGCAAGAGCAGTGCTTCGCAGAATCTACCACCTGATCGGAAACGCGACCCACTGAGAAGATCCGGCGAGAAACTCAGTGGGCTGTAGTCTATGTTAATTTACTCGTCGAGCCCTTCGTCGCAAGGGACGGGTTCAGCGAGCACGGTGACCGACGCTTGAGGTAACTAAAAGCACGGTTAATAGATCGGGAGGATCCGTAATGACGTGTTTAGAGCGGTGTTTACCATTCAGTCCACAGGATCGGGTATGATAAATCATCAGTAAGCATGTATGGTATGGTATGTTCGCTCGGGTAGACACCACGGGTGTCACTATTTCTGTCGCGACGACCAGACAGCGAGTTCGTTCACATTATAAGTACTAAATAAAGTTCGCAATAATGTGACTCAAAGGACCAACTTACACACCGCTACCACAAAAAAGTAAGACCCCAATAAGCATCGTCATCGCAGCACAGCAGTTTAATTAAACTGTGCAATTGCAAAAATTTGTCCCGAACAATGTACCTATTTAAGGATCCGTTTATCAGTTTTTTTTTATAATTTTACTTGCTCTAGTCTAGAACTTTAAGCAATGATTAAAAAAAAACTTATGTTAAAAGGAATGTTATCTACCCAACTTTGCCTATACAAAGTTACAACATAAACAGATATCTATATGTCTGTTTATGTTGTTGGCAGGCGGCGCTCTTTACATTGCTGATGTCCATGAGCGACAGTGACTGTAACATCAAATAGATATTCTGTTTGCTACAAAGACAATAAAAAACAATAGGTTTGACAAGACAAAACAATGTATATTCGACCTTGTCTATTGTCAAAATTCACTTCTGCCGCGCCGATATTGTTTATTTGTTCTCGTTGCAGGATCTCGGTCACCGTCCTAATTAACCCATAGACACAGCCCACTGAGTTTCTCGCCGGATCTTCTCAGTGGGTCGCGTTTCCGATCCGGTGGTGGATTCTGCGAAGCACTGCACTTGCTAGGATCAGTGTTAGCAACACTCCGGTTTGAGCCCCGTCAGCTCACATACACACGTTAGGGCGAAGCTGAAATAGCTTCTCAAGGCTATCAGCATAGGTAGAAAAAAAGAAAAAAATAACATTGCAGGTTAGACAGTGCAATGCGATGACGTACGAGAGGGCGCTGGAGTTGAGGTTCTCGGTGCTGGCCGCGAGGTCGGTGGTGGACCAGGACAGCAAGGAGAGCCGCGACAGGTTCATGTTGGCGCTGCCCTCCTGGCGCAGCTTGGCCGCCTCCGCGGGGTCATTGTACCGGAACATGTTGGTTCGGCCCAGGAGAAGAATGCAACCTATAATTATTTTCCACAAATAGAAGGAATAATAAAGTAGACGATTGGCAATTTATTTACATTTCTATAAATCTTATATCTTCTAAATATGGATATATTAAGCTTATGTTAGGAGCATCCATTATTTAGATCAACTTGAAATTGAGAAGACCTCATTTATAGAGACCGAGCGGTCATCGATAGGGCTACGTCGGCTTTTTATGTTAAAAAAAAAACTCGTGTGGCACTCGGGGACTGCCGCGGTAAAGCTATTGCATAGCATTTTTTATCAACTTATGCAATTATAATTAGACAATAATAATTTAATATTAAAACAATAATAAATTAAGACCAAGCTATATTTATAAACATTAACAAAAGCAAAACATGAACTGTGCCTCTCACATTCATAAGCTAGACCGCGCGAGAGAGAGATGGGCAGACTTTTCATGATGCGCATGCAGTGCGACGTCACGCCGCGCGCTTATTCACAAACACTACACAAACGCAACGTGTGGATGTTGAACGCGAGCTACACGGTAGGCGGAGTGGGGGTGTTGGGTTTTATTTTCGTTACGGAATTTCTTGATTCGGTCGCCGCGCTCAAAGCCCGCTATAAAAGTTATGCAAAAGCTTAAAATTCAGACGGCAGTTTATTAATTATTTAATATTAATTTAGGCAATAACATTAAATATTAATTTAGGCAATTTTAAATACTCTCGTGTTAGGGATTCCCCGAATATTTCGCTGTGTATTAACAAACACTATGAGATGGTTTTAGCTATCTCAGTGCAGCGCGGCACGAGCACACGTACCTTGGCTGAGTTTGGCCGGCTTGTCGAGCAGCACGGTGTTGAGCCAGCAGTGCGCGCCGGCACAGGGGTGCAGCGTGGCGGTGCCGGCGCACAGCGTCACGCGGCAGTGCAGCGGCAGCACGCCGGGGCCCGACAGCACGATGTCCGGTATCGGCGAGTGCTCCTCCGTGCCTATCAGCGTCTCGCCTTCCTGCAAATTTACAATATTTTTTATCCCGTAGATCAGTAAATAAATTTTCAGCCAGGAGGATGTTGAAAGTGAATAGTGACGTCATTATTCGACAGATTCTAGTAAGAAACTAGAATCTTACAAAATTTCTGATGATTTTAATTTTGGTTTTGTTGGTTAGCACTAAACGCTGATGGCTTTGTTAGGTAGCTAAAAAGAATCACCACGAGCAGATTACGAAGCCTATTTATCCTCCAAACCATCACTTGGCTGTCCTTCCCATGCAGAAGGTGACCTTCACACTTTGACATGGTATAATAGTTTGATCTTATATTATCTGCGAAGACAGACTCACCTTGAGGTGGTAGAGCGTGACGCCGGTGGACAGCAGGTTGTCGTCGATCCCCACGAGGTGCGGCATGTCCGAGTCCAGCACCACGCCGAGTCCGCTCTTCCTGAGTCCGAGAGCTTTCTGTTCCTGCAGGATCTGTTGCGTTTCGCGCCACTTCTCCGTCCACTTCTCTGTGAGGACCTTCTCTTGGGCTTCTTTGCGCTGCAACGTCGCCAGCACTCCCGGCTCGTTCTCAACAGAGCACTGTCCAACAATACAGGTAAGTTAATATAGATACTCTCGAAAACTCTCTTCAGGTCAATCACGAAGTTTTTAGGACTTTATTACTTGAGCTATAAAAACGAATTTGCAATGTTTTAATAAGCAACATAATATTAGCGAAATCGGTTTGCAAAACTACAGATTCATGCAATTTCTAAATTTCGAGTCAAATGGCTTTGAGAGCGTCGTTTTTGTCTGAGAAGTCTTGTCGGTCTGATCTAAGTAAGACTTACATCGAAACATAATTTATCGATAAATAGGGCAGTATAGGCAGCGATACAAGCCCGCGCTTCCCGAGACGGATTAAAATCACGCAAGTTGGCAAAACTGCAAGCCACTATCACGCCCTGCCGGTTCACGTCCCTATTACAATTAGTGTAACCACCAAAAGTATCGATAACAAATATCGATAACAAACCGAATTGTGCGTGAGCTGCGCCCGAAGCTTGTCGATCTCTTCGCGCAGCTCGCGGATGAGCTTGACGTTGGGATCCTCGTTGATGGTCGGCTTGTTGATGATGTTCTTGGCGCGGTTCGCGTACCGCAGGGTCGACAGGGTCTCGCCGTAGTTGCAATCCGCCGGTGATATCTGGTTTGAAACACTTTTAAATTAGAACCTAAAAAAATAATGCCTTTATACGCAAACCAGTATACAGCCCATCCGGCAGTTACCATGGTTACCGTCGTTCATGGACATCAGCAATTCCAGGAACCTACCATTGATTAATCCACAACCCTTGTTTGTTGAATGACATATCATAGCGCTCGGGAAAGACAGCGGAGGGAGTTTATTCCAAAGTCGGTACGTGGCAAAAATAACTCTCGAAATGCAATGTGGATGAACACAGTGGCAGAGGTTTAACATTAGGTCACTGTTTGTATTTTTTTTATATCTCGTACTTCGTAGCGTGGACTGTGTTCACAAGCGCTAGCAGTCGAAATGCCAATTTTCTACAGTGCTTTCAGTGCCTCAAATAAAAAAAAAACGACTGTAATTTTATTGGCAAGTACGATATCTGTGAGTATGGATACCAACACGAATACAACGTGCCACATATCATTTAAGCCTCGACTCCAAAGTTTAGTTTGGCCTCAAATGACGTCACAAGTCACGGAGACGCCGGCTGCTCCTCGGTCCCCCCACCGCGCCCCCCACGTACCGCGGCTATCATGATAGTTTTCGAGTTTCCGCCGAGCGAGTCCTTCAGGAGCCACGTGAGCACGGAGTCCCGGTACGGAATGAAAACATTCTTTTTCGAGCCTTTCTGTAGTTTAACTGAAAGAAAAAAAAAAACACATTACACACAAGTCAATATTGTACTTTCTCTATAACAAAAATTAAAAGGGTATTTTTGTAAAGCGCGTATGCTAAATATTATTTACAATTTGGCGTGTAAATTTCTTTATTTCGGGAGCCTTCGTAAAAACGTTACAAATATACATACATATATATTGTTTTATATATAATAATATAATAATAATATAAGCCTTTATTAACAATCTAATTTAAGTTACATTTTTAATACACTTATTATCTAGATTTATTATTCGACACCAGTTTCTTGATCGTCTTGCTGTACAGCATAGGCCTCCCCAAGGGTTCTCCATAATATTCTATCATGCGTTTTTCTCATCCAAGTCGTTCCTGCCACTTTTTTGATGTAATCTTCCCATCTACGTTGCTGTCTTCCTCTATTTCGCTTTTTATATCTAGGACACCATTCTGTCACTCCTTTGGCCCATTTTTCTGTTTTATCTCGAATTAATTGTCGAATTAAATTATTAGGTTGGGATTGCTTTATTCAAAATAACTTTATATCACTAAAAATATTTTTTTTTACAATTTAAATTACTTTAATGATGAATTTAAATTAAAAAGACTAATCGTTTTCCATAATAAGGCCAGAACAACTTACTTTCCACCGTCTGACTGGATTCTGCCAAAGCCGATATGACGGATCCCAGTGTGACCAGCGACTTATTGATGTGAGCGCCTTCTACCAGCCGCTGCCCTGTGGCTCCTGTGGCGTCCGCACGTTCGCTGTAGGCAACAAAGATGCACCAACTTGTCACTTATGGTGGACGAGCTGACGGCCCGGCCCGTGTGAAACGGTGAGTTTTTTAGGTATATATATTATGATGTGTACATCATAATATGAAACCTTAAGACATGAAGTCAGAGACTAGGTTGTGTGGCAGTGCAACCTCAATATTACAAATCGGAAGGGAACAAGTATATATTCGTTGTATCAAGTTATTCGGTAAACCGAGGTTCGTTATATTAAGGTTAGGTTGGTCCACCATTTGTTATAACGAGGTAAAAAAAATAGTTTTATTCACCTCGACATTACCTACTCATCTTGTTATAACGAATTACTTCTACTAATAAATGATAGCACATTTTTATCAAATTACTGTATGTATTTTAAAAACAATTAGTTAGTTAACAATTTTTCTCGAGCCTGTCGAGACTGATTCACATATTATGAGATTAAGGGTCATATTGGTGGGAACGTTATATAAAGGTTTTGGTTTGACAAAATTATTTTTTTTATTTTGTAGTGTGCAGCTCGCCTAACCTTATATTTGTAACTGCACACACTAAATTATGACAGTATTACACGAATTGTCGACTTGAACAGTTCTCTTTTATTTTGCCTACATCACTCCAATACAAATTCTTAGATGGGTGGACGAGCTCACAGCACACCTAGTGTTAAGTGGTTACTGGAGCTCATAGACATCTACTACGTAAATGCGCCACCCACCTTGAGATATAAGTTCTAAGGTCTCAAGTATAGTTACAACGGCTGCCCCACCCTTCAAACTCAAACACATTACTGCTTCACGGCAGAAATAGGCAGGGCGGTGGAACCTACCCACGCGGACTCACAAGAGGTCTTGCCACCAGTAAATAAGTTTACTTAATGCACTCTGCGGTATCAATGACAGTGGACGGACACTATAATCAATGTCGTTGATTTGACTATCGCTGGCGACACACCTGCCAGCCAAGTCGACGAGGTGGACCTTGGAGACGGTCTCGCTGGGCATGTTGTTGTGGCGCAGGTAGCTGGCCTGCACGAACGTGATCGTGAAGATGGCGTGCGACCTGGACGACACATCGTTCATCTGGGTCGAGGCGGTGGTGCGGTGCAGATTCCCGCGGTGCATGCACTCCTGCAACCACGCGCTCTGTGTGCTTACTGCGAGTTTTTTAACGTTCTCGATAGCGTAAAAGTTAACTCATATTCGTACGGAATGGGATCGTTTGCAGAGGCTATTTCAGCTTCTCCTTAACATGTAGGTGAGCTCACGGGACTCAAACCGGGAGTGTTGCTAACACTGGCTCACGCAAAAGCAGTGCTTCGCAGAATCTACCACCGGATCGGAAACGCGATCCACTGAGAAGATCCTGCGAGAAACTCAATGGGCGGTGTCTATGGGTTAATTCACTCGTCGAGCCCTTCGTCGCAAGCAACGGATTCGACGAGGACGGGGACCGGTGCTTGAGTTACCCAAAAACACCGTTAATGGATCGGGAGGATCCGTAATAACGTGTTTAGAGCGACGTCAACTCTTTACCATTAGGTCTAAAGGATCGGGTATGTTGATTTGCTTCCTGTTGGACATAAGCTTTTTCTAATACGGGCAGATGTAAAGACGATTTACAGCATGCGGTCGGCCAAAAGTTGACGAGGAAACCAAGATCGAAGCCAAAAAAATGAACAACTATAAATCACCATCATCCCTTTATTCCTGTAACGTTTACATAGATTGAATTGCTCACCTGTATGTCATCATAATCGGAGACCAAGTGCTTGGACAAATCCTGAACGTACGGTCCCAGCTTCGGATGCTCCCTGACCCTGAGGGAGTGTCCCGCATCCGTTGACAACAGATCTTTCACTCTTTCGTTGTAGATCTCTAAGTAGCTGACCTCGGTGCGGTAGGAAGCCCCTGACTCCTTGCCGGCTGCCACGCGGGAGAATAGTTGCCGGCATATACGTGGTATTAGACCTTGGCATTCCTGTAAAAGAGCATGACCCTCATTATCATTATAAATTGAATCAAGCTGTTTCCGAAGGTCATACGTCATTAGCCCGTGAATGCGACCATTACATTAATGAAACGCTGTAATTGATTCCACCAAGAAAATCGAATATGCATTATCTAATATATATTCATATTTAGCATCATTCATTTCCTAGATTAATTAAAATTATCAAAAGATCGAAACGTTGCCAAAACGCTAATGACACATTTCGACTCGTGCAAATTTTCGATATAACAAAATCAATATTTTTATCTATTTCCCAAGTCAAAAAAGTGACCTCTTTTTTAAAGACACACGTGATAACACACTTATAGGGTCTGTATATCGAAAGACATCCACTCCCAACGAATGCGGTATGAACGTAGAAGTGACAAAACTAAATAAAAGACAAGCGGAAATGTGACAGCTACGGGTGTTTAATAAGTGCACGAACGGTCCGCTATTAGCAGGTACTTCTTCTTTTTCTCCACCTTATCCCACTAGGTAGGGTCGGCACAACTAATTTTTCTCTTCCATTCTCTTCTATCAGCCGTCATCTCAACACTCACTCCTCTCTCTCTCTCATATCGTCATTCACACACTCCATCCATGTCTTCTTCGGTCGACCTCTTCCCCCTCTACCTTGCACTACCATTTCCACACATCTCCTCACATCTCCTAGTCACATGCATGCTATTAGCAGGTACATTAGCACCATATTTGCATTAATCTTTATTCGACTACCAGCATAAGCCGATTGTAAAAACCCATAAATATTATGTGTAAAATGCGTTTTGAGATACTTCATGACGCTCTTATCACGAAATTATAGCTGTTTGACGAAAGGTTGTTTGATTATCGCCATTGATACGAAGCTCACCTACTTGTGTCATTTGATACGGTGCACGTTATCGGCGAACGTTGGTTGATGACGCATTCATCAGTCGAAACTCCTGCCCTAAAGATGGTCTACATCAGATAGCAAAAGTCGTTAAGCGGTACTATGCATGCCTCTCACTTCACGCACCCAAGTCCAAGATTTGGCATTTACATTTTCCGGTAACCAACTATAGTAAAATTAATGGTGTCGGTTGGGCAGACAGGAAAGCTGTATCTAACATAGCCGTTGAGACTAAAGGACCTTCTATTTCTAAGCAGAAGTTACGTGTTATGTCCTTTGTTTCTTACACGAACGAGAACGACACACCGTGAGATATATGGTCGAAATTAATGTTCAATTTCAAGTTGAAACCTACATGTTGGTACTACCAGTACCTAAGAATACTACTACAACTAATGTAACCTTGAAATGTGCATTCGATACCCGACGTGCGAATTAGCCCATAGACATAAATTACTAAGTTTCTCGCCGGATCTTCTAAGTGGGTCGCGATTCCGATCCGATAGCAGATTCAGCGAAGCACTGCTCTTGCTAGGGCTAGTGTTAGCAATTCTCTCAGGTTGAGCCCGTGAGCTCACCTACCGGTCAACATGAAGTTGGAATCGCCCCTTAAACTACCAACGGTTAGGTAGGAAAAAAAACTACATACCGGCGATCCCATCATGGTGAAAGTCTTCCCGCTTCCAGTTTGACCGTAAGCGAAAACACAGGCATTGTATCCTTCGAAAGCGCTGTCTATCACATCCAGACCCAAGTCGGAAAATACCTGAAAATCAGACGAAAGATGAAAATAGCCGGCCACGATGTTTTCTAGATAAATTCAACGACAAAACCTTGAAAGCTGGTCATCATCGTGTACGTAAATCAATTCTACATGGGGTAACAAATATATCACATTTAAAAAAACCTAGTGGTCCAGCAGTAGTCGAAATTCGACTATAATTAATTAAAATTATAAGTTATGGTTATGGTTCTATTGTCAAAGACTATTATATTTCTATAGTCACGGATTTCGCCAAGACTACACTATAGAAAAATACTCGTAATATTGAAATAAAGAATATTAACCTTTTATCAATTTGACTCCAGACTTTAAGCAGAGACTTTAACAAAAGTTTGACAATAAACGAAGAGTATATGTGTGTGTGTCAAATACATGGTAGTGTGTGTAATGTTTTATTTATTAATTTAATGTATTTTGAATGCATAATTTAAAAAAAATATTAGCATTCTGCACTTCTTCTCCATATTCTCTATAAATGTGGGAAATTTCATACTCCTCCGACCGCGCAATTTTCGTAAAAAGGGATACAGAGTTTTTGCTTCACGTATTAATATATAGATTAAGTATGGCGTATCATATTATGCAGCACCATATGAGGTTTGCTCATTAAAATGCTGAACTGCCTCCCCTGGCACGTGCCTCGATAGTCTATAGCCACAGCCTTATCGCGCTAATAATACCCAAAAAAAATCATGTATAGAATATAAGACGCCAAAACAAGGAAACCTGTTTTTAATTGAATTTAATAAATAATTCATGTCAAACAAAAAGTTCATGGAGAGTTCATGAAAAATGTTTGGGTGTTAATGTATTATTCATGTTCTTCTTATAATTACATTAGATATATTACATACGGTCTAGACGTTTGAAAAGTTAAGTGTTTTGATAAATTTAGACATTGAATCACCGAATTATAGTGTATGTTGCGCTGCGATACGTTGCTATTTTTTTTTATTGCTTAGATGTGTGGACGAGCTCACAGCCCACCTGCTGTTAAGTGGTTACTGGAGCCCATAGACATCTACAGCGTAAATGCGCCACACACCTTGAGATATAAGTTCTAAGATCTCAGTATAGTTACAACGGCTGCCCCACCCTTCAAACCGAAACGCATTATTGCTTCACGGCAGAAATAGTCGGGGCGTTGGTACCTACCCGTGCGGACTCACAAGAGGTCCTACCAACAGTAACTAGCACACCTGAGCTGCTTTTTTTCCTACCTATGCTGATAGCCTTGAGAGGCTATTTCAGCTTCACCCTAACTTGTAGGTGAGCTCACGGGGCTCAAACCGGAGTGGTGCTAACACTGGCCCTAGCAAGAGCTGTGCTTCGCTGAATCTACCACCGGATCGGAGACGCGACTCACTAAGAAGATTCGGCGAGAAACTCAGTGGGCTGTGTCTATGAGTTAGACTGACGTGCAATTTCTCTAGATCTGTAAGGGTTTATACACAAAACTGCAAATCAGCGCGATGTGAATTCGCAACACACAAAACGGCGACACGAATTCCTGCAATGCGATTTCGTGTGGCAAGGCGTGTTCCTTACACAATTGGCGTTCAATTCCACAATTCTTTAACATCGCAGGAACGCGGGATGCGAATAAATTCGCAAGTTTTTTACGATGCGACGTCGCATCGCAGTGTTGTGAACAAGCCCTAAAAGCGCGCATCGAAGCCAGTGGTTTCGCGGCCACGGTGCGCGGGAATTTGATCGGACGTATTTCAAATCAAAAAGGAATTATGCTAAACTGTAATTTTATTTGATTACTTAGATCAGTGAACAAGAGCAACGTGAATACAGTCATCCGCGTTGAGACATAAATGAAATGGAAAAGTCGTCGTGGCCTAAAAGATAAGACGTCCGGTGCATTCGTATGTAGCGATGCACCGGTGTTCGAATCCCGCAGGCGGGTACTAATTTTTCTAATGAATTACGTACTTGACAAATGTTCACGATTGACTTCCACGGCGAAGGAATAACATCGTGTAATAAAAATCAAATACGCAAAATTATAATTAGCGTAATTACTGGTTGTCTTGTGGACGTCTTGTGAGTCCGCATGGGTAATGTAAATGCGTGTTGTGATTATTTTCATTCGGTGTGCTTTGAAAAATTTACTTAAGCAATACAAGTAATAAAATCGTCGCCATTTTTTAACTTCCGTACACTGCTTCAGGTCAGATCTATTTTGAACATTATTGACTAAACGGTAAGCAAATAATTCAAAATTAATAAACCAAAAACATTTAGATTGAGATGACATTTTCAAATTGCAAATTTAAGTATACGTAATTTACTAAAATAACATTAAAAGCGTTTTAGTGCATGCGTTACGTTTTTTTTTTATTGCTTAGATTGGTGGACGAGCTCACAGCCCGCCTGCTAACTGCGCCACCCACCTAGAGATATAAGCTCTAAGGTCTCAGTATAGTTACAACGGCTGCCCCGCCTTTCAAACCGAAACGCATTACTGCTTCACGGCAGAAATAGGCAGGGTGGTGGTACCTACCCGCGCGGACTCACAAGAGGTCCTATCACCACCACGTTGCAGCACTGCGATATCGGTGAGTCCGAACCGCACTCCGATATCGTATCGTTCGGTGACTTAACATATTTCAGTGCAACGATATCGGCTGTTCCGCATTCGGTACGATATAACGTAATCGTGTCGTTAATTGAAAGTTGCTCTGACGGTCTCGAACAAAGATTAGTTCGTTGCTCAAGAAATAATGTGAAATCAATTCCCCATGGTTACGAAATTATGACGAAAAACGAGATACAAAATTGTGGTTGTCTTTTCTTTAATTAAACACGCTCGTATTTTCGATTGAAAGCAAAATAAACGTGATTTATTCATTGATAATTACAATTTTCTATCATACTAGTGGTCGCCCGGTAGTCGAAATTCGACATAATTAATTGAAACTATAAGTTTGTAAGCTATTATGATTCTATTGTCGAAGACTATTATACTTCTATAATCACAGATTTCGCCAAGACTACAATGTAGATAAATAATATTAAAGACAAACAATATTCTCAATTCGACCACAGACTATAAGCATTAAGAAAAGTTTGACAAAACAAATAGTATGCATGAGTGTGTGTGTCAATTACATGGTATTGTGTAATGTTTTTTTTTTATTATTGATTTAATGTATTTTCTATGCATAATTAAAAAAAAAAAAATGTGTGCGTGTACTAGTGTACACACGTAAGAAGTGAAACTTGTTTATGGCCTTATTTTTCGAAAAATGATCTACATGCAACTTTCTAGAAATTGGTTAAATAAAGTTAAATTAGATAAAGTTTCAACAAAAGGATTTTATTATCATAGACATGAATACAAAAAAGTTAAATTAGATAAAGTTTAAACAAAAGGATTTTATTATCATAGATATGAATACAAAACAGATGGCGCGTAACGGAAAAATGTGACGCGTAACCGAAAAATGTGACGGTAAATTTTTTTCCAACGCCGATAANATAAAGTTTAAACAAAAGGATTTTATTATCATAGACATGAATACAAAAAAGTTAAATTAGATAAAGTTTAAACAAAAGGATTTTATTATCATAGACATGAATACAAAACAGATGGCGCGTAACGGAAAAAAGTGACGCGTAACCGAAAAATGTGACGGTAAATTTTTTTCCAACGCCGATAAGGAAGTTTCACTTCAAAAATTAACATTCTGCAATCCTTCTCTATATTATCTATAAGGGTGGGAAATTTAACGCAATTTGCATAAAAAGGGGGTATAAAGTTTTTGCTTCACCTATTAATATATAGACTAAGATCTAATATGAAAACAATGTATTAATTTACGTTATAAATGATACGGCGTAATGTGTGCCCGCATAGTTAATTCGACCTCATGTCTACGGGCTCCGGAAACCCATCACTACCCACCGGGCCACCAGCTCGTCTGTACGTCTACTACGTCAAGTCTCCTCCTTGTCTTTTTGCACGTGACAAATTAAAAAAACAAGAAACATCGACCAAATAAATTGTAATATTCAAGTATGTATATTGGTCACGATAAATCTTGTAAAGAGATAAAACCTAGCTCAGACGTCATCACTTAAATCTACACTAGAGACTATAATTAATTGGAATTGTAAGTTTGTACACTATTATGATTGTATTTTATACTTCTATAATCACAAATTTCGCCAAGACTACACTATAAAAAAATATTAATAAAGACAAACAATATTTAATCTATTCTCAATTTGACCACAGACGTCAAGAACAAAAGTTTGACAATAAATAGTATGCATGCGTGTGTGCATCAAATACATGGTATGTAGTGTGTGTAATGTTTTCTTTATTGATATTATCTACCTTTTATGCATTATTTTTAAAAAATATTAGCATTGTGCACTTCTTCTCTATACTCTCTAAAAGTGTGGAAAATTTCATACTCCTCCGTCCGCGCAATTTTCGTAAAAAAGGATACAAAGTTTTTGCTTCACGTATTATAAATCTACATAATGTCTGATCGATATAAAAAGAAAACAATTAGTATTTCGTATATAATTATTACTAGACGCTATTCGTCAATAGACGTCGGGAAGAGTTGATTATTGAAAACACGAATAAAACAACATTTTCTGAAAATAAATCGTAGCTAGATCGATTTATCGCCCCCGAAATCCCCTGTATACTAAATTTTATGAAAATCGTTGGAGCCGTTTCCGAGATTCAAATTACATATATACATACATATTAATATACAATATATAAAGTTACTGGTGGTAGGACCACTTGTGAGTCTGCGCGGGTGGGTACCACCACCTTGCCTATTTCTGCCGTGAAGCAGTAATGCGTTTCGGTTTGAAGGGCGGGGCAGCCGTTGTAACTATACTTGAGACCCTAGAACTTATATCTCAAGGTGGGTGGCGCATTTACGTTGTGGATGTCTATGGGCTCCAGTAACCACTTAACACCAGGTGGGCTGTGAGATCGTCCACCAACCCAAGCAAAAAAAAAAACAAGAATTGCTCGTTTAAAGGTATAAGATGAAGTTTACCTGTTCTTGTGAAGCGTAATGCTTGTCGCCGCCGTCGAATGACCAGTAAGAATGATCAAACGTGAAGTCCTTGTACTTTTCACGGCTACCCTCATTTTGTTCCTTGCTACTCTGTAAAGATAAGTAACAAATTCAAGTATACATTGAATATTAAAATAGCGCTTAATGTTATCTATACTAATATTATGAAGAGGAAAGATTTGTTTGTTTGTATTGAATAAGCTCCGAAACTACTGAACCGATTTGAAAAATTCTTTCACTTTTTGGAAGCTGCATTATTCCCGAGTGACATAGGCATATCTTTTTTGAAAAAATATATAGGGACCCTTACTAAAACCCCAATAATGTAACAATTTACTACGACAATAATTCACTCCAATAATTTACTACGACTTTGTAGAACACATTATTATTTATAAAAAGTGTTGCGACAGCATATGTCTGACTATTATAGTTATGCAACAATAAGTCCTTTTACTTAAAAAAATAAAACAACGTCAAATATCGTTGAAATTTTTGTGAAAGACCCAAGCGGAGCCGGAGCGGGCCGCTAGTCTATCATAAAAAGCATATTGTACTTGAGTCTAAAATTAGCGGGCCTTCCTACTTCTGCCGCAATAGGCTTTGAAATTATTAAGATATCAGAGGATGGGTAGGTCATTAGTGGTTATCACTTGATTCCGGCAACTGTGACAACTTATTTTGTTTCAGATTTATCTCGTTCTTATCTTTACGGCTCTAAATAATAGTCGATCAGCAACAATATTACGAGCAACTGATTAAATATTAACTATGTGAAGTTTGCACATTATTATTATCAGAGTATTTTTAGAGCTGATTCACACTTGAAGTGCGTTTTTTTTTCTTCGTTATATTGATAATTTATTTTTAGGTTAATTTGAAGATCTCGGGACGATCCGTGTTGGTTTTTATTTTATAACAGTAAGTTCTGATGGTAATTAAGGGCGGGAAGCAGAAATAATCTGGAAAGGGAATGGAAATTCTAACTATACTACTACAGATGAGATTAGACTAATACAATTTTATTCCCTTAACTACAGATTAGTATAAATAAAATTGTAGTAGCTAAAACCGGTCTGGATCGCGTAACCACATTTTCTGCTCAATAACCGAACAAACCATTATTAGGTCAGAACTTAAGGTAACAATATTCCTACTACAGACCGGTCATTTAGAGGTATGCGTATCAATTCGGAAACTCGAATCGCAAATCCTTCTTCTGAACGCTGCCTAGAATAACTGTATGTTCTTGTATAACAAATGCAGGTAGCCCTCCTATAAGACGAAAAGTTCCTACAAAGTCCCGTATTGTGCGAAACCGTGTTATATAAGACTAGAAGCCAGTACAAAAAAGAAGAATATTTTTGATGTGAAACATCTATAGCCGCACGTAAAACCGATTTCTGGCGCGGCGACGCATGCCGTGGCGACGCGTCGCCATGCGCAACCGACTGCGCGATTCTCTCCCACTCGATCCGGCGTTAAGCCATCTCTCTCACTACACTGAGCTCGGATACCTATAGTGTACACTCCGTAGTGTATACAGTGTTGTTTACTACTGTACACATAACCTGTGTTTTACTTGAAAACAAATAATTTTTTCGTAATATTTTATTTTATCATTATGACATATTAAGTTCCTATCACAATCTGTTCATTTCTGCATAATACTTTTACAAAAGAATGTCGATGTTTCACATCTGCCAGGCGTCCCGTGACGGCTCACATTTTTTGTTTCTAAACGAAATAATCCGTTACATAAATTTCTAAACAAAAATCTCGTTATCGTGTTATAGAAGTACCGTATTATCACGTCATCTCTGATCCTCCCGATCCACTAACGGTGCTTCTAGGTACTTCAAGCACCGGTCACCGTTCTCGTCGAACCCGTCGCTTGCGACGAAGGGCTCGACGAGTAAATTAACTCTCAGACACAGAGCCCACTGAGTTTCTCGCCGGATCTTCTTAGTGGGTCGCGATTCCGATCCGGTGGTAGATTCTGCAAAGCACGACTCTTGCTAGGGTTTGTGTTAGCATCGTCGTCAGGTTTGAGCCCCGTGAGCTCACCTACTAGTTACGGTTACGCTGGAATAGCCTCTCTAGGCTACCAGCTTAGGTAGGAAAAAAAGGGTTTTGGCGAATTTTTCAATCAGTATACAAGTATACAGTCGGCTTCACTGCACTACTTTGGGAGGGCGACACGACACGAAAACCCTCTTGTCGTGGCCGCCGGAAATTACATACCCGATCCTGTGGACGGAGTGGTAAACAGTCGATGTTGCCCTAAACACGTCATTACGGATCCTCCCGATCTATTACCGGTGCTTTTAGGTACCACAGGCACTGGTCACCGTCCTCGCCAAACCTGTCGCTTGCGACGGAGGGCTCGACGAGTAAATTAACTCATAGACATAGCCCACTGAGTTTCTCGCCGGATCTTCTCAGTGGGTCGCGTCGCGTATCCGATCCGGTGGTAGATCCTGCGAAGCACTGCTATTGCTAGGGTCAATGTTAGCGACACTACCGGTTTTTGCTCCAAGAGCTCACCTACTTGCTAGGGTGAAGCTGAAATAGCCTCTCAAGGCTATCAGCATAGGTAGGAAAAAAGGGTTTTTTTTTTCTTGTCAGAGCGGAATCTTGTAAAATAGCGTGTTACAGGAGGGTTACCTGTATTATAATCTCGACCGCATAATTCGATCAGCTCTTCTAGTGTAATCCAGCCTTTACATTAATCGTATCGTGAATTGTGAGATCACCTGCCGTATTTTTACAATACGAGTTGCATTTTTTTTTTTCAATTATTAATTTATTTAAATTCCGGTGTTTTGTATGCGATATTTTGGCATCGAATTAACGGACTGGTTCACCTATACCATTAGCAAATAACGAATGATAATAAAACTGTTTTATGTAATCGCCTTGTATGCGTTTCGGGGTTTTTGTTTGTTTAGTCGACGGAGTTTACTGGTGGTAGGACCTCTTGTGAGTCCGCACGGTTATTTCTGTCGTGAAGCAGTAATGCGTTTCGGTTTGAACGGTGCGACAGCCGTTGTAACTATACTGAGACCTTAGAACTTATATCTTAAGGTGAGTGGCGCATTTACTTTGTAGATGTCTATGGGCTCCAGTAACCACTTAACACCAGGTGGGCTGTGAGCTCGTCCACCCATCTAAGCAATAAAAAAAGGTTCATGGTGCTACTGATTGAAACTAAGCCGTAGTTCGTACACCACAGTGCGAAGGCGTCCCTTGAGAGTTAAATCTCGGGTATTATTGGAATTGGAATTGGAATAACGGATTTCCAGCCATTCAGACCGGAACGCATTTTATATATATGTAATTTAATTCTACTGTACGTGTGTATGACACAAATCGTCCTAAACGGCTGGACCGATTTGAATGTTTTTTTTTATATGCGTTTGGGTGGCGCCCTGGGTGGTTTAGATTCACAAGTCAGCCCGACAGGTGGCGTTGCAGTCTTGCAACTAAACGGCTGGATCGACTTGAATTAATTGTTGTGTATGCATTCATTTAATTCGTTTCATTCATTTCGTTCATTTCATTCAATTGATTCATTTCATTCATTTTATGCATGCAGAACGTTTGTCGAGTTCGGTAGTTATGCTACAGAAATCTGTATAAGACTCGTTGGACGTGATCAATGGGGGGAGCACTGCCTACCGCAAAATGTCTGAAGGTGGATGGAAGCATTTGCGTTGATATTTATTAGCTCCGGTAACCATTTCACAGCAGGTGGGCCGCGAACAGGTATAACCGATAGTGTAATAATAATAATGCTGTTTAATGGAACTTCTATAAGATAAAAATCAACCTATTTATATGTATAAAAGTCCATGTGTAAATAAATATAGATGTGTACCTATTGTAAAACTGTGACTTAAAAGTCATGTTTTTTTTCCCCACCTATGCTGATAGCCTTGAGAAGCTATTTCAGCTATGTAGGTGAGCTCACGGGGCTCAAACCGGAGAGTTGCTCACGCTGGCCCTAGCAAGAGCAGCGCTTCGCAGAATCTACCACCGAATCGGAAACGCGACGCACTTAGAAGATCCGGCGAGAAACTCAGTGAGTGAGCTGCGTCTGTGGGTTGATAAAGTCATGTCTCAAGATTGTTACAATTACGTTGTGGATGTCCACGGGCGCCAGTAACCACTTGACACCGTCAGCTTGTCCACCGATTTAAGATATAGAAAAAAAAAACTATTCTCTATAGATTCCGAAACGGCTGGACCGATTGCCGTGAAATATTCAGGAAAAATTCAGATTGGCACAGCGGGAGATCCCACGTCCTTACGGATCCATCAGATCCAATAACTCTTGCATTAGATACATTTAGCTCTAACACTAGGAGCAGACTTAGGAACCCCGGTAACCGTACTCGTCGAACTCGACAAAGATGTCGACGTGCAACATAACCCATGCATCAGCCCGCTGAGTTTCTCGCCGGATCTTCTCAGTGGGTCGCGATTCCGATCCGGTAGTAGATTCATTCGCGAAGTAATTGCTCTCGAGTTGTTAGGTCTACTTCGGAGGCGCTCGGGCAGTTGTTAGCAAATCCCACCCCTCCTGGCTGAGCCTTTGCTCGCCCACCTGTCCTGGTGAAGCTGGAAAGGCCTCCGGGCGACCAATAATCTTTCAATCATAAAAAAAGCAAGAGATCCTATGTTAGTATGACCTCATACTATTATTATATTAATACTAGCCGTACTCGCCCGCTTCGCTGGGCAGTTAAAATTAACATTATTATTTATTGTCATTATTATTAGGGAGTCCAACACTCATAATTCAATTCAAATTAAAATTCAAAATCATTTATTTCAACTTAGATGTCAGTATGACACACTTGTTGAATGTCAAAATACAAATAACAATGTTAACTCTACCACCGGTTCCAAAAAAAGCCACAGTCCTGAGAAGAACCGGCGAAACAAACTCAGCGGGCTTTTTTTTTTGTTTTTTCTCAAATATTTTCTTTTTTTTTAAATAAATAGAAATATTCACAATAAANTTCCAGAGATCTTTTTTGCCACGTACCATCCGGCTATGGAATGAGCTCCCCTCCACGGTGTTTCCCGAGCGCTATAACATGTCCTTCTTCAAACGAGGCTTGTGGAGAGTATTAAGCGGTAGGCAGCGACTTGGCTCTGCCCCTTGCATTGCTGAAGTCCATGGGCGACGGTAACCACTCACCATCAGGTGGGCCGTATGCCCGTCTGCCTACAAAGGCAATAAAAAAAAAAAAAAAGACTTAGGAACCTCGGTAACCGTACTAGTCGAACTCGACAAAGATGTCGACGTGCAACCTAACCCATGCATCAGCCCGCTGAGTTTCTCGTCGGATCTTCTCAGCGGGTCGCGATTCCGATCCGGTAGTAGTTTCATTCACGAAGCAATTGCTCTTGAATTGTTAGGTCTCCTTCGGAGGCGCTCGGGCAGTTGTTAGCAAATCCCACCCCTCCTGGCTGAGCCTTTGCTCGCCCACCTGTCCTGGTGAAGCTGGAAAGGCCTCCGGGCCACCAATAATCTTTCAATCATAAAAAAAGGAAGAGATCCTATGTTAGTATGACCTCATACTATTATTATATTAATACTAGCCGTACTCGCCCGCTTCGCTGGGCAGTTAAAATTAACATTATTATTTATTGTCATTATTATTAGGGAGTCCAACACTCATAATAGCCTATCCATTAAGTACATGTATTTTCTACACGGATACCAAGACAATCGGATGCATGGTTCAGTAGTTATAACGGAATATCCGTAAAAACCACTGTAGATTAGTATAGATAGGATTAAAGTCAAATGAGAGGTCGGCCGGAAGATCCTGGTGGGTTTGCTAGTACTAAATAAATTATGAAGTATTATATAAATTCATATTATTGCCAACCATAAAGAGATTTAAAAGCAACTATTGTTTTAACAAATCACCGAAGTCTGTCTTACCTAATTTATCAACACAGGTGAATTTATCGTCGAAGCAAACGGTAACTGGTTTAGTTATTTTTAGTTTATTTTGTTTTTTGTCGTATCGGAGACCATCGAACGATTTCGTATACTTGTCTAGATTCTGAGATGACGACGACATATCCGAAATAAGTAGCTTGAGCATTATTATTTTTTTCAAAATTCGCTTACGTATTACAATATGTTGGTTTTTTAACTCGCTTTGATTAGTTTGCTAGTAACCTCGAGGGGTTTTACAAGCTTCATCGAAAATGTAGGCGAGCTTACGGGGCTCGGCCTGACGAATTTACTAACACTAACCCTAGCAAGGGCGGTGCTTCGCTGAATCTACCATCGGATCGGAATTGTGACCCAAGTGGGTCGCAATCCGCTATGTAGCGGATCCGCCGAGAAACTCGGTGGGCTGTCATTGTATATAACGAAATATTCGATATAATTTTAGTCAAATACAAGACATATTTGATCTAAATTAAAACTCACACGTATTAAGGATCTATGGCATTACATTTTTATTTATTATTTGATCTAACGTCCTCCCCAAGGCAAGATTATTTTAATTTTTTGTTCGACTAGCTACTTTAACGTTTTTTTTTTTTTTATAGTTTAAAACTATATAATTTTGTTTCTCTTTTCCTTAAGGTCTAGACTTTTCGGATTCTCATACTGGTTTAGTACCATGCTAGTAGTAGTTAAATTTATATAGCAGGTAGCAGGTTTTTTATTATTAATGTGGGTTAATGAACATAACGGCCCATCAAAATAGCCACCATCGCTCACGGACATCGGCAATGCCATGTCAACCAGCAATGGAGGCAGCCAAGACGCCGCTCACAAAAAACAATTCGTATTAAATCGTAGAATATCGGATTTAATGCTCCTAATGTCGAGACACGTAAATTCATGTGCCCACACAATATCCAAATTCGTCTAACCGACCATTTCCTCTGAGTAGCCGTAATCAGTATGGGATCGTTATTAGAGTTCCTGCTATTCTAATACACTTTAGGATATCATCGTGTTTTATAAAGTCCAATAGCTTAATGGTTATTTAAAATATTAATTTTGTTTTTTTTTTTAATGTTATACAAAATGTGTTTTTTAAGCTATTGCATAGCTTTTATCGCGGGCCTTGAGCGCGGCGACCGAATCATGAAATTCCGTAACGAAAATAAAACCTAACACCCCCACTCCGCCTACCGTGTAGCTCGCGTTCAACATTCACACGTTGCGCTTGTGTAGTGTTTGTGAATAAGCGCGTGGCGTGACGTCACACTGCATGCGCATCATGAAAAGTCTGCCCATCTCTCTCTGGCGCGGTCTAGCTTATGAGTGTGAAGGGGACAGTTAAGGTTTTGCTTTTATTAATGTTTAATATAGCGTGGTCTGGTTTTATTATTGTTTTAATATTAAATTATCATTGTCTAATTATAATTGCACTAGCGACCCTCCCTCGCTTCGCTTCGGAAACATTAAAACACACATGAAACCAAAAAAATAAAAAAATAAAAATTAAAAAAGTAGCCTATGTTCATCAGGGACAATGTCGGCTTCTAATGGAAAAAGAATTTTTCAAATCGGTCCAGTAGTTTCGGAGCCTATTCGAAACAAACAAACAAACAAACAAATCTTTCCTCTTTATAATATTAGTATAGATAAGTTGATAAAAAATGCTATGCAATAGCTTTACCGCGGTAGTTCCCGAGTGCCACACGTTTGTTTTTATTTATTTATTACCCTAGATCTATTAATAAATTACGCAAATTAATTCATATTTAAGCGTTTAAGCGACATTTTGCTTTAACACTCGACATTAATATTTTTCTAATTAAATTTCCGTTTTATTTGGTATCAGCATCAACAGTTCGATGTTTTTAATTGAACTTCAATTACGTTTAATCTATCGAAATAGCTAAAGAAGTTATTTTTGTTATGATATTTTTCCAAATTTTAAACATTATATAGATCTCCTGTGAAGTTGCAAAAATGTTGCTTAAACCAAATAGCCTTTCTCTCCTCGATATGTTATAAATGGTTACTAGACCCCAAACCGTGGGTACCGCTACACATCTTAAGTCATGAGGTCAAAAGCCGTCCCTTTCCTTTCAAACCACAAAAGAGTCAACCAGTCTATCCAGAATTTATTAATTATTGGAACTGCTATTCCTGATTTCCTATCTCTTCTATCCCCTTTGATATTCATAGACTTACGTATTCCGTACGTTTCGATTATTTGTACCAAATTCTGCAGACTCCTGGGCAGATTTTTTCAGTGAGTAACCAGAATAAGTTTCATTATAGTCCAATAAATCGAATGACACATTGACAACACACCCTGGCTCTGTTACATATACCTCAATACGCTACGGTAACGATTCAAAGGCAAATAAAAAAAAAATATATCCAACCGTGACACATAACACGTAAATAGCATTCGCGTATAGTATGTGACCTTGATAATGCGTTAATAACACAGATGGTTTCATTTGTACCTGTCTGTGCAACGTGTTACTTATGTGGATAGCTGTACTGCAGACTGTACGCTTGCAAAACTTCGCCCCTCCCCCAGTCGATAGAGCGATAATTAAGAAGCAGCTGTCTGTTCACATAAGGCCAGATAATTATCTAAAGATCTCGCTGCTTTTATTTGATTATCTTTGTATATTATGTAACCCCTTGGCAAATTGTAGGCATACCAAACGACATCGGATCCACGGATCCTATAAACCATCCACCGTCCGTCGTATCTCTGCTGTAAAGTACTTGGGCGTTCTGGTCTCAACGATGGGTTAAGAACAAAACGCCTGAACTCTCGCTGAACAATCATACATTGGCATTACTAACGTTTAGTAGTGATCCAACGACAAATTGTTCAGCGAGTAAACTAACCCATAGACACAGCCCACTGAATTTCTCGCCGGATCTTCTCAGTGGATCGCGTTTTCAAGCCTGTGGTAAATTCTGCGAAGCACTGCTCTTGCTAGGGCCAGTTTTATCAACGCCTCCTCGTTTGAGCCGCGTGAGCTCACCTATACGCTAAGGTAACGCTGATATAGCCCCTCAAGGCTATCAGCATAGGTAGGGAAAAAAGTATTCTCTGCTAAATTCGAGCGTCTGTATAGTTGGCTAAATTGGCAAACGAGTTGCAGGATTCAAACTTCATAATGGCATTACACGCTACGAATACAATGGATAACATGGAGTGTATTACGTCACGTGCGCATATAAATTACGACATATAGACATATTATTATCTATTCCCCAATCATAACGAATGATTACTTCTTAGACTCCTACGTTGCCCGTGTTTTGTGTGGGCGAATGAAATGGGAGATGCCTTTAGTACTAGCACAGGTGCCAGGTACAGCAGAGCTTAAATTATTTTATTATTAGGCCAAATGGAAATACTCACTTTGACGGTAAGGAGTCGCGTTTTCTTTCCCTCCATCTGAACTATGAGTTTGGCGGCCATGTCCTTTTCTCTGCAACAATGACAACATAAAATTATAATGATTTTTTTATTACCTTCAAAAGCCAGCAGTACAGCCAAACTACTTTTCCAGTCTCACAAGGAGAGGTGGGTGAACAAAGACTCAGCCAGGAGGGGCGGGATTTGTTATCAGAAGCCCGAGGGCCTTCGAAGGAGACCTAACAGCTCAAGGGCAGCTGCTTCGTCAATGTATCTACTACCGGATCGGAGTCATAACCAACTGAGAAGATCCGGCAAGAAACTAAACGGGCTGTGTCTGTGGGTTAAGTTGCACCTTGCACTCGTCGCATTCGACGAGAACCAAATTTACCCTCCACGACGCCGCGCCTACTTCATTAGATATTGCATTATTGGCCAATAGATGGCGAAGCTTTCAATTCAGTCTCGCACGATTACCCCAAACGAAAAACTAACATTTTTTTTTAATATTTTTGTTAATTTAACTTTTTACAGTAAGCTGTCAACATTAAGACATTCAACCGTAGTTTTGAGAAAAAACAATTTCTTAGGCGGTGCATGTACAATGTCTATGGACATGTACTACAGTAGATCTAGTAGATCTTGAGGCACTCTTCTTCTGAGTCTTCTTTTAGTCATTTGGTTGTCAATCAAAACTAACATTGAAGAGTAAACTTTTTTTCTCAAATTTGTTAAGCTCGTGTCCAACGTGCCGTTACGTCGTTACCGGAGTCCTTTTTTTTTATTGCCCTTGTAGGCAGACGAGCATACGGCTCACCTGATGATGAGTGGTTACCGTCGCCCATGGACTTCAGCAACGCCAGGGGCAGAGCCAAGCCGCTGCCTACCGCTAAATAGTTAGTCATAGAAATCGCAATGTAAATGCTTTTATCATGGCATATAGGGTCTAGCCATCAATCGTATTGTATGCTGCCCTACCCTTCAAACTAGAACGCATGACTGCTTCAAAGTAATGTGTCGGTACTCATCCGCACAAGCTCACAGGGCGCCACTCGCGGCTCGACAAATAATATGTAATGTATTTTCATTATAACTGTTTTTTTTTCACTTAAGCTACTTTAATTGATATCTACATTACTGGTGGTAGGACCTCTTGTAAGTCCGCGCGGGTGGGTACCACCACCCTGCCTAATTCTGCCGAGAAGTAGTAATGCGTTTCGGTTTGAAGGGTGGGGCAGCTGTTGTAACTATACTGAGACCTTAGAACTTATATCTCAAGGTGCGTGGTGCATTTACGTTGTAGATGTCTATGGGCTCCAGTAACCACTTAACACCAGGTGGGCTGTGAGCTCGTCCACCCATCTAAGCAATCATTTATTACATAGTCTAGCATTTCATTTTTTCCATTACGGCGTTTCGAATACCGTATAGTTTCCGTGGCTGTGAATGACTAAGGTGCAATACAGGCATAAACACTGCTCCATAAGTCATCAAGAGATATATTTGTGACGTGTAAAAAAAAAAATGTCTCTATGATCACACCCAATCAGCTTAACACTTGATTTATTTGCTTATTAATTAATTATGCGTTTTTAGTGGAAGGCTATTAATAACCCTGGAGATTACTCGGCCTATTTCTGCTATAATACAATTAAATGTTTGAGTTTGGAACAGCCTTGAGATACTGTACAAATTTAGACTTAACTTCAGTAAGCCCTTCACTGTGTAATTGTAAGCTTGTTGTGCCATCTTGCAATAAAAAAAAATTGCAAACCTTGTCTGAACAATTGGAAACAAAACTAAACAAAATCAGCCAACTCAATGGAGTCATTCTCTAGTGATGCTCTATCATGCATGTGACAATGGTTTTTATTACGATCTGTCATCTCTACTATGATTCCCTGTACAATAGGAACTAGAAACTTTTTTATGTATTTCTAAAAATTATACATTTTTAGTTGTTGTTGTGTTAAGTATCTTAACATCTATAAGACACATAGCACACCTGTTTTCCACAAAAATGTTGACCTAAACATGTAGATAAATATTTTTTCCCTATATCAGCCATGCACTGCCAATGCAATGCATGCTGATAGATTATGTTAATTTATTATAACAGGATTAAATGAAATGTCTTCTTTTCTGAATAGTATAAAATAAGAAGTAATAGCATTTTGAAAATAACAAATGAATGAACAACCATTTTTCTTATTGGTATTTGATTCTGAGTATTCAAAAAATGTTTTTTTTTTCAAACTCACACCCTCTATTGATTGGTGGAATTGATTTGTTTACATGCATGTTAGTAAACAAACTAACAAGCGTACGTTCCTAGCATTCTTGAATTGTAAATTCATTCCTTGTGAATTAATTTAATGATTAAACATGAACCAGGTCACTGATTTTATTATTTTATTTTGCATTTTTTCGGCAACTTTCATCTACGACCCGAGTCCGAGGTACAGTTTGCTCCAAATGCAACTCAACCGTGAAAGTCATTGTCATTTCAACGTGACATCATTAGTTTTTGTACTTTCAAAATGTAACAAACAGATTCTAACAAACAACCCTTTTTCGTTACATCGGAGCCTTCGTCAATACCATTTTATCAAACATAAAATATAATCTAACTCATAATAATACAAAAATACAGTAATTAGAGTGCAATCGCAATATATACTCTTAGAAGACAATACAGAACTGTGCAAAAACATTAGTGCAACAGCTGATTCCTTTAAAAAAATTATATTTACCTTTGATTGAACGGGCGAACCCTTACAGCAACTTTTACCGAGGCCATTGTCATACATTATATTATTGTAACTTAAATAAATAGTAGTTCACATTTAATAACACAAAATACGACACATTAATATTGGTTTACGTTTTGTGACTGCTAGAATCGAAACTCCGTTCTTTGACATTTGAAGTAATTTGAACAAACGTGATTGACAAGCCGTCAACAATGACAGAGAGTCAGAGAGTACAGTTGACAGCTACTTGCACGTCAGTGAAAGGCCAAAGCCCACTGAAATATGAAACCTAGGTCTATGCTAAAGCCAAAGAGCCTAAATAACTAAATAGGTTTTTTTTGTTTTTTGTTTTCTTTAATGCTATTTATGTGTAAATGGTACAAACAGAGCCCACACGTGTATGTACCTATTATTATTTTGCCAATTTCTGTCGCAAAGCACTTTTATATTCCAGAGGCCAATTAAGGGCTGCAGTGAGTTCTTTTGCCACTCAACATTTCAACAATCACTTACAAATGTATTTTACTAATTTGTAAAGTCTATGTACTGCTTAAAAAAATTTGTTAGTATAAAAACTTTTTCGGATTCTTAGTTAATGAATTCTGTATATTGCTATCTCTAACATATCTATTTTTCACAGATCTACTATTTAGCGACAACAACACGTTTTTAGGGTTCGGTTGGATATTTCTAAAACAAAAATAACTCGCATACCATGAAACACCATATAACATCTTTTTTTCTAAATTTATTCAAGTGGCGAGTTTCCAACAGTGCTATATATTGAAGCTTAACTACGATTGCTTTAACAATAAATATTTTGCCCACATTTATGAAACTGGGAAAATATAAAATGTTTTGGCAACATTACAAGTTTCGATTTCGATCAGACTTCATTGAGAAAACTGAAAAGGTTATCTCAAATTAATAAGTGTTTTCAATCTTTTCTTCATTTACTTACGGTATAGTAACAGTTTCATTATCTATTCTCTTCATAAACAAATGATTTTAACTTTAAAAAGGCAAACAAGTGATCTGTAACTAATCGTATAAAATGTAAACTGATCCTGATCATTAAAACACATTACATAATATTGTTGATTTTTGCAGCCCTCACGATGTCGGACGCCCCTGGTCGCCCCATGAAGTTCCCTTACACGTTCTCAGCGAAGGTCGCTCAGTTCCCATATAAATTTTACCTCCAGAATTTGTGGCTCTGGCGTTACTGGGCTGCCGCCATCGTAATTTCCTCACCACTCTTCTACAAAATTCACAAAATGTGTAAGCACCTGAATATTTTATGCAATTTTTATTAAATATGACCAAATAGGATCAATTCCAGTTACTATAACTCACAAAAGCAAAAATTACAAGAATGCGATACTCATTAATAAAAAAAAAACCTAACATTGTTCCAAATTCGTATTATTACAGAAAATTAATTAGGAGGTCCTTTTTTGTAAATGTCTTGCTTTCCCTTTGTTATAGACTACACTCTCCTAAGATTTGATAAATGGTAGCCTTGTAAACATGTAAAAATTGTTTTTTTGGCATAACTGGACATCATTATAATCCAGTGTGGTCTCCACAATATTTCCAAATTTCAACATATAACCATTATAACCATACTTTTGTTTATAGTTATTTTTAACTTCACTAATGAACCTATAGAAAATCGGTTGCTTGATAAGATGTAAGCGTAGAAACAGACTAAAAGAGACAAAAACTTTGTTTTTCATTTTTTTTGGAGAGAAACTAATACTAAAATCAACCATATATTTCTAGTTCTGTTTTAATTATTATTTTGTGATTAATCTTACTTACCAACACTCTTTTTATTATACACACCCAATTATCTCTATGATTAAGCATTATATTTAACCTTATTGATAATCTATAAAGAAAACAAAAGGATAATTAATTTCATCTTCTGCCCAAATTGATGCACAAGTATTCTATCAGCCTGTATCATTTTTGTTTGCAAAAATAAATACTCCAAAGTAATTGCATTTGATCTATTCACTAATTATGTCCCCGAAGGTTTGGATTGAACATTTTTGTGTAACTGTCTTATAGTTGTTAACTGTTTATATTTAGTGCCTGTGACTTATGTCTTTGTCACCTACATATGGAGCACTCCTAAATCTTAGCACAGATTTTCTTTAAAAACGCCTTAGCTTCATCTTGAGTCAATTTAAAAAGATCATTAACCAATAACCAATTCTTGACAACAGGACAACACAATAAAGCAATTCACTGGCAGGTGTCAGCAGTCATGGTGAATATTATGTAGCATTTTAAGAGAATGTCTATGTTTATTTTGTTATTTTTCAGCAAACTCCCCTGAAAATGTAAGCAAGTGGGCTGAAATCAGAAGGAAAGAAGCTGCCGAACACCACTAAATGTAGTAGTTCCAATCACAGCTTGTAATAAATTGTTTGATTTATTTATGTTGTAAGCAATAATAAAATCATGGGCTAGTTTATGTTGTTTTTTTGAAGAAACTTTGACTAGAATACATTTTTAATGGTTTTTATGTATTTAGTGACTAAAATGATTGAGCTCAGGAAAGAAAGTACCATCTAAAGAAAGGAATTGAATTCAATAACTGCAAGAATAAATGTGGGAAATACTGCATTTCACTTTGAGGGTGACACACCTGTTAAATTACAATAAAATTGAGACTTCACTTCAACCTTCCAGCTTTGTCTTGTTCATATCCATGGTAAACATGGTGGGTCACAAACTCAATGTAAAAATAGGTAGATAATTATGCAAAAAACTTATGTTCACTTGTGTGTGTAGAAATTACTAGTAAGTAGGTTATATTTCTATTTGCCTCTGATTGTTTAAAAGAGTTTATGCTTACTGAAGATTGTCATTATGATCGAAAATATTCCAATAAAATTAAACATTTCCAATTGTCTATTCAAATAAAACATATTTGGTTTTGGGGGTGCTTTATTTACTAAACACATAAATTAATTACATTAATATTATAATCAATGACAAACAAATTCCACAAACTAATAAACAAAAAATTAGAACTTACAAAGCTCCATCACAAATCGGAATGCAATTAATAATTATTGAAACACACTAAAAGATTTTTCATGAGTATTTTTTTTAGTAATCTTACAAAAAGCATGTCTATGCAATATTTTAAACAATACTTATCATTTGCTTTTAACAAATTTTACTTAAGAATAATATAATCATAGAAATCGTAATTTTAAAAATAAGCACATTCTATCTGAAATAATACGTTCATATCGCGTTCTGCATTAGGAGTTTAAGTTATTGCAATGTGTAGATCAAGAAATTTAGTAGCAAAATTTTCATACTAATAAAGACATCATAGTGACGATTTATGTTTAGGCCCGTGGTGTCTGGGGCCTAGCTAGTGTTTGTGGGGTACCACAATTTCTATAGCTAATAGAATTTAAAGGACGCCTTATCACAGGCACACATCATTCACTGTCAAAATTATTTTTTGTCAACCATATTTTACAGCATTTTTGTAAGTTACGTTTCGTTAGCACCATTATTTAAAATATTGATAAAAGTTAAAGAAAGCGAACATAGATCTATAGAATTTAACCTGTTAAAGAATGAAATAGATTATTTCTTAAGGTTGCACGTTATTTTTTCACCATGAAAAGTAAACACTGAATAAGGTATTTTCTATACCTTATTTATATAATTAGTTAAAAAAATATTTCAATAAAATTTCGTCTTTTATTTCAGCATCTACTTATTTTTAAATTTCTTCCATATTATCTTTTTTACGACAATAGTTACAAAAAAAACGGCATATCGACAAGGTTGCCATCACTACAAATCCAATGCTGGAAGTATCCATGATGTTCCAGCCTATTAAATTGTAGCATGAAAAAAATTGTCATTATTTTTAAGAAATATAATGTTAATTAACAAAATAAAAAACAACACACGATTATAATTTGTGCAACAAGTTTATGGCTAAGATATCAGAATTATGCTTTAATTAAATTCGCAATACCAAAAATGCTGTTACACTATTTATAGTGTATAGTAGCTGTTATAGTATTAGTTTTGTTCATTAAACTTGCAGAGCTGATTGCAACGTGCCGGCAATAGAACGTGCCGTCTTCAGAAACGATCACAAGAATGTACCCTTTAGTATGCTTTGTTACATAAAAAAATACTATTTTTTTAAAAATCTCACTAATAATTTGTGATGACAATTTTCAAATGCAGTATTATAACTGATTAAATTATTTAAAAAAAAAAAGCTTCGAGAATACGGCTTTGCCCTGATCAAAACACAAAATAAATAAAATACAGAGTTAGAAAAGCTTAAATAAAAATAAAATAAAAAACGCATAGAAATATAAAATTTGTTAAACAAAACATAACCACTGATGAGCTAGCTGGTCGTAAGGTCTACACACAATTTGGAGCTTCGAGTCACGTGTCAACTAAACCAAACTTAATATTAGGACAGTATCACTAAAACGTTGATCGCTATACGTAAAATAAAGCTACACACAGAGACTTGTTCAAGTTTTATGTATTTGGAAATGGAAAAGGTGTGACATAATTTTCAAAGATAACTTAATTATTTTATAAAATCATAATGTCACTAAAAGGATCACTTTTAAGTATTATTTTTAACAAGGGTGGTGATGTTCTTCATTTTGGGTTTTGTCAAGTTCAGAATTTTTGTTTTGAATTATTCAATTTACTACTTATTTACATTTTTAGGCGGTGTTTGGAATTCGTCACGCGACCATAAATAATATATAGGTTCAGTGTACTTAGTGCGAGTTTTTTAACGTTCTCGATAGCGTAAACGTTAATTCGAATTTGCATGGAGTTGGAACGTTTACGTAAGTTTGCCGCTAGGGGCGCTGTTCCAACTGCATACAAATTCTAGGTTACCTTTTACGCTATCGAGAACTTTATAAAACTCGCACTAAGCACGCCGATCACTGCCTTGTGACATTCCAGTTCAGTAAACAAACAGTCGTGTTGTGATGCAAACGTCACTGACTAATATTGACACCGTTGATTTTGATTGTTAGACTAAATTTTAATTTATAATTTGGGAGACAACCAAATAAAGTATTGTACAAATTAAAAAAAAAAGTATAGTATTGCGACTGTTTGATTGCCCGTTACTTGAAAATCAGTGTTAGAGCACAATAAGATTTAGTCAGGACTATGTATCTTGAACAAATTGGGTCATTACTAAACTACTTCACAATATATCCTAGAATATAACGTGTCTTTAAACTAAATGCAGACACGTCGCCTAACAAACTACTGACGGTGGTATTCGTTCAATCAAGTACTCTGTACATCGAGTTTATTGTACCGATATATTATATAGAATTCGTATTATTATTACGTTGAATACACTGCACAGAATCACCACAGTTCCATATAATCTATAAAACGTTACAAATTTTATTAATCGATATTATACATCGATATTATAACATCAAATAACTCGATAAAAATACACTTGATCGTTTTGTTTCATAATTTATATATTTATATTTAATACAGGGTTTCGTTAACAATCACACGACCGGACTCGCGGGCCCATCGTTATCACAATAATATACGGACTACATAAAACCGGAGGCGCTGTGTCAGAAACACGCGCAAGTTGCTTCCAACTTGAATCTAGTCACAATTTTAGCAAAAAAGCTTGCGCAAGTCGTGATGCGAGTCGGGCCCCAGGCGGAGGGCGACGACAGCTCGGGTTGCCGTTAAGACAGTAGCTGTCCCGTAGACAGAAAGAGCGTTTCAATTTATTTCAAATTAGATTTTCTTCTCTTTAGACTGATTCGTCTATTAAAAAAAACGATTGATTTAATTTTTACAGAGCAAAAAAATCTTTCAAATTTACTTCCGATATTATTTCAATTTTATTATAAGTATTGTAATATCTACATGTTCTAATGTGACTTTATGTAGTCAAGTTCTCGAATTTAGCCGTTATTCTGTAATACGTGAAGCTTCCAGAAGTGACACGGCGAGCCCCAGCCGGGCGGGCCGGCCGCGTGCCCACTTACAGTCGCGTGGTTCGCCTACTATCTGTCTACAGCTGCAATAAGAAAGCCACAATACTGAGTATTTTGAGATGGCTTGCCTCGAATGATGAACTTATTAATGGTTGAACTTCTGACGTCCCTACACTTTCTCACAAGAATTTTACATAACATAACTTATATTATTACTACGAGTGACTAATAATATGTATACTTTCCAAACTTACACAAGAACAGAACAAAATTTTAAAACATTCACATCAAAAATATCGTCAATAAGTTACAAATGTTTATATTTTCGTTCTAATCTAGTATGGATAAATAAGATAATTAAGACTCAATAAAAATACGTGCGTGAAATCTGCGAAGCGTGCAAGCTCCTTGACAAACAAATATACAAGATTCTATTATTTATGAACACCGTTGACTGGTGCTGTGTTTGCACAGATCAGGAACTGTCCGGGACACTGGCACTGGCATGTCACAACAAACCGGTGAGCCCAAAACTTTGGTTAAAGGAATGACGGGTCAGGAACTATTAATAATGGGAATTAAACTGATTGTAATTTGATCATAAAACCCATAAATAGGTAAAATAGCTTGACTTATTGTTTTTTAGTCATAAATGCAATTATATTATACTACCAAACGAATGTTGATCAAAATTGTGAAACTGAAACGGACAATCACAAGCTGCTTCGAGCTTGACAGGAACAAAATTATTGAACTTGCGGCGAGCAGTAAGCTAGTCGTACTTAAGCATTTACGGACCCTCCCACAAACGTTAACCTAATACCGTATTTACAATGACATACAATAAAATCACCAGCCGCATTACTCGACTCGATTACAAGTCGAACTAAACAAAATAGCGAATGAAGTCTAGCGACGGTGACGCAATAGAGACGCGACCCGTCGCTCCGGTCGCTATTGCGTCGCCGTCGGAACGCGTCCACAATTCAGCACTACACTTCCGACGCGTCGAGCAGATTTCAGTTTGTCTTTAATCACAATGCACTATTACAACTTTACACGATCACATCACACACACTTATATAGCTCTTCTGTTCGTGTTACTTGTGCTTCTTTCTCTTGGCTATGGGCAGGTCGTCCTCGTCATCGGAGGAAGGGCCCGCAGAGTGTTCCTGGGACTCGGCTTCCTTCCTCTTGCTGAAGCTGAGCTCGGGCAGCGAGGGCAGGTCGAGCTCGGCGCACCGCTTGTTCACGAATTTCTCGAGGCGACCACCGGCCCTTTAAAAATTAAATTATATTTTTTTATAAACTATCAATATGCAAATCGCTGGCCATATATGCCGTAGGACTGACGATCGCTGGAGCAGAGGCGTACTCGAGTGGAGACCGCGCAGCGGAAGACGTAACGTGCGACGCCCCCTGGCTAGGTGGTGCGATGACCTCCGAACGGTGATCGGCAAGAAGTGGATGAGGGGAGCTGCAGACCGGGCTCAGTGGTGTGAATTGGGAGAGGCCTATGTCCAGCAGTGGACGACTGTGGGCTGTTGATGATGATGATGATGATGCAAATCGCTTGAAGCTGGAGCCCATAAACATCTAAAACGTAAATGCCGGCACCAACCTCAGATATGAGTTCTAAGGTCTCAGTATAATTACAACGACCGCCTCACCCTTCAAACCGGGCGGACTCACAAGAGCTAAAGAGTACCATAACGGAGTACAGTGTCTCCTGAGTATGGTGACCTTCTCTTATGAGCTTTGAACAGCATGAAGCTTTGTTGCTGAACATGGCAATATTACCAAGCCGGTCCCCCACTGAGGGTTTCACAGCAATAAAGTTTGCTCGCTTCTCCAAATCACAAAGAAACATTTTAAATAACCTATATTCTAAATGGGAGTGCAGTTGGAGTCAACTTACTTGGCAACGGGATGTGTATCAGTATTGTAAGTGTAGCAATTATGGAATATTAGCGCTATATCAGCTATCAGCTCCTCGTCCGAGCTGTATTGGGACTTCTCCAGCTTCTCTTTGATCGTGGTGAGGTCCATGGGCTGATCGATTACGTCAAGATAATCAGGTACCTGAAATAAAATTAACAAAGTTACAGAGCGTTTTCATGATTTATAAATAAACTTTGAGTACTTCATATTAGTAGGGCATGAACTGTGTATGATACGTGCTAAGTAAATGGTTACTTCGAAACGGTTTAGAAATAATCTAATCTAAGTAATAATAAGTAATAGAATAATAGGTAAATCTAATCTAAGTAATAATAAGTAATAGAATAATAAGTAAATCTAATCTAAGTAATAAATAATCTAAGTAGCTATAACCGCACAATACAATTTCACCGTGGCCTAAAGGATACGACGCGCGTATCCAGCGAAGTCACTATACTATGACGCTGTGAAATACTTATCCATTCCCCAATTTGAAATTAAATTATTTGCGATAAATAGAAGATAATAATATATTTTTTATTTTATTTGTCCCCTCTAGCACGACCGAATCTGTCTCGGACGGAGACCGGGCGAGCGCAGGGGAGTTAGCTTCCTCGGTCACCGAGTCCTACACGTGGCGCGCCCCCCGTGCGCGGGAACCTTAACAGCCTGGCCACGGGACATTCGCCGATGCGAATATTCGCGCGGTGCGAACGGCGAAGCGTCTAGCGACTAAAACAAGCGCATAGAAATGTACCTAACAAGCCACGCGCACCGGCGACCGGCGAAGCGACCGGCGAAATGTACCGAGCGAATCGCGCGATGCGGCGGGCGAGCAAAACAAATGCATGAATACGGACGGCGCGAGCCACGGAGTCGAGCGGTAGTCGCGGCGAATAGTGCAGTGATTAAATGAGTTTAGTTGTTTTCGCCGCGAAAAATTAACGCCGAAATTTTTATATTTTTTATTTATTTTTTATTTTATATTTTTAAAGTCGTCGTGGCCTAACGGACGTCCGGTGCAATCGTGTTGAGCGATGCACCGGTGTTCGAATATCAGGCGGGTACCAATTTTTGTAATGAAATACGTACTCAACAACACTCAACGTTCACGATTGATTTCCACGGTGAAGGAATAACATCGTGTGATAAAAATGAAATCTTCAAAATAATAATTTGCGTAATTACTGGTGGTAGGACCTCTTGTGAGTCTACACGGGTGGGTACTACCACCCTGCCTATTTCTGCCGTGAAGTAGTAATGCGTTTCGGTTTGAAGGGTGAGGCAGCCATTATAACTATACTTGAGACCTTAGAACTTATATCTCAAGGTGGGTGGCGCATTTACGTTGTGGATGTCTATGGGCTCCAGTAACCACTTAACACAAGGTGGGCTGTGAGCTCGTCCACCCATCTAAGCAATAAAAAAATAAAATAGCTGAAATACTAGCTAGACCAGCTATTTGGAAGTCTAGCCACCCAAAGTATTTCTCGTACTTCTTGTGGAATTCTCCATCTATAGGTATACTCCGATTCTTATTCAAATCATGTACTTCACAATCTTTTCCAAATAATAGGTCCTGAACCAAAAAACTATTAATTTGTAAGCAATATCGAGATAATTTCGATATAGACATTTCGCTGTCGGACTTCCTTACTAGTCGCGGCGGCGAACGTGAGTACCCGTGGCCTGCAAACGGTGCTGCGCGAATGGTCGCCTCGCCCACCGCTTCGCTGTTCGCACCGCCGATCCCCGTGGCCAGGCCGTAAGGTTAAAACTTCGGCCAGAAAAGACAGTATGGTGCCTTGGCGCTTGACTCACATCCTCAATGGAGACGGGCTCGTAGAAGGGCCAGCTGTCCTTGTGCTTGATGACGTCACGCAGCAGCTGCTGCACGGCGTCGGGCCCGCGCGTCGCACGCTCCTCTGCGGACAGAAGGAGACTCTCGTAAGGGGTCAAAAAGACGCGAACGGCTCCACCACCATGTTCAAGTAAGAAAGATGATGTTGCATAAACCTGGTTCTGATCCGATAAACGTTACTACACAACTCGACTCTTGTTATGCCAAATTAGAAGGTTCAAAGTTTATGTGGGATGTTAAAGAAAAGTTTTTTAAATAAATTTTAAGGAAACATATTAATGATACGTGTTTACACTAGTATCTTGATTCAACTTAGCAAACGGTGAACCACCGACTTAGAACAGTCCGCTCGTGTCGGGGGCTCCACCACCCCCGCGCCGCCCCCCGCACTCACCATGAACTCCGTTTGTGAGGGAAATTTTCGATCTCCTATCTTTCCCGTTGCTCATGTTCAGTTTCTCGTGTTTTGGTCTGTAAGTGAACAAATACAGTTCGTCAGAGCTCCATTCCCAATGACCAGTGAGAGCCGCCGAAATGTCAATTCGCTTACACAATAAGTCTCATCCATAATAAATATACGTGTGATAATTGATACGTATGGTAAGATTGATTTAGCAGATTAATATTGTTTACACAGAAGCACTATGGGGGTGCACTGCTATCTAGACCAAAACCAAAAAGAGGGTAATTAATTTACTTGTCCATAAACAGAAAAAAAGATCATTTGTAAATTAAAAACAAAAATATCCAACCACAGTATTATCATCAGTCTTTCATGAGTGAGAAAATATCCAAGTCAATCAATCAAACAGACAATCTCACGGACACAAGGGGGTTTGGCACTTCTGTTGGCACATCTGTGTCTGTGCACTATAGGTACCTAAAGAAGAACATCTAAGGGCCCCTGAATGAGGAGTTTTGTCAAAGCTCTCTGCCGACCTTCAAACCGAGCGCCCGAGGGTCTGGGCGTGATGAATACTCACTTCCTACCGCGTTTCTTCCCCGAAGGTGGGGTGGTCCCGTTCTGCAGGGGCGCCGCGTCGTTGCTGTGGCGCTGTTTCCTCTTCTTCAGTTTAACCAGAGCCGTGTTGTAATCGCTGTCTTCTGACTCTACACATGACAAAATCAATTCAAACTTTGATATATGTTCATATATTTATTTATTTAATAAATATTTCTAAATTTTTAAACAGCTACCTTGCTTGTTGAGTATCTTTTTTACTTTATTATCCTCAAATTCTCAATTATATAACAAATTTATAGATGGCACACAATATACTGTTTTTTTAAACGATATTTAGTCTATGGATATTGCCTACAATTAATTATCTTTGTTAAACAAAACTTTAAAAACATTTAAAATTATACTTCCACATTTTTTTGTCCCAAATTTGTAGTAAAATAATGTTATTCGTTATATGTGAGTAGTATGTAATCATTATAAAGCAGAATACAAATTAAATAGCTTTCTAGTCTTGATTGTTTATGATAGAATTGTATCTTCCTTATAAACTTTCTATTTATTGTTCTCAAATATTAGTTTGTACGTCAGGTATCTACTCACTAGGCGGCGCAGGTAAACAATATGAGATCACGGAACAATATTAGGAAAAAGCAAACTTAATTTCTACAAATTGACAAAGAGGAAAGGTAAGTCAAATTTCTAACAAGCAATCTAATTATTTAGATGAGCAATGGTTTGATGGTTACAAACAGAAGAATCAGTTCGGAAATCGTGATTAAGGAAATGAATTAATAATCCATTTGCATGTATGAAGTTTGATTTCTACATCTATCGTTATCACATGCAGTCATGCTACTGACATTGTTATTACTTTAAAGCATTTTTATTCGGGGTAGTAATGAAGATTTTGTATTACCTACATGGGTAATTACGAAGTGGTCAATGCTCACAGAAGCGCATAGAAGTCACAACTACAATGCCAATTTGTGACATGAGGTCGATGTCTCAATAGTATTCTCAATGTACGACGTAGACTGATGGGACAGTCCGAAATTTCTAGAGGAGATTTTATGTCTCTTATACGAAAATTAACAGTACAATATGAGTTGTTATTGCGTACTAATTAAAATGATTTGGTGTCGCTTTCATGTCAATAGTTTAGTTTAAAATTTAAAAGCAATCTGATTAACGGTTGTTCGCCATGAATCAAAGTAACATTCAAGTCACAAAACAGGGAATGCACAAGGCGAGCTTACGAAAGAAGATATGGGTCATGTCGAAGATATGTGACTTTTCTTTACAGTAAAAGCTCTTTACTCGCGGGCTATATGTTCCGTAAATATACCGCTAATACAGAAACCGTGAATACGGAATGGTCTATCACAATTTTTGTAACGAATGGAAATATCAAACAATAAAACACGCAAAGCGGCTCTTATCCAAAACGTTCCATCTCACGTGGCCGCATTTAAAAATATACTTTAGGCATAGTTGTAATAAGGTCCATTTTACTTTTTTATTAATCCATTTGACGATGCGTTTCCAAAAGATAGGTAGTCAGTGTATTATTATATTGAATCATGTCTATCAATGCATACGTACCGATGTATCAATTAGATCCGCGAATAAGGAAATCTTTAGTCGCAAATATAGGAATTTGGTCGCATTTTTTTAATCCGCGCATAGTGAAAACGCTACCGAAGGAAGTGCGAATAAGGATCTTTTACTGTATTTCAATATGGCAGTCGACTTCTTGCATTGCCACTACTACCAGCGACGAGCGTACAGTTCCTATAGTTTAACGGGAAATTTATAGAAAAGATACATGTCGCAATGAAAGCCTGCGCGACAGGGTTGCCAAGCATAAAGTAAACATTTTGCGAAGAACGTTGCAAACCAAAGAAAAGCAATAGAATATGAACAGGGTTTATGAATGAAAGAACAATGCACCAATGACGGTGAACGGGAGACATGCCACGGGGGGGGGGGACCTCGCGTGATCCCGTGCTACATCATCTTAGTGCATCAGGATAGAGCGTCAACATTCCGGGTGCATCCATGTACAAATCTGCGTACTAGCTATATAGCTTCAACGGAACGTGCATTTTTCATAAAATTAATTAACCGCTTGGCTGTATGACAGAAAACTATCAGTTTGATTATTGTGACGTCATACGGTAGCAGACAGATAGAAGGCCTGCGGCGTTTGAATTCAAGTGTAAATATTGATAATTGTGTTTACACTTAAAGACGATGAAGGAATCGCAATGATTCCCGTACAATCACATTGTATTATCATTATCAGATCACGGACAGAAACGAAACGAAAATTGTGGTCCTCCCGCCATTGCTTAGTAATTAAATGGTCCCATATCACTAGCCATTCTATCCTAGAAGCACGTTTACTAGTGCGCAGTACACAGAGCACTCCCATAATGACTAAAATGATGTATGCCGGGGGGCGTTGGGAGGGGGGACAGAGTGTGCCGGGGGGCGTTGGGAGGGGGACAGTGTGCCGGGGAGTGGTGGGAGGGGGGACAGTAACGCACCGGAGGAGGGGCTCGCGTGCAGCGCCCTCGTGTACTGGTGGATGTTGGACAACGCGGTGGCAGCGCAGCGCCGGACGCTCGACATCGCTTCAACATCGAAATTATCATTTTACATTTGTGTTTCTGTTTCGCTGACTCTACCTGTCGCTAACTGTGGCGTTTCAATACACATGTATACTTAAATATCAATTATCCTAACCGTAATTTTAACAACCATTTTCTGCAACGAATTCGAATGTAAATTATAGAATACAAGGTTTAAAACGTTGTTGTAATCTTTATTTGGGTAGTCAAAAGATTTTTTTCATAATGATCATACGTCGATACCAAATACTATAATGTTTTGCAGCCCCTAGATCTATTTTTTTTATTTAGTATATATGTGTATGCATCTGTGTTGTCATTTTTTTTTTATATAGACGTTGGTAACCCTAATGGTTGGTAGATCAAGACCTACGTATTGTCTAGTCTGGGGCGTCTGGAAATTATAGTGAAAACATTTCTTGACAAAAGAATAAATTTTTTTAATATTTCATAGTGCCTATTTCAGATTTGGTTTGGTTCTATCTATTCAACCACATGTATATGAAGATTCTTTTAAGAATTGAACTCAAAAAATAGAGTTTATTGCATAGTCGACACGTAGCTAACTACCCTCGAATTCGTGTATGTACACATTAAGGTTAGGACAGAGACCTCTGGTGGGCGCGAGGCAGGCGGCGCAGAGCCAGCGCGCGGCGCCGGGCGGGGGGCGCGGCTCGGCGCACTCTGCGTGGAAGGCGGCGGCGCAGGCGCGGCACGTGGCCCGCAGGCGCCCGCCGCTGCCGCACGCCGCGCACACGCCCGCGTCGATGCCGCCCTCCTCATCCTCGCACTCCTCCGCCTCCGCTTCACTGTCATAANGACCTCTGGTGGGCGCGAGGCAGGCGGCGCAGAGCCAGCGCGCGGCGCCGGGCGGGGGGCGCGGCTCGGCGCACTCTGCGTGGAAGGCGGCGGCGCAGGCGCGGCACGTGGCCCGCAGGCGCCCGCCGCTGCCGCACGCCGCGCACACGCCCGCGTCGATGCCGCCCTCCTCATCCTCGCACTCCTCCGCCTCCGCTTCACTGTCATAACATTGCCAATCAACCACTTGCAACTAACTTTACACTATTTTAAAGTTTTACACTAGTTTAAAGTTAGCTGGTTCTTTATATAATTTTCTCTTGTGTTATGGAGAGCGCAGAAGATAAATATTGTTAGAGAATTTACTTAAAATCCCTTTTCCTGATCCACGCCATCTATCGGCTTTGTGAAGATTTATAACGTTGTGTTGCGTTGTGTCCGTGTGTCTTAAACTCCAGCAATCCAGAACAGTGCCCCGGGGACAGAAGACCACAATATCAAGATAACAAGCATTTAGTGAGTACCTTCCTCTTCCTGTACTCGGCCTAGTTTTCTGGTATTCAAATTAAATTCAACAAATCTTATTTATACAACAAATACAAAGTAGAGATAAAAAGTTGTGCCCGTTTACATGGACATAAACGAACTTTGGCGGTGTGGTGTCGGCCTAGAATAGTATCCCTGTGTCTTTCTTTGCGTGTCTTGGTAGTCCTTCGTTCAAAGGGAGAGAGCCAGAGAATCGGCGGCGCGTTAACAAACGCACTGCGATCGTCAACCGACTTTTACTGTTGGTAAGGTATATTGCAAGCTTACACGGCAGTGGTGCATTCTGATTTAAAGCAGGGAAAGTAATGTTATGCGCTGTGGTAAACCAACTATTATAAACAAGTTCAATGACTTGCCTGTTCGGTGGTTCTTCGACATCTTCATCGGAGTACAGTTTCCTCTTCTTCCTGGGTGACCGTTTATGTTCCTTCGGCTTGCACTGATCGCAGAACCAATCGCCTTCCGGTACTTTCTGCATTTTTAAATCATATTGAAAATTATGTAAACGGTACTTATTTTTATATAATGGTGGATTTTAATGTTGACAAAGTTACAAGTTAAAATATTCAGAAGACGTATTTAAAATTGTGGACATACGAGATTGTTAACTCATCATTAATAAATGAATAGTGTAATTATTAGATATTTAGTATCCGCTCGTGCAGACGTGCGATTTTACCTTAAGTTCGCCAGGCTTTTGTTTGCATGAAAGAAATGGATATGCTGATTTAATAAATCACTTTGAAAATTGCCTCTATGAGATTATTATCACTATTTCATAATGTTACATGTTGATTTTCGAATTGTTTCGAAATGTTCTTTTTTATTGGAACGAAGTTCCTCATCGCGCGTTGCGAAAGGGGGCTATACGGAAAAAAATTAAGCCCAAAAGTTGTAATGACACTTTTTGCTACAGTTGTAAGCCGTGCGGCGTGCGCGTGTTTCTCCGTCTGTCTCTCTCTCATAGAAAGCAAGCTAGTTATTTTATTTTTCGCTTCGTCTTTTGCATTATGTGGTCCAGCAGTGTGGTGTCTAGACGATTATTTTTGTTGAGTGTATACAGGTTTTTTTTACATACAACATATTATTATAACTTAAAAAAAATATTTTTTTATTACAACTCCTTCACTAATTAATTGAAAGGAACTTCGTTCCATCCGGGTGTCCCTTGACACCTCACAATAGCTTGTACCTGCAGCGGCGGCGTGAGGCAGTAGAGGTGGTGGCCCGCGTTGCAGGCGTCGCACAGCAGCATGGCGTGCGGGTCGGCGCGGCGGCGGCACAGGCGGCAGGCGGCGCGCAGCACGGACGCGCGCCAGCACACGGACGCGTGCAGCGCCGCCGCGTGCAGCCGCGCGCCCGCCGCGCTGCCGCACTCCAGCAGCGACACCTGCCAGCGGGCCAGCGCGCCCGCCTCCGTGCTGCGCGCCCGCCCCTTCTCGTCCCACCCTGCACAACCAACCGGAACGATACAGACGCGGCGCAGACACGAGACGAAGGAATCACCTTAATTACTTCTAAGATCACTTCCCTATCGAAAACGAAGGCAATGTATATATCAAATGAGTATATATCTATATATTTTATTACTTAGATGGGTGGACGAGCTCACAGCCCACCTGGTGTTAAGTGGTTACTGGAGCTCATAGACAACTACAACGTAAATGCGCCACCCACCTTGAGGTATAAGTTCTAAGGTCTCAGTATAGTTACAACGGCGGCCTACCCTTCAAACCCAAACGCATTACTGCTTCACGGCAGAAATAGGCTGAATGGTGGTACCTAACCGTGCGGACTTTGAAGAGGTCCTACCACCAGTAAAAAATCAGTAATAGTGCAAATCGGTGTTGATCTTATCTATTAGAATTGTTCCAACTGTTTTCATCAGTCCACAACACATGATGATAGCCCGCACTAACCCAGAGGCCGTTTCAAGTATTTGGCGTGTATGGCCTGGGAGACCTGCAGCAGGGCGCAGGCGAGCCCTCGGATGACGTCACGCCTCGCCTTCAGCTCGTCGCCCTCTACCTTGACTCCGTTCACCCTGGCGGCCTCCAGGTAGTAGCCGGGGTCGCGGTATTTGTTCACCGGTATCGACTCTAGCTCTGTTTCGTCAAGATCTATTGAAATAAGAAATTAAAATGTTTATTATCTATTATAAATAAAATTGGAGTGTCTGTTTGTAATATTGAAATAACCGCTTTTTACAACATGCATATGAATATATATACCGTACATAAACCAAAATAACATTTTTTACAATTTTTGTCTGTCTGTCTGTTTGTTCCGGCTAATCTCTGGAACAGCTGGACCGATTTTGACGGGACTTTTACTGACAGGTAGCTGATGATATAAGGAGTAACGCTACTTTTTTAGACTAGCTTCGCCCCGCGGCGTCACTCACGATACGACAATAACCGCGGGTAACATCGCGGGACTCAACTATTCAATAATAAAATTTAATGTTTCCGAAGCGAAGCGAGGGCGGGTCGCTAGTTAAGAATATAATAAGACTATTCCAGAATGACGGACTTTCTTTGACTGACCAGACTTGCTGGCAGTGAAGTGATATCACGTAAATGATTTTCTTTTTTCTATTTAAAATATTGGCTTAATATCGAATGTATTTAGCAATGCAACCTTGTGTGGGATTAATTTTTTAATTATTGCTCCGATCATTTTACCTTAGAGTTAGAGATCCAAAGATTATACAAGTAAATACCTTGAGGAATATTCAGAACGCCGTTGGGCTGGTGATAGTCATCTCTGTACATTTGGTTGGGGCCCCAGGTCAGGTAGTCGGCTTGTTTGTCGTACCCGCGCAGCATTATCGTCCCGCGCCACGCCTCGCGGTCCTGTTTGTATTAGCATGTGGTTAGTTAACACCGATTAATACAATTAGGGTTCAAGAATCATAAAATAATCATATTTTACAAAACTCTGTCTTAAATAGACAAAGAGGAAAAGTGGTTAAAATTCGACCATAGTCAAGTTCATTTATTACGCAGTAAGAGTCAACAATATGAAATAACTTTCTTCACATTAGTTTCCCTTCCTAGTTCATTGGAATTGGGAACCGTAATCAGGACTGGTCAGGTAAATATTAAAAACAACACTCACCTTAACTTTAAGGGCTCCAAGGCATCCGTAGTGAATCTTCTCCTCGAGATCGAGGATATAGTCGCGAAGTACCAGCTCCACGGCCTCGGCCAGCGAGGAGTCGCGCGGCACGGTGAGCGAGGGGGGCGGGGGGCGGCGGCGCGTGTAGTGCGGCGCGGGGGGAGGGGGAGACTGCGGGAACGCACATTGTTAGCTGTTATATTCTAAATGTAATAGTACCAGCCCTTCTGCTTCTATGTCTTTGTTCTTTTTTTCTTTTCATTCAGTAAATCTTACAATGGTGATGAGAATTCACAGGATCTACTATCTTTATCATGTAACTAATCATCATCAACATTTGATTCACAGGTTCCCATAGAATATAATGCCCTGTAGTATTCTTTAGTCGAGTTAAACCTGGCTCGTTCATGTAACGATAGTAAGTATAAAAACTCACACTAGCAGCAGATCCATTGAGGTACTTGACAGGACATTTCCTCAGGTACTGAATGATGTTGTCCTTGTCCAGCTCCAGGCTCTGTCGGAGCTCACTTTCCCTAATACCGCGCTTGTTTAGAGACTGGATCAATGCTTCTATCTGTTCCTCTGTGTGGTAGACCCACCATTGGGGCCGGTCGACCTGATAATTAATTGTGTTATTTATACTATTTAGTGATTTGTTCATATCGGTTACTTGTAATGATAAGTTCAAATCTTGTTTATTAAGTAATGGATTGTAATTTTAAATTTAAGTCTACTGAAACAAATGTCTATTATAGAACCCTATTCCTTTTTCAGATCACATAGGAATCTAGTTTTTGTAGCCATTTCTAATACTTTTTATGATTTTCCATATTATGTTCCCTTTATGTAAAACAGTATATTAACTATTATGTAGACTATATTATAAATTTGTAAAGCTGAATTTACAAATAACTTTTGTGAAATTTGTGTTGTCTTTCTAGTGTAAGTGTTGTAAGACTCACCTTTCCATGCACCTTGCAAGTAGAAAGATCTCCGCTGCAGATCAATAGCTGTTGTGTGATATCATCGAACCCGTTCCTGTGTGTTAAGCCATTGATGTTCGTGAGCGGTTTCTTTGGGGAATTCCCCCGTGAATTTGCTGCCGAATCATTTTCTTTATCACTACTCGCTGAAAAGGATATTTTTACGACTGTAAGAGACACCAACAATCACTTAAACTCATGTCAGAAATAGAAAACATTTAATTGTTTAAATAACGTTATTCATAATGCAAACAGGTTGCAACGAATTTAGTTTAATATTAAATGCATTAAAAAAATTATTGATACAAATTAAGCTAAGCTTAAGTTGAGGTCGCTGATATTAAATTTCCAATTATTAGTCACGGTTGTAGTATTTTAATTTTAGTTATGTAAAAGTCTACATCATAGTTTTTAGACATTTATGTATATGCCCAACATAATAAATATTAAAAGTTTTATTCCTTACTTATGACTAGGAATTCCGGTGGCTGTGTACGATACATAGCTTTCTATGAAACAGTAATGACACTCACTGTGTGGATTTCATACCTTTTTCCTTTTCGGTTTCAAACAATCTAGTGACATAGGTGAGGGTGTCCTCTCCGTGCTCAGGAGCGGAAGGCAGCGGCTTGTCGCGGCACGGCCCGCGCGGCTCGGTGCCCGCCTCCACGAACAGCCCGGCCACGGCCTGGTTGAGCCAGTAGCGACGGTAAGCGCGATCCATGCCTGCGGAAAATAGTTGAGTTCTCAAATCAATTTTCTTTTCAGCACGTTCAAGTGGAGTTTTTGAAGTGAAACTTCTTTAGAATCGTTGTGATTTCAAACTCGATGAAACGAAAAAATAAGTCCATAGAGACATGTATAGGATTCAGCCGGAGAGAGAATGAGATAGAACACATTATACGTGAAGTTAAAATATCAATTCACAGAGGGCGCTACCTCATACTATAAAAGTTGATCTACAATTATTTCGTTTATTTTTAAATCTCAATTTAGATCATAAATTCTGTAATTGACTCAACTAACCAAGATAAGAAGAATAGTCGAACAATCCGATTTGCAGTTCTTTTAATTTCTTTTCGTACTCTTTCTTTTTCTCGTCGTTTTCTTTGTTCAGCTTCTCTGTGTCGACTTTAAGCTGTTCGTCTATAGCTCGAGCTTTTTCGCCAGAGAGCTTGTTCTCCTCTTTTTTAGCTGCAGCTTCTTTCTTAAGATCTTGTTTCGACGCGAGCAGTTGCGCTTCGCGTTTCCTTTCGTTTATCTGAGGATGAAGGATGATGCATTCAGCAGCCCATCTCGATAACAACTTTTGAACAATTATAACCAACATTTGTTATCGTTAGACTTATACCGGTTTGGAAAATAGAAATGGCCGTGGAAAAGATAAACTGAAAATTTCGAATTTAGTACTAGTATGAGCATGGTTTTATTGAGATTTGGATTAATAGAAAACAAATAATGTTTCATTATACCTGTAAAAGTCTCAAAGCTTGCTTAGAATTCTTGTGTTCCTCGAGTTTTTCCTCAATGACATCACGGACAGTCGCGTAAGTTAGTATCTGGTTCATCAAGCACTGGAGTATTTCGAATTTGTCATCTGAAAACAAGATCAATCCATGTTTTTTTATTACCTAGTTTAATGACCGAGAGGGACGCTTTCCTAGTCAATCAGAGCCTCTAGACATCGCAATGTGAATACCGCCCCCACCTAGTTCTACTATAGTCATGTAGTACCATTCAAATCGGAACGCATTATTACTTTGCGGCTGTAATAGGGAGGGTGATAGTAGCTTTCAGGGCGGGCTTACAATACGCTCTTCCACCACTACATCGCCCCGGTCATCGTTCTCGTCGAACCCGTCGCCAGCGACGAAGGGTTCGACGAGTAAATTAACCCTCAGACACAGCCCACTGAGTTTCTCGCCGGATCTTCTCAGTGGGTCGCGTTTTCGATCCGGTGGTAGATTCTGCGAAGCACGGCTCGTGCTAAGGTTCGAGTTAGCGACGTCGTCAGGTTTGAGCCCCGTGAACTCACCAACTAATTAAGGTTACGCTGAAATAGCCTCTCAAGGCTCTCAACTAGGTAGAAAAAAAAACACTAGTATACTGGTTTCACAACTGCCACGCACAAAATCGGTGCAGTGAAAGCTACATGTAGTTACCTAGTCCGAGCTCAGCCACGTGGTACTTGGCGAGCCGCACGAGCAGCTGTGGCGCGCGCCGGCGCAGTCGCAGGCCGGGGTCGTCGAGCGAGGAGTAGCCGCCGCGCTGCGACGCGCGCCACGCCGCGCCCCGCGCCGTGCCCGCCGCGCCCGACGACAGCAGGTGCAGCCTGACACAACGTCACACGAGCTCAACAATGCAGCTCCAAGTGTCCTTGTTTCATCATTTATGTCAAAATTATAAAAAAAAAAATTCGATCGATTCTTTCATTATGAACAAATGAAGTGAAAATGTACAGTAGGCGCGCGAGTTCATGTCCATCCTGAGGAATGCGGTAGTGCTGTGACCTAGTTAGTTATGATAATGTCGATAATAACTACCGATTTAGTCAACAGCTGTCAATTTGGTTTAACGTAACTTAAGGTAATTTTGCAATTTATGAAATAAAATAAATGTGATAAGTAATTACTTGTTTATTTCTAATAGAGAAAAATATTTTTTAAATTCCAATTCAATCACTATCAAATGAAAAGACAACCGACAGACCAGAATCGGAATCAGTATGATTTTTTCAGTAGGTTTTTTTCTATCTGAACTTGTTGAAAGCGGAGTAATCATGGTTAAATAACACAATAGCGTTAGCGTAAATTTTCGATATCGATAAGCGCACGTCACAACCGTCAAGGACAACACTCGACGTCAGACAAGTGCGGGCAGGCGGGCGAAGGTGGGGCGAGGTGTCCCCCGCGCGGTGCCTCTGGCCTCGATGGACATGAACTCGCGCGCATACAGTAATTCGTATTAGATTAAAAATTGCCTGCATGCAGGATGATAAAAAGCTAGATAGATATATTGTTGAGCACCTTATTTTAAGTATTCTTAAAGCTTTCATACCTCAGTATCTCACTGACAGTCAACGCATCCATGGGAAGTTTGCTGAGCGGAGTCCCGAGGTAAGTTTGAGACCATTTGCTTGCTTTAGTGGCGAGCTCTACGGCTTTTGCGACGCCCACATCCGGGAACGCTTCCTTATCCTCTGCAATTCAAACAAATTAATCAATTAATCCTAAAATGGTTCAAGTACAACTTTTTTATACTTTTTGTTTTGCTTAGTCATGTGCACATGTGCAATTATGTTGCAAGCCAGATTTTGTTTCTTTTTACTTGTGTTTTTTATGTATCTTTTTAGCTTGTGATGTGTATTGTGTGCCTAATAAATATGTAAATAAAATAAATAATTAAACGATCAATCAAAACTTCTAGTATGAACAGATAAATTATTATTGTAAAATGATAGAATAAATTATGGCCTTTATTAGTAATACTTTTTTCTGTAGATTACTAATTTTTTACACACGTGTAATGTTTCTACTTACGCCAGCGTCTTGTTTATGGAGCGACATTTTATTACTATTGGAGATTTTGTGACATGTAGTATGTTTTATTTATTTTTCCCAAGTACCCACTTTTTTTTTACATATACTCTACTTTCTACAATCAATATGTACTCAAGTGCTAAAAGTAGATACAACTTATGTAGAAAACTACAATTCTACAAGTGGAATAAATTATTTAGAAATCTCACCATTGGAAAGGTGTATTCCACCATTCTCATTATAATCTTCAGCCTCATCTTCTTGAAGTCCAAATATTGTAGTCAAAAACATCTGGATTATATCACAGAAGACTCCAGAGTGCTCTTTCATTGTTAATGCCTTCCGTAATGTTTCTATATCAAGTGCTCCATGTAAGAAGTCTTTCGATTTTAAGATATTAGAGTATAAGTGCACAAACTCAAGAACTGAGAGGAAGTCTCCTATATGACTTTGAGATATTCCTTCAATATCTATTGGAATGCCTTTTGGTATCATCTGAAATAATAGTGTTATTATTTAATAATTATCCCAGTAGGAATTGGGATGAGGCTTTGCTGTGTTGTGGCAATGTAGGGGGCACGAAATTCAAAAAACAAATGAGCAATGACCAATGATGTATTACAACTAGATAGGTTTGAATATTTTCAATAGATGTACCTTCAAGTTGATTCTTTCCATTATAATTGACTCGATTCACATAGCAACTTTCATTACCTTGTGGTCCTCAAGATCCAAATCATCTTTCACTTTCTGCCATTCTTTAAGATATGCCTGAAGCCTTGCATTCTTCTCCTTCTTCTTGGCTTTTTCCTCTTCTTTACGCTGTCGCATCTGATCTTCAGCTCTGCGCATTTTCTCTGCAAGCTCTTGAGCACTTTTCTTTGCAGCAGGATCAACTGGCATTTTGGGTTTTGCTGCTGGAGAATATATAGTGAAATTAAATTGGTAACCATATTCCCTATTAAATATTTCAGATTAGAACTCTTTTGATTGTCATAATGAGGCAGTTAAAGAGTACATTAATTGATGCTAAGCATTCACTTATTTCACTCAAATATCTATATTTGTAAACAAAGACATTAAGAAAATATAAATAAGGTATTTTGATGGAATTTCGATCATCAGACAAACAATAGATACAACAAAGTACCTTCAGTTTTATCAGTCTTTTTCAAAAATTTATCCATAGATTCTTGTCTTCCTTTTTTATCAGGACTTGGTTTTTTGAGTGATTTATTCAGTTTCGTAGCAGATGCAGGCTTGTGCTGAACTTTAGTTGCTGCTGGAGATTTGAGGAGTTTTTTTGAGGATTCAAACTCAGGCGGATTCCCAGTAAATATCTGACTGAAACTAACTTTGCTGATGTTGTACTCATTCAGGGCTGATTTCTGAAACAGCAATTCAGTTATATTAAAAAAAAAGATATAATAATTGCGGTTAGATTAACAGAGTAGGATTGGGTAGTAGGGCATATTTTGTACTATAATTCTGGCAATTTCTGTCATAAAGCTACCAGGTATTTCAGTTTAAAGGTGTAGATGATCATTATGCAATAGAATTCGATCTTTTATTTTTCACTGTCAGCTCCCTATATGTATTGTGATAAATAACATATATAGTGTACATAAGCACACACATATAGCATAAGCTATATAACGTAAATACTATTAAATGTTATTGTTAATTCGGTCTCCTATAAAAGTATAGCACTTTTATCATTACTATTAAATCAAAAATATTTACTTGAAAATTGTTATAAGAATTGTTTATTAAACAATTTGGAATCAATTCACAAATAACATACTGACTGAGTTGTTGGTGTAGCAGTTAGTAATCCTGACTGTTGTGTATAGGGCCGTGGGTTTGATTTCCACATAGGGAAATCATTGTGGGATGAACAGGTTTGTTTGCTCTTTGTCTGAATGTATACATATATATATAATATACTATTATATGTATATATTTAAACATATGTAAGAATGTTTATCAGCCTCTGGTACCCATAACACAAGGTATTCTAAACTGGAGCCAGATGACTGTGGGTGATTTGTTCCCAGTTCTTATTATTATTATACTAATTCATATTAAGGATGCCTCATTAATTAGTCAACTTACTTTGATACATATGTAACCTCTATACGATTTATCTTCAAAGAGGTTAATATGTTATAAAAATGACATAAATAGAATTTCGAATATTGAAACATTATAAGAAGGAACATGAGAAATATAAAAGCATTTTGAAATATTGAAATATAAAAAATATAAAAGTTGTGGTGAAGCAATAGCTTTAAATGTTGTTTCTCTTTATAGAGCAACTCAATTTGTGCTATAGCACTATAAAGAGAAACTATAGTTTTACTAAGTTGTAACAGTTGCTCTATAAAGAGAAACTATAGTTTTACTAAGATAAACTGTATTTTGGTGTAAATAAAATAATACATTATACATATAATGTTACCCATAATACAGGGTATCCTGAGCCAGATGACTGTGCATGATTTGTTCCCAGTTCTTATTATTATTATACTAATTCATATTAAGGATGCCTCATTAATTAGTCGACTTACTTTTATACATATAACACCTCCAGGGCCGTGCTCTACAAATTGTTTGAGGAAGAGCCTGTTCTTATCTCTGGAGTAGATGCCTTTACGACGCCGGACACGGTCGAACGGTGCTGTGCCAATCTGGCCCATTGTCGAAGGGGTAGCATCAGTATATTGTTCCACTTCATAGACATATGATGCAGCGGAAAGGATTGCTTTGCTGTCGACAATTAAAATTTAATTTTTTATCATTTTAAATTCATACTTAGGGTTATAAATTAACCAAAGAAATTTGCATCCAGCACATGTACTTGTTTGCTCATACATTCATCAGCCACTTTTTTTCAGTTTTTAATTGAAATCTGTATTATGTATTATTTATGACCTTGAATTTTATTATAAGGTTAATTATTTCATCTTTTCAAATTATTTAATCCTTGAGATTTTAAAATTTATAATTTAAATTATAGGTAAGCATGAGCTTGTATTTTAGAAATGTGACAAGCTGTGTTCTATTGCTATTTGAAGTCAGACGATCATAAACCCCATCTAATGGTAAGTCACCACCAATGCAAAAAAGTTCTGCAATGATTTCAGTTTTCCAGTTTCACAACAGCATTTAGTAATTTATTTACATTAGTGAATAAGTATATGTTTGTGTTCATAGGTACTGCTTTCTCTGATGTCCATGGACATCAACATTTTGAAACTAAATAGGCTCATTTATTTTTACATAAAATATGTACCACATTCATTCTCCATCATTTTGCTGATCTTAACATGGCTTTTAATATTTTAAGAACTTCCTATACTCTGCAACTTTCTTTAATTTCCTAATTTTTTTATGTATCTTATTTTTAATTTCAAAAAAATGTATACAAGAACAACAATTAACATAAAAAAATATTAAGAATTAATTACATAATGTAATATCAAATTTAATTGCTTATTAAGCAGATGAATTCAAACAATATTATAACTCATAATATCAGTAATCAGTTTTGAAATTTATTTTCTTGTAGTGGATAATATGATTAGAAACATTTATTGCTTGATGCCAATTGTTTTGGAGACATGTTTTCAATGTCCTCTTTAATTTGAAGTCCTAGCAGAATATTGTTAATTATTAAGAAGTTATTATTTATTATTATTAGAAGTTATTATTATTGTTAATTATAAGAATAATATTTTTTACTGGTGGTAGGACCTCTTGTGAGCCCCCACGGGAAGGTACCACCATCCTGCCAATTTCTGCCGTGAAGCAATAATGCGTTTCGGTTTGAAGGGTGAAGTAGCCGTTGTAACCATACTGAGACCTTAGAACTTATATCTCAAGGTGGGTGTCGCATTTACGTTGTAGATGTCTATGGGCTCCAGTAACCACTTAACACCAGGTGGGCTGTGAGCTCGTCCACCCATCTAAGGAATAAAAAAAATAAAAATATATTATTAGTATTGGTAATGATTCAAAGTATTGTAGGACTCACCTGTCAGGATGCTGCTTTTGTGCTGTCACTGACAGGATGTGAGCCTCTGTCCAGTGATCTCCCTCCAGGCAAGCCTCTATTGTCTCTCCCACAAAATATCTGTCCCTCACAAAATTGAAAACATCCTCAGACATTTCCGCAAAGGAGCATCTATTAGTCCTGGCTGCCAGATACAATATTGGTATACGGAGCTCCATTGGGAAATCTTTCAACTGGTTCCTGGCGGCTTTCTCAGAGGCCAAAGCTTCCGAATAAGTCAAGTTGTTCTTGCCAGTCATCTCACATGTCCAAACCATCGAGTTAACGAGTATAATACGTTCGCAGTACTCCCTGGAAAGATTATTAAAAAAAAATACCGTAAAAATATGACGCGAATGACAGAAATAGCAAAAATATTGTGTCACGCTCGCTTAGTTCCGCGAGTCGTGTGCGCTGACAATGCCAACGGTCTATTAAGATAGATAACTTTGGTTAAACACGCAAAATATGCAAAAAAATCGGCGAATTCATATAAGCAGTTCGATACTCACTCATAGTCTTTGAATATTTCGTCGGTGATCTCGCAGTGGAAAACCTCATCGTCGTCTCGGAGGTACTCTGAAGCCGTCGATTTCTCGAAGGCTTTTCTTTTCAACAGAGGCATGTTGTGAGTTCGCGGGTCACCACTGAGGAAACACGATTCTCACACTGTTTTACAGTAGCACTTATCCTCTTTATAGCTAAACTTTATGCGGCACATCTATACCGATCTAATATTAATTAGCACTGAAGAAAAGGGTAACTGTTTTCAATATTAAATCCGAGAGAAAAATGTTGCGTGGTTTCGGTTGACAAGCCAAAAAACGGCGCGCTGCGGCGCTTCTTTTTACGCCAGAAGAAACATATGAACGGGGTTACAGTAAAAACTAAGTACAATGTGGTTAGTAGATTTTTTAAAGTGATTATAGTTATGGCAGCTTTTATTTAAAAAAGAATCGCACTTCAAACCAGGTTTTAGTATTTACGTTCAGATCCATTCAGATGTTTAAAAAGCCCGTTTTAAAAAGCAAAGCGCTCTATTACTGGTGGTATAGAAGTAGTCGAAAGTCAGATAGGAAAGAAAGTCATAAAGAGAGTTTGAAGTTGTCGTGACCTAAAGGATAAGACTTCCGGTGCATTTGTATCTAGCGGTGCACGAATGTTCGAATCCCGCAGGCGGGTACTAATTTTTCTAATGAAATACGTACTTAACAAATGTTCACCATTCACCATTGACTTCCACGGTGAAGGAATAATATCGTGTAGTAAAAATCAAACCCAAAATTATAATTTGCGTAATTGCTGGTGCTAGGACATCTTGTGATTCCGCAGGTAACACTACTCTGCCTATTTCTGCCGTGAAGCAGTAATGCGTTTTAGTTTGAAGGGCGGGACAGCCGTTGTACTATACTGACTCCTTAGAGCTCATATCTCATGTTATAGGACGGCATTTGCGTTATAGATATCTATGGGCTTCGATTACCACTTAACATCAAATGGGTCGTGAGCTCGTTCAGCCATAATGAAAAAATAATAATTAAAAAAACTTCTACCGAGGACAGAAAACGTATAGCCAAAGATGGATGCGATTCTCTTCGACAATTTGTTCAAACTAGCCAGTTTTTTTATTTAGATCTTCTGGTTATAACATTATAACATTTTTGCGATGCCCACTTTTCAGTTACGTAAATGTAATTTTTACTGCATAAATATTACTAAACTAAATAAAAAAAAATTGTTGGAAGTTTTAATTACATATTTAAATTACAAAAACGACTAGTTGGAAAAACGGTTAACTAACTTTAAACTACTACATTTAACTGGCATAGAAATACATTTTTTTCCTGTAGTTATTATTTATAGCCAATACTTGGTAACATTATTTTGTGTTCGAAATCGTCAATACAATGATGACAACTAACGTTTTGGCAGTAAGTGTCAAAATTTATTCCAAAGGGAAGGTACAGGATGAGTAAAATGTAATTTTATTTTATATTGTGTGCATTTAGTTTAAATAGTGAATACGATTATTGTTTATTATTACTAAACAGTTTAATTCTACTCAAGTGCAATGCCTAAGGAACAATATAGAGAAACCTATGTCGGTCGAAAAATGTAAGTAAGGTTATGTTTACTATGTGTTTTGGATAAGTTGACAAAAGTTTAATTTGTATATTTTAGGTACTTAGATATTTTTGCAATTCAATAAACTTTTATTGTACCCTTTTACTACTTAAATAACTAGTTTAATACCTTCTTGATGGCCTAATCGTCGCAGGCCAACAAACAGATTATAAGACAAGTAATTTTTGAAAATTACTTTGGTTTGCATTCTCTAATTATTTATAAAATGCATTAGCTTAGCTAACTAAAATTTAAGTATGAATAATAACTAAAATACAAATAACGAACAAGTAAATAAAAAAAAAAACAATGACAACTCAAATATTATAAAGTATGCAATTAAAAGTTTAGCTTAAATCAATAAAAGCTTGGTGAGACAAACGTAACTAGTTACAGATATTAGAAAATAATAAAATCTGACTTCAATATTAACAATGTAAGTACAACCTTACTGTGTTATGGTTACTCTCATTTTTTTTATTTTCTACTAACACAAATATTCTTTTATTTAAAATAAATTCTTTCATTTTTATCTTTTAATGTACCAGTGTTAAATGTTAAATGAAAACTGATATGGATTTTTTTAAGCCGTTTTTATTTATAATGAAAAATTTTTGGCAAAACATATTTCTGATACATAATTTGTTCTAGTTCGCATGTAACATTCAATGTAGACAGTCCATCGCTCATCCAGCAATCTGCTCACATTGAGGTCATCACCAAGAACTTATTTCTCCAAGATGGCCAACGTGTGCCGGCACCTCATGGAGTTCTTGACAGGCGAATGGTAAATAGTACTAAATAAGGAGGGAGAGGGATATTGACTCGAGGGTTTGCTATATTGATCAAACTGTTATTGGAAAATAGAAATAGAAAAAAAACCTAAAGTTGTTCTGAAAAGGCTGAAAATAAAGTATCAAATCTAAATAATGTAAATAATATTATATGACATCAGAGCTGTGTATTTTTTAAATTATTAAGTCAACTATGATTTAAAGTAAAATTTTGGGGCTTTCAACAAAAACATAGTTAAAGTGTATGTTTTGACTAACAAAATTGCATAGTAAAATCAAGGCAATGCTAAGTGGAATTATAGATCAATAAGAAACCAATTGGAAATATGGTGAAGTGTAATATTTATGTATGTAGGTATAAAAATCAATTACCACATGTAAGACAGAGCACCACAGACAGACTGATGCAGAATGGCTCAACAAATTTGACCATTCTTTTGATTTGATTTAATTTTCTAGTTCACTATAGGCAGTAGTTAGTCAATCTCAGACACACATTATTTTTGAAAGAAGTGGTACTATGCAAAACAATAATTTTCATTTCTTATAATTTTGTTTGTAGATTGTATTTAGAGGGAATATAGCAAATCAATGTCTTTTAATCTGGTTTTCAGGGCACTAATCAGAAAGATGCCAACTGTGAAACTTGCGGATTGGGTTTGGCTGAATGTGTCGGGCACTTTGGGTACATACAACTCACATTGCCCGTGTTCCATGTTGGATACTTCCGAGCTATCATAACGATTCTACAGACCATATGCAAGGTAAGGCACAATAATAATTCTCAAATTTTCAACTACAACCCAGTTCTTTTTTCTTAAATAATTATTCTATAAATATTTCATATATTTCTGTAATTAATATCTGGGCTATTAGCTATTCCGTAATTGACTCTCAATTAAGTTCTATGGTCTAATTCGAAGGGTACAGCAGCCATTATATAATACATGTAGATTTGAGATTTTGTATGATATGTGATATATTTGAAGTTGGATGGAGACATTCACATTATAACTTAACATCAGGCTGTAAGCTCAATTATTCATGTATGCAAAAAACCTAGTTCACAGGATGTACAAGCAACATTGTTTAGTAAAATCAAACTTCTGGCTTAAAGCAGTTGGTGCAAGCTCACACTGGGCAGTACCGCCACCTTGCCTATTTCTGTAGTGCACATATGATGTTGTGGAATGCAATTGAGACTACTATCTCAAACTGGATGGCGCATACGTTGTGACTTTAATTAAAGTTTAGTGGTAGACCAAACCTTTTTTTTTCTTTTTTTATAAAGAGTTTGGCTCCAATACCTTTGGCATTGATTTTGCCAATGTCAAAGTATTTACAAAAATGACAGGTGCTTAGAGAGGAAAAAAAATACTAAATCTAAATACAAATAAATCTGGTCAGTTTTCCATACGCGAATCTGTGATTTTAAGAGCAGCCCAAACAAATATAAATCAATCTTTAAAGATAAATGTTATTAGCAAATAAAAATTTACACAGAATATTTACATGCTTAGAATAGACTAAAGTTAATAAGCAATTAATATTAATAGGCCAGGGAATGTCATTTGGAAGGATATCATAACGAGGGGATACGATATTGGGGCAGTCGAAGAAAATATGATCCAAAAACCCTGGTTTACTAATGCAAACAAGCAAACGAGGTTGAGGAGCTAGTTACAATTTAACACAAAATAAATTTTCTTTTTGAATCAGGAATGTGCGAAAGTGATGTTACCTGAATCACTGAAGAAATCATACCGCAGGAAGTTCATCAACCCCGAAATGTCGTACCTGCTCAAGAAAAACCTCAAGGCAGTAGTCCACAAGAAAGCGAAGACCTTCAGCAAGTGTCCGTCGTGTGAGGCCATTAACGGCATGGTTAAAAAAAGTTCAATTGGCATATTAAAAATAGTGCATGAAAAGTACAGAGCTAAGAAACCAACAGATCCAATTGTAAAGAAGGTTTTAATGGATTTTCATGAAGCGAAGGAGTCCAATAAGGAGGTTGCGGCCATGATCAACAGCGGACTTGTTAAGGAAATGAGTCCTTTAGAGGTAAGAAACTTATATATAAAAAAGAGTACTGTATAATGAGGAACTCGATGGAATTGGCTTTGCTTAAAACACTTAAGTTCCGACCACCTTTCTGGGCGTTGAATTCCGACCTCAAGCTCGGTAACAATATTCATTGCTTTTTGATTAGAGTCGTCGAGTTAAGAATCAATGTGCGATATACTACAGATGCTCTATACCTTTCACATACACCTAAAATAAAAATTCAATGATGTTTACTCAAATCGACACAAATTAATAATTATTCATTTTGTTTTCCTAATGTTGTAATGAGGTCAGATAATTTGTCATAAATGCCTGAGCCAAGTAACATGGATGAAAATGGAACAAGATGATGTTATTGTTGCCACCAAAGTAAATAAGACATTGACTTTCCTCCACCAGGTACTGAATTTATTTCGACGTATCCCAGACGAGGACATTCCCCTCCTCGGGATGAACGTGAAGCTCTCTCGTCCTGAGGACCTGATCCTGACCCGACTGCCGGTGCCGCCGCTCTGCATCCGACCTAGCGTCGTCTCCGACATCAAGGCTGGAACGTAAGTGCAAAGCTTGCGCCACGCGAAAGCTTCATGTGGTTTGCCCGATTACAAATGATACACACATCCAATTTAGAAGATCGTTGTGGCTACAGCATTTTGAGTTCTCACTATCTTAAGTACGGCAACCGCAAAAATGAAAGAATTATATATGACGGAGTGAGCGGTGACGTCAGAGATATGGCGTTAGCGACTACCGCCACATTGTTATTACAAACGATGACGTCATTCTGTTAGTTTTTGTCATTGCCTTCCATAGTAAATAAGACTCACTTTTACAATGAGTTCCATTTATTACATTTCAAGTGTAGAGGGATAATAACAGAGAGAGCTCTGCCTCATTCGGTTGCAGGGCTCTGAAACTGCATAAAATAAATCTTTTGTTTGTATAGAAACTAGCGACATCTTGTAGCGGATGCCCCTAAACATATATGTTGTTAAAGTTAAGGCATTTAATTATTGTATAACTAAACACAGAAAAAAAATCATACAAGTCTTCATTTCTTATAGACAAATTGATAAAATTTTATCAATTTGTGGATTCTAAAAATTTACAAAATCCTTCATTAAAAGTAAAATATAGGATAGGTAATATTTTACTGCCATCTACAAGAGCAATGAGAAACTAATCGAAGCGAAGCCATCTAGTGGTCGACACCCGTAAACATTTTTGTTGAGTGCTTTGGTGTTGCCTATCTAGAACTAATTTATGCGTATTATTTATGTTCGGTTGCCCGAGACGGTATTTGTGCGACAATAGTCATTCGTGTTTATAGTAGAAAATAGGGCTAGCTTAGTCATGAATTGTTATGAACACCGTCTTAAACAATTATTTACACGCGTTGGACTTAAAATAGTCAGCAAACTATTTCAATATTAAGGAGATAGTTAATGTCTAATATTAGTTACTGCCTCTCTAATCTTAGTTATTGTTTAGAAGGGTGGACGAGCTCACAGCCCACCTGGTGTTAAGTGGTTACTAGAGCCCATAGACATTTACAACGTAAATGCGCCACCCACCTTGAGATATAAGTTTTAAGGTCTCAGTATAATTACAACGGCTGCCCCACCCTTCAAAAATAGTAATGTTGCGCTGATATATATATATATAGACTGAGTTCTACTGTCGCTGTATCATAAATACACTCTTATACCGGACACGCTTATCACCAGCAACGAAGACGACCTGACAATGAAGCAGTCTGAGATACTGCTGATCAACGACGTGATAGCGCGGCATTTGGCCAGCGCCGGCAAGTGCGAGCTCATACAGGAGGACTGGGACTACTTGCAGCTGCACGCGGCCCTCTACATCAACAGCGAGATGTCCGGGATACCGCTCGCGATGCAGGTAAACCGGTTCTCGAATAAATATACCCAAAATTAACGTGGTTGTTTTGGGCTTTACATAACACCTGTATTTTGGGCTTTAGAATCAGATCCCCTACCTGGTGCTTTATTTATTTATTTTTATTGCTTAGACTAGCTGACCCGGCAGACTTCATAGTGCCTCAATCGATAAACAAAAGACCTAAACTTTTGTATAAATTAATAAAACAAACAAAAGGAATCCGTCCGACGAGGGACACATCAAAGGAAAAAACAAAATTGTTATTTTTATTTAATTCTAAACATTTTCATATTTATTTACCTTTCAAACCTTCTCTGGACATTCAAGACCAATTAGCCAAATCGGTCCAGCCGTTCTCGAGTTTTAGCGAGACTAACGAACAGCAATTCATTTTTATATATATAGATGGGTGGACAAGCTCACAGTCCACTTGGTGTTGAGAGGTTACTGGCCATAGACAGCTACAACGTAAATGCCGCCACCCACCTTGAGATATGAATTCTAAGGTCTCAGTATAGTTACAACGGCTGCTCCATCCTTCAAACCGAAACGCATTACTGCTTCACGGCAGATATAAGCTTCGTTGGTGCGTCTTGAGTGTTTTGTCATGTTCGTCTCAAAGGGAAGATCAGAGATGAGTCTTCGGCGGTAGACAAGGGCATTGTTGTAGTCATTACTTGTGGCATCATGAGTGGTTTTTATGGCGCATATGATTGAATGAGCTCGTCTGGTGTAAAGTGGATACCGAGACCATATACATCAGAACGTGTAAGCCGCCCCCCATCGTGAGACATGAGATCAAGTCTCAATTGTACAGTACAACGACTGCCCCACCCTTCGACCGGGACTGATGCGGTCTTACTGCATAAAACTTTATTTGACACGTTTTACAGTCCGTATGTATCGTGATGACGTCTACATGCTCTGTAAACTTTCTCGGTTCATAGTTTAAACAATAAATATATACCTTGGGCTACTGAGTGATAATCCAGAAGTCGCATCACGCAGACGGGTACAAATAAGCTTCTTTCAGACTACGCTATAATACAATAGTATATATTGTTATTATTAAGTTGCACCAATAAAGTCATCATCAATACAAAACATTGACAAATTGACAAAAGTTCATGGCAGATGTCACCTCAATTATAGGTGCAATCGACAGTGCATTATCAACAAAAGATATATATATATATATATATCTCTAAGATTTGATTACATTTGATTGATTGTTTAAGATTAATATGGACACGTTCACACTGTACTGTACCATATATTATTGGCTAAGTACAGGCCGCCATACTATATGGCACTATAGTATAGCGTAGTCTGAAAGCAGCTATATTCTTCAAGTTCAGGCAGCCTAATAAAGTAGAGAATTCCTTCGACAGCCCAAAAAACCGGGCCGGGGCTTAGTGCAGCGGCTCAAGGGCAAGCAGGGCCGGTTCAGGGGCAACTTGTCCGGGAAACGAGTGGATTTCTCGAGCAGAACTGTCATCTCGCCGGACCCGAACCTGCAGATACAAGAGGTGGGTTCGTGCTGGTCGCGTCACTTTTTTTTCCTACTTATGCTGATGGCCTTTTTATCTGTTTCAGATTTTTTTTTATTGCTTAGATGACTGGACGAGCTCACAGCCAACCTGATACTAAGTGGTTACTGGAAAGTTCTAAGGTCTCAGTATGGTTACAACGGCTGCCCCACCCTTCAAACTGAAACGCATTACTGCTTCACGGCAGAAATAGGCGGAGTGGTGGTACCTACCCGTGCGGACTTACAAGAGGTCCTACCACCAGCTTCTCCTTGAGGTGTAGATGAGCTCTTGGGGCTCAAACCGGAGTGTTGTTAACACTGGCCCTAGCAAGAGCAGTGCTTCGCAGAATCCACCACCGGATCGGAAACACGACCCACTGAGAAGATCCGGCGAGAAACTCAGTGGGCGGTCGCGTCACATCAGACTTACGATCGTTCGCGACCACTGTTAAACCAATAAGTAAATAAATAAATAAATAAATAAATGTGTATTAATTGAAACCAGTGATCCCCCAGTAGTCGAAATTCGACTATAATTTAAAACTAAAACTGAGAATTGAGAATAGATTAATATTTTTTGTCTTTAATATTATTTTGTCTTTAATATTATTTTGTCTATAGTGTAGTTTTGGCGAAATCTATAATTATAAAGGTCTTTAACAATAGAACTATAATAATGTTCAAACTTACAATTTCAATTAATTATAGTCCAATTTTGACTCCTAGTGGGAGGACCACTAGTACTGTATAATTATTTCTGTTTGTCTGATAAATGTGTGTGTGTATACGTAAAAATATAACGCCTAGCAACGGGCGGCGGTCAACTAACCCGAACAAGGGCTTCAGTAGCCCAGAGGAACTAAATCGCCTTTGAAATTCTGCTTTGGAAGGACGCGGGAACCCACCACTAGCAATTTTCCCAAGAAAACCTTTACGTATGTATTCTGTAAAGGTCACGACCCTCAGCACTGAGGAACACGACGCACGGAGCAGGATACAGCTCTACTCTATCGGAGGTCCCCTCACGATGCCATCACAGATCTTGTGGTTTCGGTTTTGATCTCCAAAGTGTTTGTCTGTGCCCCCCTCCCAGGTGGGGGTCCCGGTGCACGTGGCCAAGATCCTGACGTACCCCGAGCGCGTTTTCCCCGCGAACCTGCAGTGGCTGCGGCGGCTCGTATGCAACGGTCCCGATGTCCATCCCGGAGCCAACTACGTCCAGCAGCGAGGCCTGAAGACCAAAAAGTACCTCAAGTACGGAAACAGGGAGAAGATCGCGCAAGAACTTAAGGTAGGTTAAACTGTTTTTGAAGTTATACTTCTTTAGGCGCGTTATGAAAAATTGATGAGAGTGAAATTTTACGATGCGCGCGCACCGTGACACAAAATTAACAGAATGAAGTTGCCCACTAAATCGCTCATCACAATACGACCGACGTAACTTGGCGAGTCTGAATATAGCCGCAGGTGAACTTTCCGAACCGTACCGAGAATTACCGAGTTTATACGATGTCAAGAAAAGGGATGTCCAATATGCGTGTTTGAGGATGTTGTTTAATTGACTTTTTTCTAATTGATAAAAATTTAAATTAAAAAAAAGAAATAAATTTAATAAAAATACAGTATAACTTCTTACGCGCGTACATAAGTACACGCACCCTTTTTTTATATATAGCCACCTGGTGTTTGATGTTAAGTGGTTACCGGAGCCCATAGACATCTAAAACGTAAATGCCGCCACATATGAGTTCTAAGGTCTCAGTATAGTTACAACGACTGCCCCACCCTTCAAACCGAAATGCATTACTGCTTCACGGCAGAAATAGGTAGGGTGGTGGTACCTACCCGTGCGGACTCGCAAGACGTCATACCGCCACTAATTCATCCTATCAGAGGCAGAGGAGATTGGGCTTCAGATCGATCCCCCCTGCTCCTCGCTCTGCACGTGAGACATTAAAGATTGGAGTGTAAGAGTGTAGAGATTCTGAGGGACGATTCAATCTCGCATTTCGTTTCGCGTGACGAACTGTTATAACCCTTATTTATATGGCACTAAGGTTCGTTCAGCAAAACGCTTATAACTTTACTATTACTTCTTATTCGCAATCGTAATTTAATTATTCTTATTCATTATAATCTCCAATAGTCTCTAAGTTAAAGGTCACTCAATATTCAGACCACATCATTAACACTAATCATACCAACACTCACTGGTACCTGTTTCTACCATAGCGGGTAGATAACGGTATACAACAAGTATTACTCAAAATAAACAAAAGAAAATAACTGTATAATAACTGTAGATTAATTGATAAGAAAAGTCATGACGTCAATGTGCAAAAGCATTAAGATGATACCTGCGTTTGCAATGCAAAAGTTCATGGGTCATTTGACCCGTTATGGAATGTTTAGTGCTAATAATAAATGGTTTCCGTGAAGTGCGGCGACGTGGTGGAGCGGCACCTGGTGGACGGTGATGTGGTGCTGTTCAACAGGCAGCCGTCCCTGCACAAGCTGTCCATCATGTGCCACCGAGCCAAGGTGCAGCCGCAGAGGACTTTCAGGTACGCGCCCTCGGCTCTTCCAGCAGCAAGCTTACAGCGTTGCAGGATCAACCGGTCACCGTCCTCGAGTGAATTAACTCATAGACACAGTCCACTGAGTTTCTCGCCGGATCTTCTCAGTGGGTCGCGTTTCCGACCCGGTGGTATATTTTGCCAAGCACTGCTCTTGCTAAGGTCAGTGTTAGCAACTCTCCGGTTTGAGCCCCGTGCGCTCACCTACTAGTCTAGTTAAGGTTACGCTGAAATAGCCTCTCAAGGCTATCAGCTTAGGCAGGGCAAAAAGTAGAATCAAGGGAAACGAACCCGCCCCCCCCACTTCGCTCAGGCCGTGAAGCAGTAATGCGTTTCAGTTTGAAGGGCGGGGCAGCCGTAGTGAAAAATGACACCTATGAACCTTAGAACGTTGTAGATGTCTATAGGCTCCAGTAACCACTTAACACCAGGTGGGCCGTGAACTCGTCCATCCATCTCAGCAATAAAAAATAATAATCTTTAGTTACTTATCTTTATCGTGATCCTTTAGTGAACTCCCTTGTCGCAGGAGACTGCTCCACGTCATTTCGGATCCTCCCGATATACCTCAAGCACCGATCATCGTTCTCGTCGAACCTTTGCGACGAAGGTCTCGGCGAGTAAATTAACCCACAGACACAGCCAACTGAATTTCTCGCCGGATCTTCTCAGTGGGTTGCGTCGCGTTTCCCATCCGGTGGTAGATTCTGCGAAGCACGGCTTTTACTAGGTTTCGTGTTAGCAACAACGTCAGGTTTGAGTGAATCACCTACTCGCCCGGTTACGCTGAAATGGTCTCTCAAGACCATCAGCTTAGGTTGGGAAAAAAATAATGGCGTGTGGGAGCTGCGTGTAATCTGCATACTTTCCAGTGTTTTTTTTTTTTAATTTTAGTAGCCTGTAGTTCCACTTCCGGCTTCCGTTGATACAGTTCTCTTATGCACTTTGATGGTTTTTCTTCTTTCCCTTGGCAGGTTTAACGAATGTGTGTGCACGCCTTACAACGCTGACTTCGACGGAGACGAGATGAACATGCACCTGCCGCAAACTGAGGAGGCGAGGGCCGAAGCTCTCATACTTATGGGGGTAAAACTATATCGCATTGTAACGACAGGCTTTATAAGAGATGCGGGGATAATAATGTGGAATGTAATTGATTATATGTATCATGCAGGTATATAAGTGTCAGGTAGTGGCCAGAGTTTGTAGACCTCACGACTGGAATGACCTCACCCGTGTCAGGACACGAGGTCCTAGTCTTATGTACTGGTTGTTTCACTCTAAACCGGAGATCTAATTGAGATGGTGGAAACTAACCGTGCCATCAGTAGCGAGGGTTTATGATATTAATGCTCGACAAGCCTGTTTCTTCCAGTCACATCACGGTTCCTACTGCTGTCACTGTTATTATACGTGCTTCTCTGGAACAGAACAAATCGAACCTGGTGACTCCTCGGAACGGGGAGCTCCTGATAGCGGCCACGCAAGACTTCATCACCGGCGGGTACCTCATCACCCAGAGGGACACGTTCTTCACGAAGAGCGAGGCTCAGCAGCTGGCGGCTTGTCTCCTGGCCGGCCCCGACTCCACCATGAGGATAGACATGCCGCCCCCCGCCATCATCAAACCGCGGAAGCTCTGGACCGGGAAGCAGATCTTCAGGTAAACTTCTTTAGTTGGACCGTCATCCCGTTAGATCATGTTTATTTTTATTGGTTAAATGGGTGGACGAGCTCACAGCCCAGCTGGTGTTAAGTGGTTACTGGAGCTCATAGACATCTACAACGTAAATGCGCCAACCACCATGAGATATAGGTCTCAGTATAGTTACAACGGCTGCCCCACCCTTCAAAACGAAATGCATTACTGCTTTACGGCAGAAATAGAATTGGTGGTGGTGGAACCTACCTGCGTGGACTCACAAAAGGTCCTACCACCAGTAATGACATAACGCGTTGTTACAGTTTGATCATGAGGCCCAACCGACGCTGCGAAGTCAAGGCCAATCTAGAAACTAAAGGGAAGAACTACACAGGGAACAAGGATATGTGCGTGCAAGACTCTTGTAAGTGTACACTGTAGCGATTGTAGGAACTTAGAGTAATTTTTCTTGTTTGTCTCCACCTTATCCCACTAGGTGGGGTGGGCACAGCGAATTTTTCTAATCCATTCTCTTCTATTAGCCGGCATCTCAACACTCATTCCTCTCTCTCTCATATCGTCATTCACACACACCATCCATGTCTTCTTCTTATTTTAACTTGGATTAACTATTTTATTTTATTGCTTTCGTGAATGGATGAGATCAGCTCCTGGTGTTACGTGGTTATCGGAGTTCACGGGAGACATGGGCTCTGAGTCTCAATTATCCAGTACAACGGCTGCTCCACCCTTCAAATCAAAATACAATATAACTAGTGGACGGATGAAATAGGTGGGGCAGTGGTACCTACCCTTGCGGGCTCACAATTTTTGTTGTTGCCATTGTGGCTAACGTCATGGTTAGTGAATACCACCTATGGACGTCAGCAATGCCAGGGCACAGCCAAATTGCTGCTGCTGCCTAGCATCAACAAAGACGAAATGTCTTACCAACAGTAATTACAAAAATTATAATTTATTTCGGTTTGATTTTAATTACACGATGTTATTCCTTCACCGTGGAAGTAAGTCGTAAACATTTTTTAAGTACGTACTTCACTACTAAAATTAGTATCCGCCTGCGGGATTCGAACGCTGGTATGGTTGCATCGCTCGGTACGGCTACATCAAACGTCTTATCCTTTAGGCCACGACGATTTCAAATCTAGAAATAAAACTAATTTAACGTTCTTTTTACGCATAAATCTCAGGAAATATTTTTTACGGAAAAAGACGGTAGTTAGCAAAATGTTGAAATATAGATTATCAGGCACACACTGAGCTACGACTGAGCTTCAGTTCTTTTAGATTCTCATAAATAATTTTATTTTGCTTCTTAATAACTGTGATAACGACATTGAGTTCTGAGAGCACATTTAATTAACGTGCTTCATAACCGTCCTACAGACGTGATAATTAGGAACTCTGAGCTGGTCTGCGGGTCCATGGACAAGAGCACCCTTGGCTCTGGCACCAAGAGCAGCATCTTCTACATTCTACTGAGGGACTGGGGCGAGGAGTATGCAGTCCGAGGAATGTGGAGGTAAGTCTAATATAACAATACTAACCGATGTTTATTGCACGATGTTTTGTTCCTTTGGATGGATATGGCCTATGGACACGTGCGAGCCAGAGGAACCTCAGTGTACGTAGCACGTGCAGTCCGTGTCAATCGAAGCCTCATTAGCACCTAGACGTGCTGTTAGAAGTGAAACCGGTATATATAACGTTATTAGGGTCCAGGATACTTGAGCGTGGCAGGGCACCCTGGAAAAATGAACCTGCCTGGCGACCTAGGAATTTTTATTGCCCATCTGATGGTGAATAGTTACCATCGCTCATGGAGGTCGGCAATACCAGGGGCAGAGCCCGGCCGCTGTCTACGCTTCATACGATACAAAAGAACCCCAAGGCTTAGAATCTTACGTTCTGTGACCAGTGGCACTTGTGTAAAGTTCCACTTGGGAAATAACTTTCCAGGTTGGCTAGAATGGCGTCTTACTACATGATGAATCGTGGCTTCAGTTTCGGTATAATAGACGTGACGCCGGGCAAGAAGCTCATAGAGGCTAAAAACAAACTTCTGGAGTCCGGGTGAGTGTTTCTGTGGCATTTTCACTGAATGATCTTGTTTGCAGCCGGCGCTCTGCCTCAGGGCTGCTTCAGTTGTCGCGAGATGGCGCCGCCAAGTGACGACAGTTTCCGTTACCATTCGTTTGGCTTAAAGTGTACAGTTCACTGTTTGCCGCTGAAGCTCTTAGAGAACACCCACTGAGCTTCTCGCCGGATCATCTCAGTGGGTCGCGATTCTGATCCGGTGGTAGATACAGTATATATATACAGTATATATTTTACTGTACGGATTTAAATGTATTATTGACTCGCTGACCAAAACGTTAACAAGTCAGGTCTTCGACTTTCCATTGACGGTGGAGGCCCAGCATCCGCTGTAATGCTCTTGAGACTTCCACTTCAGAGATCCAATAAAATACTAGGCAGACTTGTCAGTCCAGCTAATTCAATATGTTATCTGAAAGGTACTCTAAATGCGACGGCTACATCCTGGAGATGGAGAAGGGCACGCTGCAGTGCCAGCCGGGATGTACCATGGAGGAAACCCTGGAGGCCGTCATGCTAAGCGAGCTCAGCAGCATAAGGTCAGGACCCAACTTGAACACAATATCAGTGGTTGAATCTTGCGCGGTTTTCCCTCTTGTAGGGAATAATACCCTACTTTTTCTTTTTATTGCCTTTGTAATTAGACAAGCACACAGCCCAGCTGATGGTGAGGAGTGATTACCGTCGCTTATGGACGTCAGCAATACCAGGGGCACGGTCAAGTTTCCGCAGGCCTTGTTTGAAGAGTGTCATAGCGCTAAGGGAACACCGTGGAGGGGAGTCACTCCAGAGTAATCTGGAGGTACGGATTGACGAGAGGACCTTCCTCTAGCGGCCGTGGCCTAAACGGCAAGACGCCCGGTGTACCCGTAGCGACTAGCAGTTTAAAAAAAAAAAAAATGTACTTCACAAATGTTCACGAATGTCTTCCACTCCGAAGGAATGACATCGTGTAATGACAATCAAATCCGCAAACATTGCATGCACGTTGTGATGTCTATGAGCTCCGATGACCACTTTACATTAAGTGGTCCATGAGCGCGTTAATCCATTTGAGCAACAAAGAATGGTCAGCCGTGAACCCTTAGCCGGCTGATGATCTTACTGTTCCGTTCCCTCAGAGAGCTAGCAGCGAAGGCTTGCTTCCGGGAGCTGCATCCTACCAACGCGCCCCTGATCATGGCGCAGAGTGGCTCCAAAGGTACCGCGAGTCTTTCTTTATAAAAGTACGAGTCGAAGAATGAATGAATGAATGAATGAATGAATGAAGGAATGTAATGAATTAAAAGTGGATCCGTATTAAAATAATTTTAGTGTGAATTCGTTTGTAACTTTTACTTGGATTCGTACAAAACTAAGTCTGAAAGTTAACTCTATATAATGTATTATTTTATTCACGTAAAATTAAAGTTTAGCCTAGTAAAACTGTAGCACAAACTGAGTTGCTCTATAAAGAGAAACAACATTTAAAGCTATTGCTTCACCAGTTTTATTGTTCTTTATAGTTCACAATTCAAAAATTTTTTAATATTTCTAATGTTTCTTCTTCTAATGTTTCAATATTCAAATTAACATTTTTGTCACCTGTATAACATATTAACCTCTTTTTAACATTTGTCATAAATCATATAGAAGTTACATATATATAAGTAATTAGGTTGAAATTTTTATTAGTAAAAATACATATAAGTATGCGTTTTTGGATCTTTGATCAGATTATAATGAAACTTGGTACAGTTGTGATTGACGCTGCAGGGAAAGATCAACAACTAATAGATGGTGCCTGAATACTTTCAAGAAATCCATGTTTTTACATGAACAACCATAATCACAGCGAACCGTGACAATGTTGTTTACTGTATACCTGAAAGAAAACTTCCTAGAATCTCACAGCAGCGCCACCTACCGCTAAACCTAAACCATCTCACTCATACACAGCAAATATCCTTAGACTTGGCTTCCATGATGGGGTATACCGAATCTAAACTATCTCGTGCAAACACAGCAAATATTCTTAGACTTGGCTTCCATACCGAAGTGCATGTGTCCAGGTTCCAACATCAACATATCGCAGATGATCGCGTGCGTGGGCCAGCAGGCGCTTAACGGCAAACGGGTACCGAACGGATTCGAAGACCGGTCCCTGCCGCACTTCGAGAGACACTGTGAGTTACCCACGCTCTTTTGTTGTCTTCTGTCTCAATACAGGTTCTGCTCTGCTTGTAGGGGTCTGAGACCTTTTGTACCCCCAACGCGGAACTGAAAGTAAGTTCCTCTGGAGCTTTTATTATACGTCCTCCATCAGATGGTAGCTTGGGGCTCTGACATTGCTGATGTACTCCTCGATTATGTTACAATCAGGTTGGTCGTAAGCGCGTGTGCTAAACTTACCTAAGGGGAGCTCAAATAGACTTTAAAATGTTACAATGCTTTTGTGAGATTTAAATTTGTTTAATTGTAAAGGAATTTTATTTACTGTTTATGAATATAAAATATTTTAATTTAGTCATTAGAGTTTTGTAACTGATTAAAGATATTAAAAAGTTAATTAGCTAAAGGTAAGTACCCACCTAATAACTAAACAGTGCCAGCCTTATCGAAAAACTCTATTGTCCCCATAATGCCCCCATGTGACCCGTTTCACCCCAAATGCCAAGGTGGATCAGATCAAGCTAGTTTTTTAAGTTCTTGTGTACTATGTATAATAATGCATCGTATATGAAAATTTTTACCTCCGGAACCGTTTTAATATCAATTTAATTGGTATTACCCTAAGAAAAACCGCTGAAAATTTGTATTTGAAATTGGAGAGCGTCCCGTTTCCCCCCAATCTAGGGTAATCAAGCAAGGAGCATGTTGGGCTCAGTAAATTGTTAGCTGTTTACTGTAGGGTCGTAGCTTTTCAGCTCGACACACTCTGACCCATAGTGGGGTGGAAGATAGTTTTTTATAGCTTAGATGGGTGGACGAACTCACAGCCCACCTGGTGTTAAGTGGTTACTGGAGCCCATAGACATCTACAACGTAAATGCGCCATCCACCTTGAGATATAAGTTCTCAAGTATAGTTACAACGGCTGCCCTGCCCTTCAAACCGAAACGCATTACTGCTTCACGGCAGAAATAGGCAGGATGGTGGTACCTACCCGAGCGCACTCACAAGAGTTCCTACTACCATTAAACAGTGGTTGTGATATTGATGTATCAGTGCTGATCGCTGCCAAGAGAATGCCCAAGCGCTTTGTTATCGTTAAGGCCACAGCCCTAACTCGGAGTGATAGTATGGTACTGTTATGACAGCAAAGATCCCGGCTGCTCGCGGCTTCGTGGAGAACAGTTTCTACACCGGCCTGACGCCGACCGAGTTTTTCTTCCACACCATGGGAGGGCGCGAGGGGCTCGTGGACACCGCTGTGAAGACCGCAGAGACCGGCTACCTGCAGAGGCGACTTGTCAAGGTATAAGGGTAGCTGTTATTCTCTCAAAGATGGACACAATAGAAGATGAATCTAATGATATTTTTTCTTAGTAGTTAAAGGAATATGTGGTCCTCGTGGTAAGTGGTCACCGTCGCGACGACGACGCTATTTCTGCAGATTTGTTCCTTTAGCTTAATAAGTGAAAACCATCAGGGACTAAGCCCTTAGAATATTGTACCTGGTCAGGGACATCAAAGACAGTATTGCAAATTGCCTCACCTGCTCGTTGATTTATTGGAGCGTTACTGCGATTAAATGACCCATCAAACGATAATTATTCACACGTATTTTTTGGATCTATATAATACGCCTTACATATCTAGCCACACGTCACACAGTGTAACAATTAAGTCTCAAGTCAGGAAGTGTCGATCCATATTACCTCCTTCCACCAGCGCTTCACCAAACCAGCAGAGGTAATACCTGCTACCTGATCGTTGGCCACTGACCATGACCGAGTTTCTGGTATGGTCATGGTCGACCTCACGTCTCACTTTGCAACAATCATAACAAATCTAAATTTCAATTTGCTGTTTAATTAGACCCTTGAACTTTTCGTAAGTCGGCACATAATAAGGTTTCCTCCAAAAATTGCACAGTCAAGAAGCGTAGGGGGCGTCCATTAATTACGTGAGGTGTTGTAGGGGGGGAGGGGATCAAGCTAAATCATTCTAAATCTCACTTAGGGTTCTTGGCAAATATCACGTAATTAAATTTCTCGCAGAAAACGGTGTAAGACTGCGTGAAAATTTATTTCTAGAATAAAATATGGCCAAATCTGACAATATAGTATTTTTCGTATTCGTCCGAACTTCGCAGAGCAGCGAAGTAGCGCTCGATTGTTTAGCTCTATCGACACGTGAGAGTCGACAAACATCACAACGTAAAGAGCTGAATAACGGCGACGCGCGGACACGTTCTAGCCTACTTTGTTTTGAAGTTTTGAAGAATCTCTTAGAAGAGGGGGGAGGGAGTTGTGAAAAATCTTACGTTATCTCACCAAGGGGGGAGAGGGGGAAAAAACATTCTCAAAAACGCCTCACGTAATTAATGGAGGCCCCCTTAATTTTGAAAGTGTGATAAGTAATCTGAACGTTCGGTCCAGTCGCTGGAGGACCTGGTGCTGCAGTACGACATGACTGTCCGGAACGCGACCGGCGAGGTGGTGCAGTTCCGGTACGGCAGCGACGGCCTCGACCCCACCTACATGGAGGGCAAGGACCGCCCCGTGGACCTGGCCAGGGTGCTGGCGGACGTCAGAGCCAAGTGCCAGGATAAGTAAGTCAACAGACGACCTGATCTATGTAGGAACTGGTTCCTTATAGCTTTCGAATGGTGGGACCATTGTCGGTGTGGTGGTCTATAATTAGCACCACCCACCTCTTTTTGTGCTCGGGTGTCTTAAAAAGCGATTGAGACACTCGCAGGTTTTTTTATTGCCCTTGTAGGCAGACGAGCATACGGCCCACCTGATGGTAAGTGGTCACCGTCGCTCATGGAGGTCAGCAATGCCAGGGGCAGAGCCAAGCCGCTGCCTACCATTAAGTACTCTCCGCAAGCCTCGTAAATCAACAGGCAGACTTGGCAGGTTGTTAGATATTGACTCATTTTATTCCTCATATAACAGGGATGAGACGTCAGCTTAGTGCCCGATTTTTCCTGGATGATGACGGGACAAAGGGGCCACGTGCCGGCGATGTGTAGCACAACTGATTTTTATTAATTTGTGACATTTATAATAATAATAAGGGTACATTTAAATTAGTCTAGTGTATTCCTCCTTTGCTTATTTTGTTTCTTTTTTTATTTATTTATTCCATTCAATACAAAGTCAGGCTTACAGTTTGCACCAAAACGCCTGACTCGTTAACACAAAAAACATTATTAAAATTATTAAGTACTATTATTATGCTAAGAATAACATTATTTTGTAAAAAAGTATTCCCCAACTATCGGCAAATATATTCTTGCTTGCTGATTGTTTTTAATTTTCTTTTTTCTATTATTTGTTATATTATTATACTATGTTAATTGGCTGTTGGTTCTCCTCGTAGTAAATAAATAAATATATAAATAAACAGACGGCCTCATCTATGTAGGAACTGGTTCCTTATAGCTTTTGAATAGTGGGACCATTGGCGGTGTGGTGGCCTATAATTAGCATCATCCACCTCTTCCTGTGCTCAGGTATTTTAAAGGCCATTAAGAGACTCTTAGGAGACTGGGCAGCAGCGTTGTTTAAGTATCATACTATGTTCCGCCCGGTCGGGTAGGTGTGTTCATCCTATTTATGCCACAATGCAGTCACGTGTTCCAGTTTCCAGTTCCAGCTTCTCAGCCGCTGTCCATTCGTCATCCATTTCAAAAATCGAACCCATCACCAATCATCTTAACAGCTCACTCATCACCTCATCACATCGAAATCATCGCCTCAACCACATCAACCAAGCATAATCATCACTCCTGCTTCGTCAGGCAGGGAATCCAAGCCCGGGCAGAGGGGATTGCCCCGAGGCCCGATCCGTGCCCCGTAAGGGGACACGATGACCTGACGGCCGCTGTTCAATACAACTGATACTTCGATCTGATATCTCGTTCAGGATGTGATGTCTTCGAATTCCGGTGAACGTTTACCATTAGGCTGGTCCTGAATTCGAAGGTAACCTAAAAAAATCGTGTTCCAGAAACGCAGAACCATTAGACGGTGACGGAATCGTGCTGGCCGCCGAAGAAACCCTAGCCCTGGACGACTTCAAAACCTCCACGGACGAGTTCAAGAACGAACTACTGTGAGTCGACTGTTGCACTTGTGGCGGCCTCGGGGTGATGACATAGCGACCCTGGACTCTCCGGGAACATTTGACCCCTCGTCTGTGGCGTCCATTCGTGCACAGGAATAATTAACCCATAGACACAGCCCACTGAGTTTTTCGCCGGATCTTCTCAGTGGGTCGTGTTTCCGATCCGGTGGTAGATTCTGCGAAGCACTGCTCTTGCTAGGGCCAGTGTTAGCAACACTCCCGGTTTGAGCTCTGAGAGCTCATCTACTAGTTCAGTGAATCTAGAATAACCTCTCGAGGTTGCTAGAATAGGTAGGAAAAAAAGGAATAATTAAGAGTGTCGGGGTCAATCAGGATGTCTTTAAAATGAATGGGGAAATGTTTACTGGAACCAAAGCAACGAAACATCAGTCACACTCTACGAAAAATTTAAATTATTCCACCTCCTACCATTCGACATACAATAGAAGCATTATTGCTCTTTGTGATATCGCTTGCAGCTAATGACGTGGCATTGTCAACGCCCACGTGTCAGAGACGAGCTTTTTTTTTTATTGCTTACATGGGCGGGCGAGCTCACAGCCCACCTGGTGTTAAGTGGTTACTGGAGCTCATAGACAACTACAACGCAAATGTGCCGCCCACCTTGAGATATAAGTTCTAAGGTCTCAAGTATAGTTACAACGGCTGCCCCACCCTTCAAACCGAAACGCATTACTGCTTCACGGTTGAAATAGGTAGGGTGGTGGTATCTATCCGCGCGGACTCACAAGACGTCCTACCACTAGTAATCACAAGAGGTCCTACCACTAGTAAGCTGAAAGCGCTCAGTACTCAGGTGGCCCTATACTGGCGGTGCTTCTCCTTCCTTAGCTCGTTCCTGAAGGCGACGGCGGGCCGGGTCCGCGCGCTGCGGGCTCGGTACGCGGGCTGCGGGCGCGCGGCGCTGCAGCTGGAGCGCCTGACGCTGACGCAGCTGGTGCGCTTCCTGCGCGTGTGCCACCACAAGTACCAGCGCGGGGTCATCGAGCCCGGCACGGCGGTGGGCGCCCTCGCCGCGCAGGTCCGTACCCCTCGACCCCCGCAGATCCACATCGCACTGTGATGCAGATACTCATACACAATACAACATGCATGCGCGCACCTTCACATATACACACACACGCACACGCACGCACGCACGCACGCACGCACGCACACACACACACACACACACACACACACACACACACACACACGCGTACACACACACACACGCGTACACACACACAC